TTTCCAAAGCGAGCGTTTCCAAAGCGAGCGTTTCCATAGCGAGCATTTCCAAAGCGAGCAGTTCTCAGTCGCGATTCTATTATACAAAGTCTATTTGAACAGGAAACTAGTATTTGTACAAGGGAACTAGGTATCGCCAATTCTTCTATGCACTACTGCTTATTTAGATCTACCTGCAAATATAGTGGCACAATTTGCATCCGCTATGAGTAAGTCAATGGAATTGACCGGGTTACTCTGCTCCAGTCGATAGTTTCGACAAAAGTTGGCGGAACGCGTCAAAATCTGTTTGCAACTCACGCAACCGCCTCTTATTACCAAACACCTCGCCAACCGTCTTCAAGTCCTGCGCCATTCTCTCAGGATTCGTCGTACCATCAAGTATCTGAATCCCGCCCAAACCCAAGATCAAGACATAAAAAGCAAGCTCCTTCTCCACGTTAAGCTTTACAGCTACGGACTTCAAGATGCTAGAATCTCCGGGTTGTGCCTAAGCATCCAGTATGCCTGGTACGTTATACCTCTCTCTGCGCAAAATTCTCGCAGGCCAACGTCAAAGCTCGTCTCTTTGTAGAAGCGGTTCTGAACGATGACGGGCTTAACCGTTGCGTTGGCATACACCTCCTTGATCTGTGGCAACTTGAAGTTGGAAACGCCGAGAGAGCGGATGGTGAGCCCAGACTGGCGCGAATTTTGTTTAGATCTAAGCATGATGTGTGAGTAAATCTGTCAAAATCGGAAACGAGAGAAACGGGAGAAGAAAATGCACGTACAAAAAGATCTCTTCTTTTGACGCCAGACTTGAGAGCTGCCGCAATCCCATCGCCCGTCAATTTCTCGTTGTACGCCGTCGGGTAGTTGGCCGTATCAATGCAGGTAAAGCCTTTCAGCACAGCCGTCTCTGTAAGATGAGCCGTCCTTTCCTCTTTCCAGGCGGTTCCATAAAGTAGAAGCGGGATTTTGAGTGCCATGACAGCTGAACGTGATGGATTATTTCTAGAGAGTGAGGAAAAATCTCCAATTGGTGAAGAGAAAGACAAGGGAGATGGGAATGCTGTTGGTCGAAACCATCCGTGCTTGCTCCTTTGATATACTACAAGTGCATGCAGCCAACACTTGCATAGATCAGGACCTTTTATGTCCTCAAATTGGGACAAAGAATTTCTACTCCTTTCCCTCATATAAAACTATATGGGCGTTCCTTGATGAAATCCGAACCAGAGACTAAATCAAGCAATCTCACTTTGATAGCATTCTTTCGCCCTCTCTCTTGCATCACGGCAACGCTACCGATATGCTCGTCCTTGCGCTCTTCTCGCTCCTTGCAGCCGCCCGGCAGATACCTCTTTTGCCTCCAGAATCTGATCTTTCGGGGCTACGGGACAGACTGATCCGCGTCCTGCCAGAGATTGAGGCCCTCAAGAACATCGGCGGCACGACTGGCATGTCCATCGGGGTCATGAGCCACGGAAACGTCGTTCTAGAGACCAATCTTGGCTTTGCCGATGTCGAGCGCCATCTTGTAGCCAACCCCAGCACGATATACCCCATTGCGTCTCTCACAAAGGCTTTCACCGCCGTGACGATCACGCAGTTGGTCGATGAGGGTCTTCTCAGCTGGGATGAGCCCTTGACTAGCTACATCCCCGAACTCTCGTTTGAGCACGATCCTTCCCTCGCCGATCGACTCTCTCTCATAGACCTATTATCGCATCAGACAAGACTCGCTCAACTCGATAACCTCTGGCTAGGCGCCGACAGCCAAACCTTGGTAGCCAAGAACTTTACAGTTTCGTTGTGTAATCACTTAGCACCCATGTATCCCGTGAGATCGCAGTGGCTCTACAACAACTGGATGTATGCGTTGGCGGGCGAGGCCATTGAGAGAGCTACAAACCAGTCTTGGGGCCAAGTGCTCTCTACCCGAGTGCTGAAACGACTCCAGCTTTCACATACCACAGCCATCGCCTCTGAGATCCCCCGGGACTTGCTGGCGCTGCCATACGTGGTCCTCGACGACTTGACGCCAGTACGCGTTGGCAGTTTCGACCTCACCGACGGCAGCGCCATGGCTGCTGCGGGCGGCATCCGCAGCACCGTCGGCGACCTTCTCACCTGGGGCAACGCTCTCCTTTCCGTCTTCCGCAACGGCGAGACACCGCTCGCCCTTCTCGACGCCGTCTTCTCCGGCCGCAGCTTCATGAACAGCACTGCTGCACCAGACGAGCTTTACACAATGGGCTTCGTGAAAGTCATGACCCCAGCGCAAATCGGCACGTTGGGTCTCAACCCCGGCTTAGTCGACGCCATGCCCCTGATAGGAACCAACTCGAAGCCCCAACAAGTCTTTTATCACAGCGGCGCCCTCACAGGTTACAACCACTGCTTCATACTAGTCCCGGAGTCTCGATCCGTCATAGTCGTCCTATCCAACTCCATTTCCCAAGGAGAAACCCCCTGCTGGGTCGCCCAATCTCTCCTCCAAGCCGTCCTGAATGAGAAGCACCCTCTCGACATGACGAAATATGCAGAGCAAGCCGCCGCCAAATGGAGAACAATTCACCAAGGAATCGCAGAAGCTCTCGAAAAGGGCCGTAAGCCGAATTCTCCAGAACACATACACGAACTTCTCCTAGGCAAGTACTGGCACAACACCCGAGCGATATATCTCGACGTATTCCAGGGAAATGGCGCCCTAAAATTCAACATCAACGGGAAGCCGGAGCAAGAGCACGTCCTTTCGCACTACAGCGATGATACATTCGTCTTCTTGCCTTCGGCCGACCAGCGGATTCGCAATGGCCTGTTCCTCTATGGCCCTCCCTCTTGGGTTTTGCATTTCAAAAAGGACTCGAGCGGAAGCTTCACAGAGATCCAGTGGGATATGGGCAGCCATACACCCTTTCCAGAGAAGTTTATCAGAGAAGAGTCCTGATGTGATACTCGTTGCATATACAACTTGCAGAAATGGAATGGAGATTGCTGACGATATTATTATTGGTCGCCCGCATCATTCTTGTTATAGAGCGAATCTACAGAAAACATAGCAGAGCTGCATATCTACAGCTAGATAGCAAAAGCACATCTTCAACTTGCATCACCCCTGTATTGTGTCTCAAGCCCTAGCAAATATATCAACAAAATATACGAGCTACGTATTATAGTCGATGACATCCAAGAACGTCTTGATGAAAGTACAAACGACCTGCGAGACTCACACCGCACGTCCATCACGCAAAAATTCCAAAAGCAACTTTTAATATCACAATTAATCAACTTCTTGTAGATTGTTGGACACTTTGATTGTGTTTTATTGATATATATACTCAATATAGCATATCATAATCATGCTGCTCGAACGATCATACCCTCTAGATAGGGAACAACTTTTTCATCAGGGAATCTCATAAAATCCAAAAACGAGAGTCTTCTCTCAGCACCTCTACTTCCATAAACCGGATATCAGGTATAACAATAAAAGAAAAGAGAGTAGACATCCACCCTCCAAAGCCAACTCCCCTGATGCAGATTACGCGTTACAAATAAAAATGTAGTAAAAAGATATATATAGAACAATAGTCTTTCGGAGACAGATATGTGTAGAAAATTGGAAAGATGGGTTGCCGACTTTACTCGGAAGAAGCCTCGTCGCTCACGGTCTTCTCATTCAGGACACCATTGGAGCGGGCAGCGGGGCTGGAGCGCTTGAAGAAGGCGTGGATCTCAGGAGAGAACTCGCCATCATCAGGCATGCCACTGTGGTCAGCCTCGGTCTCCTTGGGTCCACGAGCAGCCTGGACAGCCTCCCACTCAGCGCGCATGTCCTCAACCTTCGCCTTCCAGTCCGCCTGGGGATCATAAGACTTGCTGATGCCACGGAATCTCTCCCAGAGGGACAGGTGGTGGGGGTGGACGGCAACACCGTGGTACTGGTCGGCCTTGCCGTCGCGGATGTAGCGCCATCGTCGCTCCTGCTCCTTGAGGTCGAGACCGGTGGTGTCAGGGAGGAAAAGCCAGGTCAGGAACATGCCAGCAAGGCCGAACCATGGGACGACGTAGAATCGGGTCTGGATGTCGATGTAGTTGTACAGAATCGAAGCAAGCAGAGCACCAGCCTTTCCGAGACAGGCAGAGAAACCGTGGGCAGTAGCTCGGATGGGGGTGGGGAAAACCTCACCGGCAATGAGGAAAGTGACGGAGTTGGGGCCGAACTGGTTGAAGAAGGAGGACAAGAAGTACATGGCCTGGAAAGCGTGGATACCCTGGGGGCTGGTGTAGTACTCGTACTTGAACGCGGGGATGACGAACATGAGGAAGCACATGAGGAAACCAATCTGCTGCATCCACTTACGGCCATAGAGCTTGTTGTCGATGAGGAAAGTGGCGCAGTAGTAACCAGCCAGGGAGACGACAATGTTGACCAAGCTCCAAGACCAGGTGGTCAGGAGGGAGTTGGGGTTGTCGGAGATGACCTTGATGAACTGGCCCTGGAAGAGCTTGTTGCCGTAGAAGAAGACGTCGTTACAGAACCAGGTACCGGCGGTAGCGAGCAGACGACCACCGAAGTGAGTAAAGCAAGACTTGAGGGCGGTAACATCGTAACCGGTGACGCTGGTGCGGCTCTTGGCCTCGGCGAGCTGCTTGGAGGCATTGGGCATCTTCCAAGTTCTGTAGTAGACGAGCCACAGAGTGCCAATGGCAGGGAAGGCGAAGGACAGACGGAAAGTGAACTGAGCAGCCTCCTTGGTGTAAGGGGGGCCGCCCTTGCCGTGGTTGAAGATGACGAGTAGGACAATGAGCAGAACCTGGTTGACGAACTGACCCCAACCTTGCATCAGGAAAGCCATGGTGACACGGCGACCACGGTGCAGACGATCCTCCTTTGTGGAGAGCTTGCCAGCAGTGACGGCGCTCTCGAGGGAAGAAGTGGCAGTGATGGGATATTCACCACCGACACCGAGAGAGTAGAAGAACAGCGACCAGGCGTAGCAAATAACCCAGCCCTGGAGAGAGTTACCCCAGCTGGCAGTGAGCATGAGCAGACCGATGAACATGATGATGGCATCCTGAATGAGACCCCAGCGACGGCCAATCCAATCACCAATAACCTGTACAAAGAGAACTCGTTAGCGTCATGCGTCTTCTTGGTGTTCTAATTTGGCTAGTTTGCAGAGCACTTACACCAACAATGACCTGACCAATCATGATACCGACAACTTCCAGATAAGTGACAGCGGCAATCCAGTTGGGGTCGCAAACGGTAGGCTTGGAACCCCAGCACTCGGGCCAGACCTGGCTGAAGAGAGGAGACAGGTTACCGATAGAGAAAAGAACGTAGCCTTCCAGACCAAGACCGGCACCAGGAATGACGGCATGGCGGAAATACCAAGAGACGGGAGACAGAGGATCCTTCTTGATCATTGACCAGATGGTGCTCAGCTCCTCGCTGGCGGCCTGTCGGTCGACGGCAGAGACGAACTTGACACGCTCGCCAAAGGGCAGGTCGGCCCAGTAGGTGCCGTCGGGAGTGTAGCTGTCATCGGGACGGGTGACATGGCTGAAAACACGGCGCTCATCCGCATCGAGAGGGTAGTCGTCGCGGTCGTCGCCATCCTCATGGGGGCCGTGGGGGATGGGGATTTCACCGGGGACTATGCCGCCGAGGTGGTGGTGCTCCTGGCTGGCCATTGTGATCGATACTAATGCACAAACGACTTATGCAGTGCACAGTAACAGAATGATCAGAAAATTATTCTGATCTGGTTTCCCACAAAGCAATCTGATTGGAGGAGGAGCCCAAGATTGCGGGGAGAAAGTCCGAGAATAAAGAGGGAGGGACAATGCCCTAGCAACAAATAAGGTTGGGGGGTTGCTTCGACCGCGGCCACCACACCAAGAGATGAAGATGGGGATGAAGAGAAGAGAAGAGGAAACGAGGGAAGAAAGATTGACGGGACGCAAATGCTTTATTTGTTTGTCGAAGTCGCAGTCGCCATGCGCTTTGTCACCCTTGATAGAGTGCATCAGCTTGGTTGCAAGCTAAAGACCCGCGAAAGGCAGTATTTTAGAAAGAATTTCAATATCCGCCATGAGATTCACGGTTTAAGCCGCATTCGACGACCGAAAGACAGCATTTCGGCGGCCAGTCAGATGTTGAGATTTACCATCGTGGGCGAACCTTGGACCTCGAGTGGCTTTGGCCGGGGGCAGACTCGCCTGGCCCAGCTGCTCCATTCCGTCGTCCGCCTCGTGGTCTTTGGGATGCTCCCCACAAGCTTCCCACACACCATGACCCGCTCGCGGTATCACTAAACCCTGCCGTCGGTCTCTTTTGTCGTGTGCGCAGTCCACGACCCGTAATAGGTGCTACCTTGTAGGCCGTGGCGGAAAGGTCCCAATGGCTCCCTTTGATATGCCACACGTCTAGTCCTTCGTGCTCGCCGTAGCGCAGCTCGAGTCGAGTTTGACATGCGCACAAGGGACGATGTGAATTCGCCGTAGCCCGGGAGAGACATGGCGCAGAAGCCATGATCTAAGGCTTTACCGCCACCATCTAGACCAATCGGTTGTGTTGACCGCAGTGGCGCCTTTTGGCTCGTCGTAGTTCGGAGAAGGCTTTTGCTAGCTGGTTGCTTCTCTCTCTATTTTTTTCTTCTTCTTGTCCTTGCCCTGTCGCTTGAGCAAGATCTGCTGAGGAAAATCGGGCCATCTCAACCCTCGCCTCCGAGCCTATGACGCCTCTGCAAGGCTTGCTTTGGCCACCTATGCAGGGCATTCGGTCAGGGTTTGCGTCCAAATGCTGGCTTGTGGCCGTCCTGTAGGCATAACCATGTTTCTTCGGTGGCCGATCTGGCATCCATAGGATGTACGAGTACAGCCGCAGCAAATGGTGTGCACTCCCCTCGAGCCATGCCTCGGTCAACGGATCCAAAGGTTCCCTGCCTGGCTCGATCTTCATGTACAAATATGGAGCATTCAATACAAAGTCACTTGTTGCTCTGTGCATGAATCCCGTGGTGTGTGGCGGGATAAAAAAAAAAAATGTATGAGACGGCGTCCCCATTGCGGTGGCACAGAGGGAAAAAGAGAAAAATTACAGTACAGATCCATGGACCTGATGCGCACAGTTTCGCATCCTTTTGCTGTCAGGCTGCCGCTGAACCAGGGCGCGCACAAGCACTACGGCGTCTCTATTGGCGAAAAGCTCGTCTTTGGTCAGCATCTTAATGGGCACCTAGTCGATACGAAGGTGTCGCTCAGGGAATGAGGGCAAGGGCGTGGTGCGTCGTCCCTTCCCGGTTGGCGCTGCTGCTGCTGCATCCGGATAGAACGGCACCTCAGACAGTCAAAATCCGTGCCGATCTTTCCAAGAATTATCGGGCCCCCCCTAACAAAGCAAGCAGGTGCAGCCACAGCACCTGGCACCGACAAGAGAGTCTGACTAGATGCCAAAATTACCCAAAATGAGCTTCTGAATTGCTTCGTTTCGTCCTCGACGATGCATTGTGTTTTTTCCATCCGGGACGAATGTCGTCCAATCTCTCGGCACTTGCAGCCTATCACGTACCGGCTCTGCTTGGCGACCGCTCTTTTACGTCACGCAATCCACCTCTGCCAAGTACGACCAACCGGAGTGGGAAAGTTGTCGCGTGAGTCAAGTCCAGAGTCGAGACTTCCCCCTCTCGGTGTTACTCCAGGACGTAATCGGAAAGAGCGCCGCGGGCGGAGCAGCACACGATGGAAATTGTAAAGCAAAACCCAGAGAAAAGGCACGAGTACGATAATCACAGCACATGTGGCAAGCTGAAGGGAAAGAATGCGTGATGAGTGAGATTATCGAGCAGCAATATCCATTTATTTCCTCAAACACGCACCGAGCGTCTATCAGTGGCGCAAAAGCGTACTTTGTACCTTTGATGCGCAGCGTCTGCGGCTGAGATGCACTAGTACCTGATACCCTCAATTCTGTTGCGTACAGCTTTTAAAGTTTGATAGCAATTTGGTTTCTCTACTTCGGCCTCGCCCGCGAGCCTCTTGCCTCTTGTTCTTTCATCCAATCATTGCAAAACGTGCAACGTGCTGACACAAGGCTGGCCAATGCTTGGTTTTCCATGATGCTTGTATTGCAAAATACTTGCGACAGTTGCTCATTATGTGTTATGTGCCATTGTCCGGCCATCTCCCCGGCAGCGTGTTGGCACTGTCCTGTACCTGCGGGATTTGGCAAGAAAAATCTTTGCAAGACATGATACGCGGACTAACTGCTACCAGTAGGTGAGGCAGGGAACATCTTCATGCGCGCATCAGGCGGTAGCACGAGCAATTGGTACAGGTTGCAGGTACGAGTACTCGTATCACTGCGATTGATGTCTCACGCAGGTCTGGGTGCATAAAGCACGAGCCCTCATCAGACCACGGCCCATGCTCCAGACCCCGTCCGTACTCAATCCTACAGTACGGATATCCCTCGAAGAATAGAGTACGAGTACGGCACGGGGTACAATGGACACGCAAAATCAAATTCAGAAACCAAAAAGAAAAAGAAGAGAAAAAATCACCGTCTCCGCCGCCACCGTGTCGCCGTGGACTAGAATTCTAACGGAGCCGACACCGACGCCACTAGGAGCTATCCAGAGCGGCCGAAAGCCTAGTTTTTTCTCTTTTTTTCTCTCCTTTTTCTTTTTTGCTCTTGTCCGAATTCCAGAACAAGTTACACTTTACACTTTCCTCTCTTCGTGTAACTCCTAGTTCTTAGGGCCACAGTCCTGATGCGACGCTCCGTAGTGCTGAATGGCAGTAAGGTTATCGACGGAGCGACGCGGGAACCTGATCCGGACTTTAAGGGTCTTTCGGCTAACATCCGCTTTCTGCACCCCTTTTGAGAAAGTTTTTTTTTTCTATGGAGTATTCTGCACGGAGTCCTCTTCAGCTTGTTGCTCTATTTTTTTTTTTTTTTTTTTTTTTCGTTCGTTGATCCCTCTTCGCAGCGCTGCCAATCAAAGCTGTTGATCAGCGCGGGGTAGAGAGGAGAATACGGAGTACTCCGGGACGACGAGCTCCTACAGCACTTCACTAACATGCAGTATCACTCAACTGTCTCTCTATAATGCACACTACCCTAGAGACACATCGCAAAATTTTCTCAATGCACAACGAGCTCATATCCACGCAATAAACAGAAACTCCAGCTGATACACTGTAATCCCCTCGCATAAATCCTTTCCAAACGGCCAACTTAAACCTCGCCGTAAAGCGTTATCTTGGAGGCCTTTTGGCTCACATGTGAAAAAGTCAATTCCTGCCTCAGCCTCAGAAAGCTTCATGCGCATACCTAGGTAGTAGTAAATCAATGCACTAGCCACAACAAACAGCCACACGCCACACCTCTCTACTAACATGCAAATGCTCACCGAGAGCAGCCTCAAAGCACCCCAGATTTTCTCACGTTTGCCACATGGTAATACAAGTACACATAATTCCAAAGTCGGCGAAACGCTGCCGCCTTTTTGGTCAGCCGCTTCGGTGTTCGTATCTGGTATGAACCCGTTTTTGCGTAGCGCGGCTTTGCTGCGACTATTCCTTTGAGCGGGACACATCTCCGCGCTTCCGGGAAGCGTTGCCCATTGTTCCGGCAATAACTATCTATTATTCCCATCAGATCAATAGATAATGACAAGGACATCGGGGAATCTTCCTAATCGATAAATTAATTGATTCGGGCTAAAGGATCAGTATACATAGTCGTCTAAACTGTTTTTGCGGTTTCTCCGAGTCCGTTGTTCTTATTGTAGGGCCGCTATCTCCCCGTTGACTCTTCACCCAGATGCCATATATTCAGAATGGCCGACTCTCCTACCAAATATCCTAACACATACAAACGAAACGCAAACATCCCAGGACATCAAACCAGAAACAGCACAAGCAGAGGACCATGATAATAGCTAGTTTCATTCCTATACGTCAGAATCTCTCATCTATACACACACACACATGACCACCCAATAACTAAAATACCGGCCATGACGAAAACCCCAGCAGACCAAAATCATCAAACTACCCCGAGTAATAAAAAAGGCCATCCCTTTGGCTCTCTGAGAGCAAATGTTCCATAAAAAAAAGAAGATAGCGAGGCTCGTTGTATCAATTCCGTCTGCCCAGTTTCATCTCCATCGCATCCATTTCATCTGAAGTTCATCCCCATCGCATCCATTTCAACTAAAGTTCATCTCCATCGCATCCATTTCATCTGAGTAAGCATGCATGCTATCGCTCTGTTTTGCATTTCGTCTCGAGTCGTCATGTCCCATGTAACGCCTCGCTGCTGTGTTCGTACAAAAAAGGAAAAATAAAACTTTCTTTTTTTCAGACTCGTCCCGAGCAACGAATATTTTCGTAAGTGTAGAAAAAAAGGGGGGCTTGAAAATAGATGAAGCCTTTTTCCTCCAGCAAGCCAGGGAGAAAACGAGAAATAAAAAGGGGGGTTGAGTAGAAGGCAAAAAAGGGGATAGTAAATGAGTGAAACGAATAAAATGAAAAAATCGTAAAAAGTGTGGCCTAATTTCGTCAAGCTTGTTTGCCCAAGGCCCTTGGTGTTGTTGAGTCGTCTCCTTCTAGTTGAATTCTCACCACCGAATCCCCGCTGTCAGTCCGATCTGTGTCTGTCCCGGCTACGGGTGGTCTCGGTGTCGCCTCGGTGCTCCCGGGGCCCAGTATGCCTTCTAGATCGGCCTCGGCCGCCCCAGTCTTGTTTGGCGTGCTCAGTGCTGCCGCCATGTCTGGAGGCATACCGACTAGTTGTCTCTCCAATTCAAGGGAAGGTGTTGTTGCTACCTGCGTCACGGCTTCTGATGTGCTATCTGACAATGTGACGCTATCATGGCTATCCGCTCGCATCATTTCAATGCCAAGCTTCGAGCTCGGTAATGTGCCCTTTCCAATCACAGCCTTGCTTCCCCGTCTCAGCTGCATGTCTCTCTTGCCATCAAGCTCTTCATCTTCGTCGTCCGCGGACTCGGTGCCTTCTGAAGGCTTCTTGTCAAAAATGTCCTGCCTAACCTTGAGACGGTTATCAAGACCGCGCGACATGACTTCTAGGTGTGCTGGTGCCGACTGCTGGCATAGGAGCAAGGGTATGCTTTTAGGTGAATTATCAAGCCCAGCTGCCGCGTCCATGTCGGTGATTCCAAGGCCACCGCTGTCATCCCCCCAATCACCGGTTGCCTTGCGGCTGATGACGACCGGGATCTCATCCGTAGTGTAAGACTCCGAATCCCCAAACATGCTAGATGTGATGGAATCTTCCCGGCTTGACACCATCGCCGATGCATGGCGGCCCGTAAACGCAGAGATGCTCGACGTTGGACTGTCATCGATTGGACGAGGGGGATGAGCTCTCCTCAGGTTAAGCGGAATAGTTTGTGGCATGGATGGTATAGCCGGCCGGTGCGGGGATTCGGGCTGCCACTGGCAGAGGCTCCGAAGCACCTCTGTTAGTTTTGAGGAGCTGATGGGTTTTTCAATGAGCGAGTCAAAGTAGTGTGGCGCCTGCAGTTCCTTCAGATAGGCCGTAATAGCTACAATGGGGGTGTGCGAGTTGGCATTCTTGGTCTCTCGTATCATGCGGGCCACATCGGCTCCATTGATCTGTGGAAGTCTGTATTCAAGGAAGATGATGTCAAACTTGATCTCGCTCATCGAATATCGCACTGCTTCCGATCCGTTAGCCACGGAAATGGTGCGGCAGCGTAGCTTCTCAAGCAGTTTCTCCATCACCATCCGAGACACGGGATGGTCTTCACAGATGAGCACGTCCAAGGGTCGGAATGTCGGTCCGTTGTCAAAGGCAATCTGAGAGAGTCGCCGTGAGCTTTGCCGACGCCGCTGGACCCTCAAGAGAGCGTTATGCTTGTCTCCTTCGTTGTCTGATGATGAGGGGGACATGTCAAACACTTGGCTTCGACGATTGCGGTGGTGATGCTGGAGCATGTCTGTTGCTATGGGGCTGGCTTCTTGCGACCCCACAGTCAGGGACCTCGATCGGCTCGTCGAAGATGTGCTTCCCTGCCGAACCGGCGTTGCCAACACTTTTCCTGGAGACAATGCAAGTGGAGGTGGCACCGTGTTTCCATTACGGGGTTTAATCGGCGATGCAGATGCGGATGTTGCAGCCCTCTGTAGGCTAGGGGGAACTTTTGGTATCTCAAAGGCGGAATTTGGCTGCAGAGAAGATGATGATTGGTACGACAAGCTGGATGAGTTACTTGATGCCTTTCTACGGCCATCTGATGGTACTTGTCCGGCTGCCGTGAAAGAGACCAGCAAAGGAGATGAAGGCTGTGAAGGCTGCGAGACCTGCGAAATCCTATTGGGAGACGCATTCGCGAGGCTTAAGCCGGATGGGGATTGCGGGCGAGCCTTTGCATTGGACAATGTTCTTTGAATATGCGTTGATACCACGGGGCTGCCTTCAAGCGACGGTGCTGGAGATGGCACTCCTCCAAGTCCTCCAAGCCCTCCGGGACTAACGGCTGACTGCTTGCTTTGGACTGCCAGGGCCTCTGCCCTAAGCTTCTGGATCACGTCCTTGTTTGCCTTTTCCAATACAGGCAGGTTCTTGAAAGAGAAGCTACCAAAGTCATCGGCAGCAATTGGCTCGCTCAGCCTCCGTGATTTGAGGTCCCGCACGTGAGGGGGAATGTGTAGTGGCATCAGCTTCCTACCCGCTTGGTTTACTTGCGAACGGACACGCGAAAGGGCGTCGTGCGGCCTATCTGGATAATCAGTGGACCCGGTCGTGGAAGATTGGGGCGACATTTGGTCCTCCATCTCCTCTACGAACGATTGAAGGACGGCTCCTCTCGAATCAAAGTATTCGGTATCCTCGGGGTTCTCTGGTTGAGGAACGAACTGAGCCTCATCTTCCAACAAGGTTTCCCAATTGACTCCTGCAAACCAGGGATGGCTTCGTATCTCCTCACCACCAGAAGCAAATTTTTCTTCACGATTGGAACCTAAACGTTGCGGGGGATCCATGCACAACAGCTTGTTGATCAAGTCCTTGGCCTCATCAGACACCGGCTCACAGTCTGCATCATCTGGCCATTGGATCTTGCGGGCCAAGATGTTCTCGAAAACCTGCTCGGCTTCACCCGCGTGGAATGGCGGGATCCCGTACAGAAACTCAAACATGATGCATCCGACAGACCACCAATCACTCGTCTCATCTTGCTTGTCTCCCTTGATCGTTTCTGGGGCTAGATAATCTGGAGTTCCGACGAAGCGCCTGTTTGTATCTTCGGGATCAAACAATGCCATGGGAGGCGGTATCATGTTTGGTGGCGGGTGAGAGTTTCGACCGTGGCTGTCCATGCTAGTTCTGGCGGTTGAATATGGTGCCAGATCTGGTGATCCGTGAATTACAGCATCCTCATCCAAGAACATCCTAGCGCTTGCAGGCTGAGAACCCGAGTCGGAGTCATGGATGGAGAACGTAGTGACCATGCGGCTCAGCGTCTCGCTCCCACCGCTGTCGCTTCGATGGCTATTCGAAATGCGGCGTGGGTCGGACTGAGCAGGGCCGAGACTGAAGTACGACGGCTGGCCAATGCTCCCGACATCCGGTGTCATCTGTGGCGTTGCGCTGGGAGAATACGTCTGGCCCTGGATATCGAGCGATGTTGATCGTGAGGATGCCATGGACGTAGAACGCACGAATGGTCCCTGCTTGAGCAAGTCTGGAGTAGAATCTGCGTCACTGTTCAACGCTCTCTTCTGTCGACCTACTAAACCCATGCGCGAAAGTCCAAAATCAGTCAGCTTCAGATGGCCCTTTTGATCGATCAACAGGTTATCGGGCTTGAGGTCTCGATGGATAACCCCTCTCTCATGAAGATGCTCCACGCCCAAGACAACTTCTCCAAGATACTTTTTGACCCAGTCTTCAGGAAGGCCACCCAGCACTTTGATGAGGGAGGCACAATCGCCTCCGTTGAGATACTCCATGACAAGATATAGATAATCCTTGCTAGAAAATGTCCAGTACAGCTTCGCAACAAACTCGCTTTGTCCTTGCCACATCATAATAGCACGCTCCGCCTTGACATTTCCGACCTGGTTTTTGGCGACCATGTCGGCCTTTTTCAGCACCTTGATGGCGAAATATTCTCCAGTAGATTTCTTTTTCGAGAGATAGACGCTGCCAAATGCTCCTTTACTTATGGGCTTGATAATCTCGAAGTCTTTGATCGACGGCTGCGACGATCGGGGCTGCGGCGGCGGCTGATTTCCAGCATTGAGACGTGGAGACGGCGGCGGCTTCATGACGAAGTCAGATATTGCGGCTGAAGACTGTCTCCTGTGATGTCGAGACGGATGAGTAATGGGGGAGCTGAATTCGCTACTAGGAAACATTGGTGATGCCTCGGGGGAAATGATTGACTCGTGCGCTTGAGGCAGAACCCGAGCCTTGATTCTCAGAGGAGAGGATGGTTGCGTCATCATCCGTGACGGGGATTCTTGCCGCCGAGGAGAAGCTGTCTCTGGGATCACTAAGCTTCGCCTGTGCCTCCTGGAGCTCGCTGCACGTCTTAGATCGCCGAATTCAGAAATGGGCGACTCGGTCCTGTTGTGCCCTCGCGAGGCTACTGATGATGATCGTAGGCTTCCCTCGCTCTCGCCAATGTCGCTCTCGAGCGGTAGGGTTGACCCTCGGCGTGAATCTCGAGATTGACTTAGAATGCTCAACCCACCCGGATGAGACCGAGGAGTTGGACATTCTCTAGGACTACTAGATCTAGTAGATCCCACAAACGATGTCGGGCGAGACCGTCCAAGTCCCCCGGACATGTCGACCTGACGAAGTGCTGCAGCTAAGGCAGAAGGGCTGGTAATGGAGTGATCAAAATGCTCTTCGCCGGCGTGGCTCGTCGGCTCGGTGGTTTCACTCCTCACTTCAATGTCTTCTGTGTATGCTTCCGACTCATCAAGCTCGTCTTCGGTGGAATCACTAAACCGACCCTCGGCAATGCGAGCGGCTTTTCTGGTCGCCTCATCAATACAGTCTTGCACGAGAACCGCAAACTCGATGCGAATTCGCTCCGCATATTCAATAATCTGCCGATGGCGGAAGACAGCATCCACCTTGGCTCGAGCCACCTTTTCAGTATCCTCGCAGAGCAATGCCAGACCTTGTTCTTGCTCGAGAGTGTTGGAGCTTGGCGACTGCCATTGGAGCACTTGCGAGATTCTCGATTCCGATTGAGGTGATTGGGTGCGCAGTTCCCAGTTGCCATGCTGCGAAGAGCTCTCCTTGATACCCGGGCAGCTGATTTCAATGGCGGTATCGCATAGATCCAACAGGAGCTCAACGATACGTGCTTGTGGTCGACGAATGGCAAAGGAACGGGCTCTGGCGTGTCCGAACCCGCCTGGTCTTTCTCGCGAACGAGCGAGCGAAGTCCCAGGGGATGATTGTGCCGATGGCGGAGGGCCAATAGGCTGGCCCTTGTATTCGGCGACGGGAAGATTGGGCGAGTCGCCGCCAGTCAATGATCGGCTCTTGCGTGATTCTAGAGCGTCAAGGACCTTGACAATGTGGTTTCTATGCTCACTCAGGCTCTCCTGAGCCATTTGCACATCCATTTCAGCATGGTGCTCTTGGAGACACAGGTCCGTGTGCTTTTCGAACCACCAGGGCGGTATCTGACGCTCGCAAATGCGGCAGAGAACTGGAGGCGGAGGTTCTGGCCCTTCTGATTCTTCGCTTGCAGCTTCTGCTATGCGGGTGAGGATACCGGCGAGGATTTCGACACCCGAGCCTAGGGAGTCGACAATCACGGCGGGGAGATCGATTTGAACTTCGTGTGGTATCCACGGACGAATCATCCACATTGTCTAAATCATTCATCGGTTAGTAAATAGAGAGGATCAAGGGCTGGGAGTAGATTCAATCGTCGAATCTCCTGTTTATCTGCCCAAAGTCGAGAAGAACCTACATGGCTTTCACCGCCCGAGGCACTGTCGTACACCATGATACCCTGTGCCTCGAGATCGGCCACCTCCGTTTGTGGGACTTGTGATGGATCGAGAGCCGAAAGGCTGTCCAACGAGCGTAACTTTGACAGAGGGCCCAAGACGACAGAGAAGCGGACCCTGTGGCTCTTGGAGTCGTCCCTCTTCATCGACTCAACTACATCGGTAAAGATGGACTTGTTTTCGCTGGCTATCAAATCGGAAATGGGTACACCCTCGACGGATTCGACCTTTGTGCCAACAACGTCGGTCCAAGAAGGGCTAACCCACTTGATGGTGCCGTCGAGGTTAAGGTATGCAATGGCATTCAGCGTCTGCTCGGCCGCCTCTCGCAGTTCCTCACGCTCTTCCCGGATGTCCTGGCTGATGGATCTCTCCATGGCCGTCGTCTGCTGAGCTCGCAGCGACTGGACGGCCGGCGGGGCCAGCGAGGCGACGGCGGGAGTGGACGGCTTGTCCATGGCGACGAGGAGGAGGCAGCGCCCGTTGTAGAGAGCGGCTGTTCACGGCGGTGATGGTGGGGGAGCTGGGGTTTGTTCGTCGAGAGACTCGGGGTCTGGCGAGGCGGCCAGAACTACAGACCCATGAAGCTCGGATACATGACGGAAGACGGCCAGCGTAGGGTCACAGCTGTCGCTCTCGTTGTCGTCTTTTTTTTTGTCTTTCGCTGGCGAAGCGTCGTATATTTGGCAACAGGGTAGGAAGGCAGGGCCCCAGGTCGAGGAGGAGGGCTGACGAAGGGAAAAAAAAAAAAAACAATCGGATGCCCTGCGAGCAATCCCACGGCCCAGGCGGACGCAACAGCCAGAAACGAGCCCGGCAGCCGACTCTCAGTACTCAGCAGACGGCCTTTGGCAGAAGCTGCTAAACGACAGACGTTGAATCGGCGACGGGATTGCCCAGAAGCAACAATCGCTGGCGAAGCACCACGCAGACAGAAACTCTTGTTGGATGCCAGTCAGCTCACTCGTTTCACGATGGCTCAATTGTTAATCGCACAGGTACGGGAGTACTTCTGGAGCATCGCGTCCTTCTCCCCCATGACACATTAAGCGGGGGGGCTAGAGCCCGTGGGCCAATCACGACACACCATCTCCTCTGCTCTTTTACCCGCCTGATCCAACCCTCCCAAGCCGCCTCTAAACTCTGCTGGCAACAGCGCAGGTTATAGCGCAGCCATGCGCTGGGCGCTACACCAGCAAGGCCTACGGGGGGCAGACGCTTGGCGGGCTTTAGCGGCCTTGGATAGGCTCTTTAACCCCCCGTGCTGTGAAACAAGACAGCCCGGGACCTGGAGCTTCGAAACACACTGGCGCTCAGGAGGAAAGATTTGATTGATAGGAAAAAAAGAAAAAAGCCGCTTCAGGGTTTTCCCCCTCTAAACAACGCCCGCTTTCTCATATCGCTGCATGATAATGCCTGCTTGTCAAAGGACGGGCTGATTGGCACGGCACGGCACATGGTTGCTGCGACCACGCCACGTCCCGTAAGCGGTGCTTTGGATCAGATAGAGTAATGACATTATTAACGGCAGCGATGGGCGTGGGATTGGGCTTGAGTCTTGCGTGGGTGAATTGCCGGCTGGTCTTCAATCGACACTGTACATCCAGCACTAACAAGCTTCTGATCTCATTGCCCGTGTGAAGTGCGGTGCAGCAAGCATCACTAGGTCAACTACCCCAAGTCTAGTCGACATCCTGATCCTGTGGGTGTCTAGAACTTGTACTAGACATGCGTGGTTGTGTTGTGATGGCAACGGCATGCATCAGAAAGAAGTGGCGATAAGGCTTGGGTGCATTCGGAGAGAAATGCTCTAGAACGGTTGCACCATCCAACGCCCTCGTTTTGCATGCGTTACAAGCTTTGGTAGGACCAACGAGAGCGACGAAGCAGACAAACCAGAGAAGGGGAAACTGGCTGTTGGCGCCCAGATCGGCACAATTGGCTTGGGCTTGGGATCAATGGCCTGGACTTGGGATCATTGGCCTTCGTCCCCTCTCCTCCGCATTTTGCGTTTTGGGCTTTTTTTGGGGTACCCTCCAGCCCTCACAACCTCGCCTTTCCTCGCTCCCACTTGTTCCGACGGTGTGATGGCAGCATCGACAAGCTCTAGCTCCAGCTCTCGACGAGCTCAATGGCCTCTCATCTGCCACTTCACACCTCCCACTTGGACGCTAGCGCTGCAGCGAGCGGCGGCGGGAATGGAGAGGAGAACGGCGAAGAGGGAACGAAGCCCAGTGGAGAGATGAAGCACTAACAAGCATGAAGCAGCATTCGCACCGTGCTAAGCTCTGCAGAAGAATGGATGCACATCACAGGAGCCGATTACACTATCTTTTCAACCCAACTTGGAGCCAATACGCAAATGATATGATTAGCTCTGCCCGCTGCGCTTGCTGCTTATTTGCATTCGGTTCCATGGATTCGTGCATTTGATGGAAGTGTTAATTATACTGATTGATGCTATTCTTTACTCATTCAAAGACAACTCCGAACTCCCGAAAAATCAAGGTTCAATGTCAGCCGCAGGGTCGTGCTGCGAGTAGAAGAAGCAAGCTGCTTATCACCATCTTCTTCTGCAGCGGGTGGCCTTTCTAGCTCAGATGTGTACGATACTATCTCTTGACAGGCGGAAATAAAACCAGTAGGGGCAAACCCGAGAATAGTAGTCATGCCCTGTACCCTGTCTGCGCCGGGTAAGAAGAAATATGCAGTCTAGTAGCAGCATGAGCATCAGTGATAAGGTGCCATACTGTATGTACGGAGAAGTATATACTTGGAGAAGGCATTGAAATTCAACAGGGCCCTTCCTTGCGGGCCAGACACTTCTGTCTCTGAGCTTCGAGCCACTCTCCCTTTTCAATCCATCGCTGCTCCAGCCATCTGGCCAGCTCAGCATCCGTGTAAGGCAACGTCTCAATTGGAAATCTGCGAGTGTGCACGTGAAATGCGTAGCCGGCCTCCTTGCTCAGGTTGGGAATGCTCAGGGTGTCCCACATGGTTGGCACCTCCTGGAAATCACTGCCTCGCCGGTACAAGATGGTCACGTCGTACACAGCCTTGATGTGTGGTGCCTCGCGGAGGTGCTGGACCGTGGTGATGAAGCCCTTGGTGCGGGGATACAGGAGATGCATGGGATGGGGGCGATCGGTCTTCTTACACCATGCCTGCGACTCTTGATACTTGCGCTGGCTGAAGCGAGTGGCCTCGCTGAAGCTGATGAGCCCTACGGCGATGACATCTTGTCAGGCACTCATACTCATACTGTCATACATGGTACACGGATTTCGTGCATGAGGAAATGACGGACGGGAGCCCACTTACAGGTTGGAAGCCTCCTGGAAACGAGCCCGGCAAAGGCACGGTCGAGCCGAGATTTGTCCTTGCGCCAGCTACGGCTCACCATGGGCATACCCATGGCCCAGAGACCCCAGCCAAGGAAGGGCACGAACCGCAGCTGGCGCTTGGCGAAGTAGCGGCACCGGCCCAGCATGCCCGAGCGTATTGCCAGGGCTTGGATCATATAGAAGTCTGACCACGCCCGGTGATTGGCGACGACAATGGCCGATTCGCCGGGGGGCAGCTCATCGCCGGAACAGACAATCCTGGCGCCATTGACTCGCTGGAAGATGAACTGAAGCCACGACCACACCGAGCCGGCCAGGCGAGACGAGAGGCTGTAGACGAGCTCGGGAGCCAGCGGCTTGAGCGGTAGCAGCAGCGACAGGGCCACATCTGCCAGGAACAGATACAGGAACCAAGGCGCCGTCAGCAGAATGCCGCGGACATGTGTTATCAGGGACCTATGCGAAGGGTCTGGCATCCCGTCCGAACACAAGCAAGTCCGGTATGTACAGGTACGCCTGGAGCCTCTTATTGGAAGGATTGAAGTGGCAGTACCTCTCGTAGCACAGCCAGTGCCACTATAAGCACTCAGTCTGATGCAGGAAATCTATCGCAATTGGGAGTCGGGATTGCCTTTTAAGACGGCCTGGAGTATAGCTGGTGGTCAGACTGTCGGCTCACATGACGCCATGTCCATGATTTGTTGAGTTTTGAATGATTGAGACGGCTCAATGGCTATTCAGGATTCAAAATAGGAGATCATAGAGTGAGCGCCTCATACAGTGCTGAAAAGAGTACATGGAGCTTGCTTCAGGTGTAGGCTGCTCTCCATCCAGGAGAGGAGCTCTGAGAGAGAATTCGAGGCTTGAGCTTCTCAGCTGAGCCAGCCAGCGCCCGTTTCGTCCTATGCTATCCATCCCACGCCACAGCATTTCCGAGGAAATAGTTTCAATAGGTTCTATCGGACAAAATAGAATGCTGCAGTACATTCCTGTCTGTTAACCACCAAGGCAGTGCTACATCTAAGTATTAGTCTTTGATGATAAACCGGCCTGCTAGTCTTTCGTCTTCACAGCCCACACATTTCTAGACATCCATCTCTGGGTACTTTATCGTGCTACTATTCATTTCCATGAGCCTCACCGTCTGTCTTATTAATTTGCCTGCCAAGTACATGGCTTTTACGACATCAGGCCACTTGCTTCATAGGTTACTCTTGAATGGTGGGATCACTGCAGTGCTCTCATGTGCAATGTTTCACTTTTTCTTCTTCTTGCATTTGCAGCCCGCCACACGTTAAATTGGCCGGCGCCTTGTATCACTCGCTATGCCCCATATCTCGTCGTACTCAGTACGGAGTCCAGACGCTGGTGCTTACGGACTGCTGTGGTAGCATGACATTGGTACCCATTAGTAATGGATGCTTCATGTTCGGCACTTGGACATCGTAAGCAAGGAGCTGCGAGCTCATTGGCGCTTTAAAAGAGTGCGGTTTCTTAGCGTTGCAACCCGTTCACGCGCGGTCTCAACTTTGGCCAAAGCGACAGTTTACGCCTGCTGGAGGACTGACGCAAGAGGTGGCTTTGGTGCTTGGCGGCCTTGCTTCGCTCTTCGGATTCGCGACTCGGGGGCGCCATGATTTGAGAAACGCTGCTGAGCGGGAGGATCTTGAAGTCAGAGTTCCAATGTTTCCGGTACATGTTGTTCTGCCACCTCGTAATCCATTCTGGCTGTGAATTTCCCTCTTTGCATGCGCCATGGATGTACTCGGTACCGACGCTGGGATGTACATGTACGATTACCTCTGTACTAATGGCCAAGTCAAGTCGCACTGCCCGCGGGCTCCCACCTCCTACTCCTTACACAAAGTCTTATTGCTCAACTCCCCTCCTCTGATCTGCGCGACCCGAGACATGGATCCGTGCAATTTGCCGTGACTCGGAACAAATATTGAGCTGTTGTGCTTCTGCTTCTGCTACTTCAATTCAACTCAATTTCATCCAATCTTCTCTCTGACCCAACTCGCAACCTGTTCCGCCGGACTGGGGAGCCAACCATTGGATAGACGAGCTGGATTGATGTAAGATAGTTCTGCCGAACGCTCCACTGACTCGCCTAATTTTGCCTGCACTTCCGGGCCAAGCACCGCTAAAAGGCCCCCCGACCAGCCCGTCTTTCAGGGCCCTCGCAGCCCCCGTGGGACACAAGAACCCCGCTGTGCCTCGCACGTTTGCATCTGTGCTCCTATTCTCCATTATCCCGCTGCATTTAAGTCCGGACCCTCGAAGCAGGCCAAAACCCGATTGTCGGGAATTGAACCGCTCAGATACTACCTCACAGTTGCTACTACTTTCTCCCTGTTTCTGTATTATTTCTTGCAAGTACTTCTTACTTCCTCCCGACTACCTGGTTAGAGTTGTTCTTGCATCGCGACCCAGCTCGTCTCGACTCGACTCGCCGACCCGAACCGCTCTCAGACAAACTCCGACTGCAGCAACCCCAGACATTCTATTGCTCTAGTACGAGTAATAGTAACAACTCCTCTTCTCCTGTGGATGCGGGTAGCTCAACCCCTGCCTCGCCTTATCACCCTATCGGACCGTGAACGCTGCCTTTGAAACCATCAACATCTCGCTTTCTACAGCCTCAATCCTTCTCCCATCTGTTCTCATACGCCTGAGCACCGCTTGACGGTACGCCTCCGCTCCCCAAATCCAATTGCTTCTGGCGGGCTGTGATTTTGCCACACTGTGGCTGCGAGCTCGTCCGAATCTCACGTCGCACAGTGGCTTATCCGTTCACAGCCGGTGAATATTTTAGCATCCCTCGCGCCAGCGACCGTACCACCGGATTTACTCCTCGTTCACAATTCATCCGAAGCATCGCGAGTTGCCATGTCGTCGTCGCTATCCCCCGACCAGCTCGAAGGAGGCACCTCTCGGGCCTCTACTGAAGGCGCCGACAAGGGCGTCCTCGGCTCTCTGAACCTCAACTTCTTCAAGAACCTGTCATCAGATAAAAAGGTCACTCGCAGTAAGTACTCGCGACATGCCACAGCCCTTGCACTTTTGCGAAGAGCGGCCGCTGATTACTACTCCTCTCCTTGAATAGCCGGAAATCCTCCCAAACGCCGTGGACCGAAGCCCGACAGCAAGCCCGCCCTGACTAGGCGGCAAGAACTCAACCGACAGGCTCAGCGGTAAGCATCTGCGCAACGACATGCGACGTAGTGAGAGTGTAGCAAAATCTAACGAGCCGTTGGTCGTATCTAGTACCCACCGCGAGAGGAAGGAGCTGTACATCAAGGCATTAGAAGACGAAGTTCTTAGACTGAAGGAAGTCTTTAGCACAATCTCACAGGACAAACAGAAACTGGCCGATGAGAATAAGCAGCTCAAGGAGGTCCTTGTCCAGAGGGGCATCCAGCTGCCAAGAGTAGACGACTCGGCAAGCAGTGCTGCGCAGGCGATGAGTGTAAGTGCCTCTGGCATTAGCTACGCGCCCGGGTCATCAAGCGGCTTCTCGCCTGTTGCAACGTCTCACACAACCTCCATGTCAATGTCGCCGGACAACCGCCAACAGTCACCTGCCGGGAGCGGGGCTGATCTTGAGCAGGCTGGTATTGACTTCGTCTTAACGTACGAGAACTCCTCCTCGAAGGCATATCTTTCACCTCCCCCGCAGTGACCCTCGATCGAGGTTGCCACTTCACAGCACAGCGCGAGCCAACACTGTCGGGGGCTTGATGCGCAAGGGCCGGTATGCTAACGGTTGCGACTTTTTGTCGAGGGTTCATTGTAGGCTCGAAAAACCTTGCATGGCACACATGCCATTCTTGGTTGACAGAGCGAGCGACGCCGACGGCGCACCGTGCGGCCACGCCCTCATGGCATCTTGCCCTCCCGCCCCCTTTCAAGACCTGACATCGGAAACTCCCTTCGGCAACGGGCACACGCACGACCACGGCGGCGAGTTTCACGCGTTAAGCCAAGGCACGTGGGAGCTCACCAAAGCCGACTTGTCCACGCTCCTGGACCTCAGCCGGAAGCTCAACCTAGACGGCGAAATCACTCCAGTCATGGCGTGGGGGATGGTTTTGTCTCATTCCAGGTTCGCCGAGCTGGATGCGGGCGATTTTGAAAAGCTTTCCGAGGAGTTGCTGCGAAAAGTCAGGTGTTACGGGTAAGTCTTTTTTCTCCTCTTCAGCTCCGTGTTGGGAATTGATGTTGTCTCATTATTACCTCGGTATGCTGACCCTCGTGAACACAGTTTTGGCGCTGTTCTGGAGGAGTTTGAACTACGGGATGCTATAGAAAATATCTTTTCTGGTCGCCCCGAGGCAATGGTCTTTTAAACCTATTGCTACTCACATCTTTTGTTTAAAAGTTGCTTTTGCCTTTGATTGGGGGCTACCACACGCCCCCCTTGTCTTGTTTTAATGATAGTTGGGTGTTTATGTTAAAGATTCCAGGGCGAACCTCGATGTTTGGTTGCGTCCATGTCTAATGGCGGTATTTTTTCTTTTGCTGGTCTATGCAGTCATGATGTATATATCATTATCTTGTTTTTATCTAGTTCAAATCATTTTGGATACCCAGCATATGGGGTTCCCTATCTACTATATATGCAGACTAATTCTGGTGCAGGCCTGTCCATCACATATTGTAATGCAATATAACATGATGCACGGCGAGGATGTCCTCTCTTCAGAGTGTTGTGGCTAATACAGCTGAGGAAGCGATAAGATAACACACAAATTGTCTGTGGCGGTGCAACACCTGGCACCAGCTGGTGGCGCGGGGCTTGGAACTTTTTCTCGTTAGGTCGCCCCACACCCCACCACAATTTCGATTCAATGTTGGACAAATTCATCGCAGGCCGGACGACGAATCATCACGAGCATAGCGAAAAGCCTCTCTCGGACCCAGAACCGGAAACAAAGAGAGCATACGAAGCAACTCCGTCAAGATGGCCGAATCACTTGACTTTGTCAAGATCTGCGAGAGCTGCCCCCCCGGGGACGGCTGGGGTCCTTCGGTAACGACCGAGATCACTCTGGATGGCGTTCCCTATGCGCCGTTCTCCAAGGGCGACAAGCTGGGGCGCATGGCGGACTGGACTGCCGAGGGCAAGGACCGTGAGCGTGGTGGACGCCTTCAGTACAACCGTCAATACAGAGGTACGGTGGCCATATGTCGTGTTTTTTGACCTTTGAAAGGAGGACGAGTATGCTGACGAAAGAACACGCAAAAAATAGACCAGCAGGTGTACGGTACCGGCCACGCCGTTGTTTTCAATGCCCCTCCCGCCGAGGACGAGACCAGCTTTTCCGTCGTCAGCAACACCAGAGACTCTACCAAGTCAAAATTCGGCCGTGGCGCCGTCTTCACCCGCGGCCGTGGCCAGCGTGGTGGTCGGGGCGACACCCGTGGTGGACGTGGAGGCCAGTTCCAGCGAGCTGCTGGTGGCCGACAGGGTGGCTATGGAGGATACGAGCGTGGTGGCCGCGGTGGTGCAGGTGCTCGTGGCGGACGTCGTTTCGGCTGGAAGGATTATGACAAGCCTGCTCGTAACCGCGATGCTAGCATCAACATCAAGGCTGACTGGGAGCTTCTTGAGGAAATTGACTTCAACCGCCTCGCCAAGCTCAACCTCGACACCGACGATGGTGAGGACCTGGACGACTATGGTTTCCTCTACTACTACGACCGGTCCTATGACAAGCAGCCCGTCAAGGGATCCGAGAGGAAGCTCACTGCCATTGACCGTGCCGCCTACAACGTCACCACTTCATCCGATCCCGTCATCCAGGAGTACGCTGAGAAGGACGAGGCCACCATCTTCGCCACCGACAGCATTCTCTCCATGCTCATGTGCTCTACTCGCTCAGTCTACCCCTGGGATATTGTCATTGTTCGCCAGGGCAACAAGATCTTCCTTGACAAGCGTGATAACGCCAACCTGGATATGGTGACCGTCAACGAGAACGCCGCCGACGCTCCTCTGGAGGCTGCCGATGGCGGTAAGGATGCCATTAACCAGCCATCTGCCCTTGCCGAGGAGGCCACCTACATCAACCACAACTTCGCCAACCAGGTTGTGTCCGAGAGCGACTCGACCAAGGTTGAAATGGCCCACGCCAACCCCTTCTACAACTCCTCTGAGGATACCGATCCTGCTGCCAGCAAGGCCTACAAGTACAGGAGATTCGACCTTTCTACCAACGAGGAGGAGCCTGTGTACTTGATTGTCCGTACCGAGATCGACGCCGTCCAGAAGAACGCCATCAGCGGCGAGGACCAGCTCGTGACCATCAAGGCCCTCAACGAGTTCGACAGCCGAGCCCAGGGCAGCGGAGGCGCCCTCGACTGGCGGACGAAGCTCGTGGCCCAGCGCGGTGCTGTTGTTACCACCGAAATGAAGAACAACAGCTGCAAGCTGGCCAGATGGACTGTGCAGAGCATCCTGTCCAAGTCCGACGTTATGAAGCTCGGGTATGTAGCTTTTCTCGTCCACTGAGACTTCTTCTTCTTTGCTCAGTATTTGCTAACACTTCTAATCGCAGATTCGTCTCTCGTGCCAACCCCCGAAGCAACGATAAGCACGTTATCCTCGGAGTGATCGGCTGGAAGCCCCGCGACTTCGCCAACCAGATGAACCTGTCCCTGTCCAACGGCTGGGGTATCGTCCGCACCATTGCCGACATGTGCCTCAAGCGCGAGGAGGGCAAGTTCGTCCTGGTCAAGGACCCCAACAAGTCCATCTTGAGACTGTACTCGGTCCCCGCCGGCAGCTTCGACGACGACGACGAGGAGGAGCCCGAGGTGGTGGAGGAGGAGGCTGAAGAGTAAAGCCGTTGATTTTTGTGTGTTTTTCTCTTTTTACCAACTATATGTGATGTGTTTCATACCTGTCCATGTCCAAACACTTTTATTTTTTCCACTTTTTAATGAGTGAGTTGGTTTCGATTTTTCCAGAAAACGGCAAATCTCATGATGGATACATGCATAGGCTAGATCTGGTCTCGTTTCAGGAGCATGGTAGCTTACTAGGAATGGGCAAACGAAGATACAAAAAAGTTTTTTTTATATCATATCCGCTTCATCATGATTATCTTACTTTGATTTTCACTCACCCGCAGCAGGACTTGTCACGCTCACATGTCTTATTCGTCTAACAGCTCTCTCTGTCTATTCATCCCAGCGAAGTCTAGTTCCGTCTCTCGGCCTATCGTAACCAAGTCCTATATCGAAGCAACTCGTGCCTGATCTATCTTGGGTATCTTTTTCTCGCATCCCACTTCACACAAACTCTAGAAGACTTTTAATAGCCATTCTTGAACCGTTGAAAACGAAAACAAACAAAAATCCCCCCTTCCCATTAGATGTAACTCCTTGTCCCTCTTCTAACCCCGAACCTGTTGCAGATACCAGATCCCAACCTCCTGAAGGAAATCCAGCAACTGCGTAGTCTTGATACCTGTAGCTTCATACCCCATCTCCCTCATCTTCCTCTCCTCCCCGCACAACCATTCCCGCGCTGCATTACCCCGTGGCTCAAGACCAAGACGAGTACTAGCAAAGTACATCGCAGCAAGGAGCCGACGATAACGACGGCCGGGGTCCGGGTCATGGGCGATGAAGGCACGAGACGTCCACACGGCTTGGATCTCCTCGCGGAGGCAGTGGTCGAGAGGCTTGGAGGGGCTGGATGCGTGATGGCTTTCACGAGCGGCGTTGGCGAGGCTGGTGCCGAGAGACTCGGTGTGCTCGTGCAGAGGCCAGGATTCGCTGGAGGTGGACTGCTGGTAGTGCTGGTGTAAGAGGTGGTCGAGACGGTTGAGAATGTCTGAGCTAATTTGGAAAGCCTCGGAGGAGTGGTGAAGCTGAATGTATCTGTCTCTGAGCGAGGGGGTTATAGGTGGGAGCATAGGCTGGGATGGAGCAGCTTGCGAGAAGCCGTTTACCGGAGAAAGGGGACGGCGAGATAGTGGCTCCGGGGGAGAAGCTGCATTGTAACACTCATTACTAAGAGAAGCACGGTACTGTCCATCGTTGCCGCCATCATAACGGACCTCTTTGATGGGTGGTATTCTCTTATAGCTGGAACTCGTCGCCTGAGGTTCATAACGAGCAGTGCCCTTGGGCGAGAGTTCATCCATCCCCTGAGTTCGACTAGCGGAATGATAGTATGACGCCGGAGCAACAGAAAGCCGCGGCTCCATGGGACCATCACAGCCATACTCTCGAATCCGAGCATCCTTTTGCCGAGAAGTCTCTCCATCGAGAGCCCGAGCAGCCTCATCCGACACCACGACAAAAGAAGAAGCCAAAGGGCCCTTCGACTCATAACCTGGCCTCCGTTTACGGCCTGGTGTTGCGCCTGCTCTCTGCTTCTTAGTCCCCGACGGCATCTCCGAAGCCTGGCGTTTCCGCTTGCGAAGGATAGGCGGCGCGTCCCAGTCCACGGCGGCAGTATCAATGGTATGTCTGGGGTCGTTTTGCAGACGGCCGCTGATACAGCATTCGTGACAGATGGAGAGCTTGCAGACACGGCATTTTTGTAGAGTGCCGCAGCGTTGACGATGGCAGAGATCGCATTTTGCGGTGGGGACGTTGGAGGCGTCCCATCCGTGATGAGCGATGTCGAAGACGGGCGGGGAGAGCTGGACGGGGATTTCAGGTTGCTGGGATTCTGGGCCGGTGGTGGCTATTGCGTGGTGTTCGGTTAGAGTGTTGGTGAAAGTGACGGTAGGATACGGGTTTGTCTCTCTGGTTGGGTTCTTGTCTTGGTTGTGGGAAGTGTAGTTCCCGTCATCTTTGGGGGTTGACATTGTTGGGACTTTTTGTTTTGTGAGGGTCACGCTTATAAGTCACCTGAGGGCGAAGACGGTCCTAGTAACGCCGAATTTTGCGGTATCGTAGCTTTGGTCTAAGAAGTTGCTGTCAGTTGAACATGAAGAGAAAAACTGATAGCCAAGGAACAAGGATATAAGTCACCGTAAAGGACCCGTCAACACCTCCCGTAAAGCCCTCAAGCGTCAGAGAGGCAAGAGTGAGCAGGCGTGTATGGTCTTGTGAAGTTCAAAACACATGAACATAGGGAGGAAGAAGCTGAAATAAATACATGTAGGCGGAGAAGCGTCCATGATGTTGAAGAAAGCTCCGGAACGATACACGTGTGCAAGATTCACTGTTGCAAACGACGGGGAGGAAGTAGACAAGAGTTGTGGATAGAGAGGTGAGCGGTCAAGAAAGGATGTTATGTGATTCAGTGTAAGCGTCAGGAGAGATTTCGAGCTGATGGGTTGAGAGGTTCCGTTTGCTGGACGAGCGAGTTGTAGGATGATCACCGTAAGTTGGAGAGGATATTGGTGCGTTCAAGAGAATTGTATTTGAATATTCATATGGTCTTTTAGTTACTGAATCAAAGCTATAGTTGGATGGCGCTCAAATGCAATGGAGGCAAATTGGAAGATGAGACGATGATTCTGGAACTCATGGAACAACGATGGAAGTGGTCCATTGCGAGGAGAACTTGTAAAATGGTCATCCTTTTTCTATCATGTTTTTTTTCCTTCTTAATTTTCATTATTGAAACGGTAATATCTACTTGTACATGGGCAAGATGGGCAAGTGCATTTAGTTATGAATGTGTTATATGTGTTATAAGCACATGTGCCGAGGCTCGCCTTTTACATATAAGTGCTCACTCTCGGGCTATCATTGGAGTACAAGTAAGCGAGCACTCCTCATCGCTTCACGGCATGCAAAGCAAGAATAACTCCATTCCATCTATACAATGGTAATGGTAATGCCATCTTAAAAACAAATTGTCACAGCCACGATGATGGCGCTTGGGGGCCAAAGCCAAGGCGCATGTTTTGCTGCCAGATGAGATCCATTGATGGGCTGTGGCGCTTACATGCACGTCTACTCCTTACATGTATACGAACAGGTACATGCTCGATAGTTGCCGCCACTCCCCCTGCCCAGGTCATTGGACGCTGGTGGACGATCAGCCGCAGCTGGACGAGATACGCGGCATTGTGGCGCTTAGAACTGCCGACGATGCGGTAGTACTCGTATGTAGTATGTAGAAATAGTATCAAATAGGATTGGATGTATCGTTAGAAAGGCTTCAAGCGAGAATCAGGCGCTACGGTACGCGCAGGGCTTAAAACAAGGGGGAATTTTGCAGCGTTTCATGCGTGTAGCATCAATGCAAAATGTCCAGTGCCCTTGCAGTAGTCCTGTAGCACTGGATCTGCTTACATGTACATGTATAAGTACACATGTAGATGCGTTGTCAGTCTCTGTCTGTGTTGGCTCGGACGGATGAAAATACACGTCAAGCATGATTCAACTCCAGCTGGCATCGACTGAACAAGAACGGGCAGAAGTTGGCCCGATGGAATTGGAGTTGGACCTGGTGCTGGAGATGGCAAAGAGCGTACGAGTACCTATGCGCCACGGATCATCGAGGCTGTGCGGGTGGTGTGAGGCAAAAGAAATGCGCGTACTCGTACAGTCCAGCAATTCGGGATGGCGATGACCTCCCTCTACCAAGCTGAGAACTAGACTAGATCAATGCTTAGGTATGAATGAGCCCATAATGGTCTCGTGCTAGAGAAGATAGAAAAGCCAAGCGTTTGCCACGCAGGCATCGCATCGCATTCGCCCGGTGGGAATAGCTGCACGCTGTGGAGATTTTCCGAAGCTGTCCAGCAGCCAAGCAACCAAACCCGCCGAGAGCCAACAGACGGCGCCACGGATAGCCTCGTCAGCGCATCGTGCCGAGCCAATGGCAGGCGGCGACAGGGGCCGCTGGGGTGATGCTCAGCCGGAATCGCGGCACGGCTTGCAGGCTTGGGGGGGTCTGACTTAGACAATGAGAGGCAAGGGTGTGGCTGATGGTGTTTGGTAGTTGGGGGGAGATTTGTCGGAGAAAATTCAATTGAATGGGAACATGAACGGTGTTTGTGCTGTGCTCTGCTGTAGGTCAGCTGTGCTATAGCTTAGGTCAGTAGCTGTTGCTGTTGCGTGTTATCGTACTGTACTCTCTGGTACCTGCACGTGTATATGTATGTAAAAACTCGAGGCCGCCCAAGTTCTCTCTTCCCCCGTCCGTCCTTTCAACTCTCATTTCCCACCAGACTTCCTCTTTCGTCCACCCGTGTCCCCCTCATAGGCCTCCTTTGCTCCCTCGTCATCATTTCGCGAGCATCAACGCAGTCGAGGTAAGTTTCCAGTGGTACATGCAAAGCTACACGGCTGCAACGTCCATTCTCTTTCTTCCTCTTCATCTCCCTCATTTCCCCCAAATCAGCATACAGTCATCCTCCGTTGGGCCTCAAAAAGCCAAGATTAATAGCACCTGTCCTGTCCAGCATCACCCGCAAAATCCCCACTCCCTGGCCTGGGCTGCAGGCATTGACGTCCCTCCCCCCGGCTAGTCGAGCTTCATCAATCCTCGTCAGAAAACCGACTGTGCCGTGACAAGTTGAAACGGGCGCTGCACTGGCACTGGCTGGTCCCCTAACAGAGCACCTCGAGTAGCATTAGCGCTCATTTACATCAAATCCATGCACTGATCCATTGATCCATATCTCATCGGGTGCTTGTGAAAGTACCGGCCGGCCTGCCACAGCCTCCCTGCGCATCCACTCCCAGGCCACTTTAAATGCTGGAACCCGCTAATCTTTATTTCCAGACTCCAGCATTCATTCTCACCCTTCCATCGCTAATTTCCCCTTCGCTCTCTCTTCGATTCTTCGCATCCTTTTTATTTCTTTTTAAAACAAAACTTTCGTTTTTCTTTCCTCCGTCTCGTCGCAGCGCGATCTGAACCAGAAACCAAAAACACAAAAAACCCACCAAAATGGCCAGCAACGAATACTACCAGCAGGGCTACCCTCCTCAGCAGGGCGGCTACCCTCCGCAAGGCTATCCTCCCCAGGGCTATCCTCAGCAGCCCCAAGCTGTAAATAAACCCTCCCGTCCCCAGACTCTGATTGATACCCCGTGCGCCGATTCGATCGATTCAAAATATACTCCTGAACCAATCAACTCGGCAATCGGGTGTCGCATCTTGCAGTCAAATCAGTCCTCAAGTCAAAAGGCCATTCGCTAACCAGACGCGTTTCTTAGAGCTACGGTCCTCCTCAGGGGCAGTACGGCCCTCCTCAGGGTCAATATGGTCCTCCTCAGGGCCAAGCTCCCATGCAGTACGAGCAGGCTCCTCCCCCGGATAACCAGCGCGGTCGCGGCGGTGACCAGGGCTGCTTGATGGGCTGTATCGCCGCTCTGTGCTGTTGCTGCGCCATCGAAGAGGGATGCGAGTGCTGGTATGTGGCTTTTCAATCTCAAACTTTACCCCCTTTTTCCAAAACCTCTCCCCCCGCGACCTTGTTTGCGCCAATCACTAATACCATGCCAGTATCGATCTTTGCGAATGCTTCTTTTAAACTACCAATCGACCATATCCGACAATTACGAAAAGGAAAGGAAGAGTAAATGTCCCCAACGTGGAGTGGACGGGACAGAAGGAGGCAGAAAATAAAAACCAAGGGAACACAAAGTTACCCCTTTTTTAGTTTTGTTGTTTGCTATTTGGTTGCGCTTAGGATGGGAGCGCTAGGTTTTACGCGAAATTCAGTCATAATATTTCACCTGTCTCTCCGAAATTGGGTTAATACGTTGTCCTCTTTCGTTGTCTTTTTCTCATTTTTGTCAATTCATACCCCGCCTGCTTTCTTACAGAGGAATAATGGAGAGAGAAAGATTTAGTACCAAAGAGTGACGACTCGAGTTTTTTTTTTTTTTTCGCGTTAATTATAAGATTGTTTTGAGAAAGCAAAGGATGGCGCGTGAGTAAGTGAGTGAGTGAGCGAGTGAGCGAGAGAATGGAATATGTCTCGGCATCTCTATGAAAGATTACTGGCGAACACCCTGTGATATCACGTATCCCATTTCAATAAGAGGGAGTCGACCAACAAATACATGGTGAAACAAGTCACTAGAAATAACACATATGAGACTTCAACGCTTACAGCCTCATTTTCACATGTTAAGGATATAAAAAAAAACATCTTTTTTGTTCCGCCATCCGCCTTGCTAAAAAGCCTATCTATGTGGAAACAACTCATTTACTAGCCTCATCAGGCATAACATGATTGTTTATTTGTTTGTACATCTACCTCGTCCCGTATCTCCCCTCAAGCCCCCCTCGGTCCCTCTACGCCTTATCCCAGCATCTGGCCCTTCTTTACTCGTCAAGCTTGACATAGTTGGCGGGGAAGAGACCAGAGTGGCCGCCGTAGTGACCGAACCACCAGTCCTCATCGGGGAACTCCAAGTTGGTAATCGTAGCATCCTCAGGAAAACTCAGTTCTGCCACAAAAGTTAGCCATGATCATGACATCATCAATTCAGGGGGGTTGTCTCTCACCATTGTCCTCAGCAGCTTCATAGTCATACAAAGCCGTGGCTGTCGGGCCTGCAGCTGCGCTGGCCGGCGCCGCTGGTGGAGCAGCAGGGGCCACAGGTGCCGGTGCCGGCTCGGGCTCTCGGGCGGCAACGGGGGCGGCCGGAGGAGGCGGCGCGGCGGCGTCGTCCTCAACAAGCTCAACGTAGTTGCTAGGGAACAGGCCGCTCTCTCCCCTGACGTTGGTTCCCATCCACCAGTCATCGTCCACCGTGTCGATGTTGGTGACATACTCTCCCTCGACCAGGTCGATTTCGTTATCCTCAGCCTTTTCATAATCATACTGCACCAGAGCACGCTTGCCGCCTTGCTGGTCGTGACTGTCGGCTACTTGAGGAGCGTGCTCAAACGTCTGCTCGGCCACGGCACCAGCTGCGGCTCTTGCAAGGTGGCCAGCTTCGTGCTCGTCCTGAAGCTCCTCCTCTCTGGGAACTGGGACTTCCTCCACAGGGAGGGGAGGAGGTGCGCGCTCCTCGGGCCTCTCGATTGTGGGCTCAGGGCCGCGAGCCACGGGCACGGCGACACGGATTGGCGATGGAGAGCGCTCCCGCTCCTGGGCCACGGGCTGGTATGCCGAGGGGTCTTCCTCCTCTTCCTCCTCGTCTGCAGGAGCTGGGCGGCTGGGAAGGCCGGGGAGGGCGAAACCTCCAGCTGGCCTGGAGCCATCCGGAACAGGCGGTGGGGCCTGGTACTCTTCCTCGACTGCTCGAGACGTCGGTGGTTGGCCAGCCCCGATGGGAACGGTGTTCTTAAACCGATCTCTCAAGGCAGACACGCCCGAGGGACCCGAGGACTCGTCCTCCGCAGCCTCTCTGGTCTCTTCCTCCTGCTGATCCGCGGATTCGGGAGCACCACGTGTGGCTCCTCCGGTTTGAACTGGAGCCCAGCTCTTGCCCGTGTAGCCACTCTTCCAAGAAGACGAGCCGCCGGTCTGCTGAGCCTGTTGAGCAGGTGGCACTGGCGACGCTGAGGCAGGGATACCGCTAATGCTTCCACCTTCTCTCGCCTTCTTCTCCGCCCAGATCTGAGCTGGGGTCTTTCCACCTTGGTCTGCGAACGTCCGGCTAGCAGCTCCAACTGGGGGGGCTGCTGGGGCAGCCGGGCCACCGAATCCGAGACCACCGGGGGATGGCGCCTTTGTGCCGGTGAAGGCAGAGGCACCGGACCACTTCTTCGCAACGGTAGGCTTGGGGAGTGAGGTCAGCCGTCCAGCACTTGGCTGCGAGAAAGCAGCTGCTCGATCGGAAAGGCTCTGGGTTTGCTGTTCCGGTTCTTCTGCTGCTGGTTCTGCTGGTTTTTGTGCCCTGGCTCTAATTGCAGCAATGTCGACCTTTCCAACAGGCTCATACGCTCCCTTGACTGGCGTGGGTCTGTCATCTCCCGTCTTCTGGGCATGTGCCCTGATGGCCGCAATGTCTACTTTGCCCACAGGCTGGTAGCCGCCTCCGATAACATCAGACGAGCCCGTTTCCTGTCGGGGCGCGCCGGTGAAGCGCGAGGGCTCCGGCTTCTGACTTGTAAGCTCTGCCATGTTCACCTTGGTTGGCTGATAGGCAGGCGCGACCTTTTCGATCTGTGTCCGAGTGATGGGAGGAGCGTCGGCTCCCCAACCATCCGCATCGACAGCGCCGGCATTCCTGGATCGAGCAGCAACAAGAGGGTCGGCAGGACGACCTGCTGACGACGAAGGTGTGAAAACAGGCTTAGCTTTGACTGGCGGGGGCGCATGTGTGGCAGCTCCGGCCGAGGATCCGGCCGAGTACTTGGCACCCGACGCATCAGCAACCTTGCGCATGATGGATTCAGGCTCGAGGTCGCTGTCGGAGCGGGCGGTGATCTGGACGTGATATCCGTGAAGGACCTTGGACACGGCAGCCAAGTGGCTGGTGAAGTATCCCTTTGTGCGCTCGGGGACACCTCCTCCACACCAGCCGATAAGAACAAACTTGGGGAGACCCGAATTGGGGTCCTTGACCTTGACAAAGGCGAACTGGATTCGGCCCTCGCTGAAGTCCTCAATCAGCTCGGTGAGCTCGCCATCTGGAAAATAATTAGCATCTTAGGCCGACGAGTGCAAAGCGCAAGGAAGGGATCATCAATGGGTCGCGTACCGCCTGTGCTCTGAACTTTGAGTACGCTCTCCTTGGAACCGCTGTCTTGGAAAGCGTTGACCAGGGGAGCTTGGACAGAGAAGAGCGCCCACTGGGCGTAGGTGGGCGAGCCGGATGCCGGCGTTTCTCCGCCAACGACAGCATTGTAGCTGCTCTTTATGGAGGCGCCGTTTGTAGAGAGGTTGAGAGACGCCATCTCGAGGTAGGTGTCGTGGGCGTAGCGATAGAGGTCGATGGAGGTGAAGGGACGTAGAGAGTATAGAGTAGAGGGGAGGAATTGAGCTCCGCTCAGCAATGGCTAGCGACGTCTTTGTTAGCATGCAACTCAGGGGAGACTAGCAACGGCGGGTTGTGATTGTGGCCTCACAATGCAATGGCCCGTTATCGGCAGCCCAATAAATAGCACGGCTAGGCTATGTATGCTTCGAAGAAGATGGGAGACTCGGGTACAGAAGTACGAGTAGCTGCTCGGGCACAAAGGGGGAGATTCGGATTCGGGGATTCGTGGCCGACTCGAGCTGGCAAGCTGATGGACTGCCTGTCTGGCGGGACATGCGTCGACGCTGCGTGGCGCCGAGGCGGGGACAATAAGCAGCCTGCGTAGATGCATAGCCCCGGTGGTGGATTGCACGTATCGGGTCGGGATGAGCTGGGGGGAGCTCAAATGACGCAGAGTTGCCCCTCTTTGGCCTTGCTGGTGGCAGGTCCGCCACCCCCAGCGCCCCAGGCAGCGTGTATCGCTTATTGCTGGTGCCTGAGAGCGCTGGAACTCAATCTTCAGGAGGTCAGGCATGAACTACGACACTTGATGTTTTCATGAAGCCCGATTTTGGCTTGATGCGACTCGATTTAGTGCTGGACTCAAACTCATCCCCTTTCTTTAGGTAACAAGATTACAATCCGACGTAATCTTACAATGTACGCGTAAGTGAGTACGGTATTTAGCAGGTATAGGCACAAGCACCCGGATAGTATAGAGGCCTCGTTGTAACGAATCCTCAAATCAATCCTGCTAATACTAACCGACTAAGGCACTGGTAGGTAGATGTAGCTTCATGTTCCAAGTTGCTCATTGGCCCATGTCCAGGACAGTCGTGGATAGCCTCCAAATGCAGGGTAGTTACCATCTTCTGTAATAGACAAGCCCACTTTGGATCTCATCTCCGGCAAACCCGTTGCATGCAAGGCGTCAGAACCCCAAAGCCCAAGATACACATCCATATGCATAGGAATCACTAGGCCCGACGTATGCAAGGGGAGCATAAACACTTGTGCTGCAAGATCTGGCTGTCCGGAGTCCGGAGTACCCTGCCGTCTAATCAGAGCTCCATTACGGCGTTAGGCTCTTCCTCAAGGCCGCGTTGCAGATACTTCGGCCGGTGCCTTGCCTGCCAAGATACCGTCCCTTTACTTCTCTAGGTACTATTCACCGTCATTCTAAAAAAGGAGAAAAAGAAAAGAGAGCCCTCGAAATAGATGAGCCTCGGTGTTGTTAGGGCTCGTCAACTTCAGTTGCCGAGCCACATTGTTGCGTATATTTAGCCCAACGACACGCGTTTCATCTCGCCGTCCCAATATACCCAACCTGGCTGGGGTGATGTGTAGCCAATCGGATGGATTCCTTACCGCGGAAGGAAATGGTAATATCAGCTCGACTTCAGCTCGCAATGATGACCGTATTCCTACCTGTATTGTATTAGCCCGTACATTACGATATGAGTTTCTTGCCATGATACTTTTGTACTCCCGTTCTCAGCTATACGTACTTTACTCCTTCTTACGGCCATACCCCGAAATAAGCATAAGGTCGAGCTTATAACAGGTAGAGGCTATTTCTAAACGAGATTTCGCACTTCCTGGCATGTACAAGCGCATGGCTGGCTGAATTCCCCATGAAAATCGCACGCACTCAATCCTTCGCCAACTCGTTCTTTTTACTTTAATAGCACTAAAGGCATCTAAGAGGTCTTGCATACCTCTCCTCGCGTTTCCTAAATTAGCAAACAATCCCGGCAAAATCACAACTTGTGATGTCATTTTCGTTCATCAAAATCTGCATACTCTGCCATTGATTCCGTATTTCAAAAGGCCCTCTTCTTTCTTTCTTTTGCTTGAAGATCATATCCTGTGAGCATTTCTATTTGCAAAGAATTTGGCTCGTGTAGTTGGGCTCGTGAGAGTTTGATTACAAATTGCACACCGGTGTAGAAATAGCAGCGGCCCTGATTTCAAATGCTTGCGATGACCTTTGCAGCAATGGGCCTTGCGCCATCACTTTTACCCCGCTAAAAATCCAACTCTGATACTCCAGGCCGATTCTCGCCGTCTTCGCCCACAACCGCCATACAAACATCCGTCATCTTACATATCCGATCCTGAACTCGACCTCAGGCCTGGTGACAAGATGTCGACGATTACCGAAATCCTGACCGACGAGCAGTGGCAGCAGGTGCTCAGCTCTGCGCCCGCTTCAACCCTCATTGTCGCTTCTTTCCACGCACCATGGGCGGCGCCATGTGCCCAGATGGCAACCGTCTTGTCCACGCTCGCATCCGAATATCCCGTCACCGACCCGCTAAGCACCCAGTGGGTGTCGATCAATGCTGAAGACCTCAGCGACATCAGCGAAACCTACGATGTGACCGCGGTTCCCTACCTGGTGCTGCTGCGAAACGGCGAGGTCGTCGAGACCGTCAGCGGCAGCAGCGCCCTCAAGGTACGGACGGCTATCGAGAAGCACGCAAACAAGGCTGGGGGTGCGACGCAAAGTGCTGCTGCAACCAACGGCACTGCTCAGGCCGCCGAAGTGGCCCAGGCCGATGCCACCGTCGTTGACCCGGCCAAGCAGAAGGAGGAACTGTTCAAGCGTCTCGGCGACTTGGTCAAGGCAGCCCCCGTTATGCTCTTCATGAAGGGCACACCCAGCTCTCCTCAGTGTGGCTTCTCGCGACAAATGGTTGGAATCTTGCGCGACAACTCTGTCAAATACGGATTTTTCAACATTCTCGCCGACGATGATGTGCGCCAGGGTTTGAAGGAGTATGCTGAGTGGCCGACTTTCCCGCAGCTGTGGGTGGACGGCGAACTCGTCGGCGGCCTCGACATTGTATGTGCTATTATTACATGAGCATTCTGGTATTTCACTGACACTGGTTACAGGTTAAGGAGGAGCTAAGCAGCAACGAGGATTTCTTCAAGCCATATAGTGTCACTGCCGAACCGACGGCGGCATAAAGGCAAAGCCGAGAAATGTGTAGACAACACCTCCTCACATTTCCGTCTATGATATCTCTGGTGAAAATAATCTTGCCAACTATTATGGGTTGGTGGTGGAGCCGTGACACAGAGCCATATTAAAGTGTTCCGGTCTGTTCAACTGTAGGAAGAAGTATGCTACGCAGGCCCGGAAGTGTCTAGAGATGAAATGCGTGGGACGACAACACAATGGCAATTTGCCCCTGCATACTATATCGAGTTGTCGGATGAGCGAAGTTGGAATCGGAGTGTTATATATATCGACGAGGTTGAACATATGTGACCAAGAGTAGAAAAGAAGGGCCCTTTATTGAGTTGGTCATGTCTGCCGAGTCGGGTATTTGATGAGTAGGAAAGCAGAGGAGGATATGATGTATGAAAGCCACAATTTTATTGAAGAACAAATAAAAAATATCAACTGAACAATACAGATTTTGGATACTGTTGCGTCGTGAAGTATTTGATGCACAACATGTCGTTGGAACTCGACTTGGGAGCCGTGGAGATCGGAAGTTGTTAGTGGTTTAGTTCATAGCAAAGGAGAGGTCTGCCGGGAATACTCCGTGTTGGCTATTCACTCTATATTATACTGCGAGCGTATCAGGCATCTCCAATGCCCCTAGGCACCAATTTAAAGCTGCGTCCGATCAACTCGATACACCACAACCCAGCGCATGTCAGTCCATGCCCTGTTGGGAGTGTTCCTGAAACCTCAACTCTGCACGTGCTGTCCGGTATTTCAACTGCCGCTGATACCTCCCAAGGCCAGCAGGAAAAGAGGAGATGGAATCAGCCGTACGGAGTTCCATGGCTAATTTGCCCACGTCCATTGGCCGGATAGGGGGCTAATCGGCTGGTTCGCTGACACTCCGCGCTACAACTACAGGGGCGCTAGCAGAACTGCTAAAAATCGACAGCCTGCGAGGTGAGTCACAGAGTTGCAGAATGCAGCGTCAACTACGTAAACTAGCTGGAGCCTTGTCCATATCCAGGCTCGCAGGAAATGACCTCGTGCGCGTAGCGGCTTAACTCCGGGCTGTGCTCATCTCGCAAAGTTTTCCCGCGTGAAAAAAGACCACGGGAAATGCTGCTACATGGCCCTGCGAAGTCCTCGACCGAAGTCCGTACTCCGGAACGATTGTACGAGCAACTCGCGTGTACATACACGGAGCCCCAGGGTCCAACACAGCGTCTGGGCAGTGACGTGTGAGTACTCTGCTTAGTCGAAAGGTTAAGTTGCTTTGCAAAGGCGCAGGTCAAATGACAGGCTCTGTTTTCTGTGTACTTGCAAAGGAACGTCGGCGCTATGGAAGAATAAACGGACCGCCTGGAAGCCTTTCCCATGGCTGGGGTCGTCATGGATCTGCCAATGGGGATTGCTACCATGCACTAACACGGGGTACTTGCAGAGCCGGCTGACAAAGCAGCCGCTCGGCTTTGAGATAAGCTTCCTGTTTGGTGGTGGATGAGATCGAAGCTGCTTCAATGCCATGTTTGCATGTGGTGGGCAATGCGGCGGGTTTAATTTGTCGAGATGAAATCAAATTGACGACCTGTCTTGTTAACCTTTCGGACTCACTGCTGGATGAGGGATTTGAGAACCAGATGCTACGTTCTGCTACAGCTGTTCATCGTAAACATCACCTGGTAGTAGCAGTAGCATCCAATTGTACCACACAGCCGAGCCGGGGGCCTAGCACAATAGCTACCGGTGTTAGTGCTGCACCGCAAAAAAAAAGTTGGAGACTGGACGCCTCAGTGATTAATGCATAGACGCACCTCCTGGGTGGTACCGTTTGGTATCACGCAAGACTCGCGCCCGGCTCGACACCACTTCCTGGCTCCCCCCACCAACCGCGATTCTCGGGGGGTTCCTTTATTATATTTTGTGCTTTAACCTCTATTCCAGCAGACGTCCCTCTTCTTCTTCTCACAAACGCAAATTTTCTCTCATCCCCCTCACTTTGACGCCCTTCTCTCTCATCCTCCTCCTGCATCACCAGCTTCGCCTGCAGGACTCTGACGTTTTCGGCTTTCCGTCTTCCCCAAGTCCGCCACCCAAGCTTTCCGGCCCCTCTCCGCCTTCACCACTTGACAACTGACTGCCATATCAAGCCACCAAGGCAATTCCGCCCGCTTCTCGTCCGATCCCAAAACGAGGCCGCGCAACCACTGGCATCTCCAGTCCAGGGTCCGAAACCATCGCAGAACATCTTCTTTTCGCATTGCAACCCGAGCCCGAAGCCGTGGATTCGCTTTATTTCCGGCGAATGCAATCTTTTCTGACCAGCTACCAGCTGATCCTCTAAAAGGGCCAGTCTAATTCTCTCTGTCGTCGCACTGAGCCGTCGCCTCGTTTCCTCCCCTTTCTCGGCCTGGCTGCTTCTAGCAATTGACAGGCTGCCTCCCCCTGCCTTCTCCGGAGCCCTCAGAGGTCTAATATATGCGCCGCATCAATTATAACCGGCAAGCCGCTTGTGAGGCCGGCTGAAGTTCAGAGCATTTCGGTGTGATCCTTAAATCCGAATCGCCTCATCAGCCAACAACCGTCTGAGATTACGAGAGCCCCTCAGCTTTCCTTCCCCTCCTCTACAATGACGCCCACTCCGCCTTCGACCAACTCTTCTACAGGGGGTCGCTCCCCTGAGGAGCAGTTTCGCGTTGTGAGGAAGAGAAATCGTGTGCCTTTGAGCTGTTACCCATGCAGGACAAGAAAGTACGTCGTTATCTCCGCACTGTCCATGGACAAGAGTGTAGGCGTGCTAACCTCCCATGCAGATTGTGAGTGCCTAGGCGCTCGGATATGGCTTGACGAACAGCCAAAGAGCAGCATCCTTTGATGCATTTTGACTTGCTAACATGGCGTAGGAAATGCGACAGGAACCACCCGTGCAGCAACTGCACCAAGCGAGAGGGCATGGACACGTCGTCATGCTCCTATGCAGCTCCGGCAACCCGAAAAAAGAGCCAGAACCAGGCCGACGCCACGCCGGATGACATGCAGAATAGGATCGACCGGTTAGAAGGCCTTGTCCTGTCTTTGATGCATGGCGGGGCTAATGTAGACCCTGCTTCAGCCGCTGCGGCTGGTCGAGCTGCCTCTACGTCGCAGTCGTTAACTGATAGCGGCTCTTCCGCCAAAGCTGGCCGCGACGAGGGGGTGACAATGCTCGAAGACGATAGCGACACGGAAGAGGGACTCGCGGCTTCGCTGGGAGTTTTGAAAGTCGACCCCGACAAGGGCAAGTCCATGTATATCGGCCAAGAGCACTGGCATACGATTTTGTCCGACATTTCCGAAGTGAAAAACTATTTCATGTTTCACAAGAAGGAGCTGGAGACGAGCTACGAGCGTGTCAGGCTATCAAAACCAATGGCGGCTCGGGAAGGGCCGACGTTGTTGCTTGGTGCCTTGCCCGCCTCCGAGATTGAGCTTCGCGCGGAGCTGCCTCCAAAGTCGAGCATCCTGACCCTGTGTAGCCGTTATTTCAACTCAATGGACAACGCTGTGTGTATAATACACGGGCCGACCTTTTTCAAGCAGCTGAAAAGCCATTGGGAGGACCCGTCAAAAACGCCAATTATGTGGCTAGGGTTGCTATATTCCGTGCTTACTCTTGCCATGCTGAGCTATCACAAAGTTGGTGATGAGCCTCCTGAGTGGAGAGGCCGGACTTTGGAGCTGGCGTCAGAATATCGGTTACGGACAGTACAATGTCTGATCAAGGCAGACTACACGAAGCCGGTCGAGTACACTGTCGAGGCTATGCTTTTATACGTCTTTGGAGAGTACTCATCTCGGTGGGATGCCGACCTCGGATTGTGGTTGATCGTTTCTGTCATCACGAGAATAGCCTTCCGCATGGGATACCATCGAGATGCCAAATGGTTTCCCAATCTTACACCATTTCAAGCTGTAAGTTCACTTTTGGTACTTCGCTGACGAGCAAACAACTGATACGAGACGACGTAGGAAATGAGAAGAAGAGCGTGGGCGTTGGTCCGCATGTCTGATGTCGTCTTTTCACATCAGGTGTCATTGCCTAATATGATATACGAGAACGACTGCGACACTCAGCTTCCAAACAACCTGTTCGACGATGAATTCCACCCCGATACCAAGGAACTGCCACCTTCACGCCCCTCTTCAGAACCGACGCCGATATCATACATGATTGCGAAAGTGAGGCTCTGCTCTGAGTTGGGAAACATTTTGCAGGCAACAAACATGGTTGGCAAAACTGTTCCATACGACGAGGTTATCCGATTCGACGCAAAGCTTCGCCAAATCATGCAGGAGCTTCCTCCTCACCTTCGACTTGGTGCACTAGAGGCGTCTCAGGATCCGGTGACATTAATCATTGCAAGGTACAACATTGATATCTTGTTTCAGAAGATACTCTGTCTGCTGCACAGGAAATATCACGCCAAGGCCCAGCATAACCCAAGATATGCCTTTTCTCGACGCAGTGCTATCGAAGCGTCACTGCAGGCGCTAGAACACCTAACCAAGCTGCATCGCGAATCTCAGGGGAACGGCCGGCTGCGATCTGTTTCGTGGTACATCAAATCAATTGCGACAAAAGAGTTTACCTTGCCAGCTATGCTACTTGTTCTAGACCTTCATTATGATAACATTGCACGGCAATCGCCCAACCCCACCGACGACGGCTTCGTCTACACTGACGAGCAACGAAGCAAAATGATCGCTGCGCTCGAGACTGCCAAGGGCATATGGGCCGCTCTTGCTCATACTTCAATGGAAGCCTTCAAGGCTACCAAAGTCATTGAAATTATGCTGGACAAGATCAAGGTGCCTGGTGGAGAAGCCATGGATTCCAACAGCGACCAAGTCCCATCCCGAACCGACTCCCTGTCTGCCTCAATTGTAGGGTCAGGCTCAGGCTCATCACTGGATCAAACACCCTTGTCATTGGGCTTTGTGTCTCCCATCGGGATCCCTGGCTTTGGTGGCCAAGACCCATTCTCGCAGAGCAGTGCCTTTATGGGTATGGACTTTGGTCTACGGGCTACGAACGGGAACGGGAACGAGTTCCCGCAGTTTGACGCTCTCAACGGTAATGGCGCCGGTGCCTCTCCGCTCTCCATGTTTACAAACTTGGGCGGCACTGGGGCAGGCGACATGGCCAATTTTGACTGGGTAAGACTGCAGTTTCCTCTCCTTTAGCATTAGATGAACATTGACTAACAATCCCGTTTTAAATAGAGTGCATTTGAAAACTACACACAGATGACAACTTGGGGAGCAGACCAGAGTTTCCAGATCTACGGTTCTGGGGAGCAATCGTCTCCAGAACAGGGACTGGGCGATGGTGCGAGTATGATGAACGAGCAGCAGTAATTGGATGTGTATTTAAACACTCTTGTATATGATAGAACACGTTCGTTGGACATGTTTGATCTGGAATTTGGTATTTGGATAAGGGAAAATGCAAGGTCTTTATGAGCAGGGACATTTGTAGCTACTTTTATTCCAAGCCCCCGCCTTCTCTCCGCTTCATAAGTAAATGGTGTTCTTCTGTCTCTCTGTATGGTGACGATGACTGCTTTGCAATGAGACTTTGGATAAGCTAAAAATAAGAGGTTCTTATAGTACTGTTTCAAGGGTAGCGGTATATTATCTACTACATCTACATCTACCTACTAGGTAGTACTGCATCTACTACATCTATTATATCTACTCTGGTCTACTCTGGTCTACTCTGGTCTACTCCGGTCTACTACATCTACTCTGGTCTACTATTGTCTACTACATCTATTACAGTCTACTACGATCTGCTCTTATCTACTATAATCTACTCTAATCTACTATATCTACTCTAATCTACTCTAATCTACTATATCTACTCCAATCTACTATATCTACTCCAATCTACTATATCTACTACGATCTACTAAAATCTACTATATCTCTCTACCGTAGACATCTTCTGTAAGCATTCTGTAGTGCGCATCTCAAGTGGCCACTTCGCTTAGTCATCACCAATCGATAAGCTGCCTCTAGCAAAAGTTGTGCAGTGTTTCTACGTCAGCCCATGCTTTATAGGGGATTTAGTGCCCGTCACACGGCGAGACCGAAAAAGCTCCGGAGAAGATCAAGAGCAGAGAGCTCTTTCCGTGCCTTTCATTGCGTCTTCTTTCCCTCTAAAGAGATCCTTACAGCCGCTGTTTAGAGTCTCTCGATGATACTCCAACGTGCCTGCCCGTGCTTGCAAGGATTCTGGGCAAGGGCTACTCCCTTGCATCGCTCCTGCAAAATACCCCAAGAGTGCTAATAATCTCAACACATGTCTTCCTCTTCCTCTTCGCCTCTTCAACAGCTCGTCTTCTTCTCTATGCAGTCATGGACAACGTTCGGCAGGGGCACGTGGTTGATGCCAGTCTGGCATACCTACAGAGGCTTGAGGATGAGATGCGAGTTCTGAACGGGACACAACTCGTTTCATCTGACAGCAGCACCCTGGGATCCCCGAGCGCTAGGAAACGAAGGCGACTGGAGAGTTCAAGCGAGAGCGAGGGCAAAACTTCCAAGAAGACCAGGATCACCTCTGCTAGCCGGGACAGAGTTGATGTTGTCTTTGGCCCTGCGGAGCATCCCCAGGACAGGTCGCGGCAGCTCCCAGCGGAGTTGTGGCATCACATCTTTTCCTTTCTCTCACCGGTTACTCTTGGGCGCTGTCTGCGTGTCAACCGGCTGTTCCACAAATACCTCGATCCTGTCTCGCCCTTCATCTCTTCTGTGATACACGTGCCTACTACTCGTATATTGCCTAGACTGCCCCCAGACGCCATCTGGCGAGCGTCCAGATGTCTTCACTGGCCAGCTATGCCCGCGCCGCTTAAGGGAAAGTTTGAATTGGATATGTGGCGGTTTGCCTGTATCCGATTTTGCCAATTCTGCGGCCAGCTGGACAAAGCCTACAATACCACTGAGGATTCTTCAAAGTCCCGCAGACCTGGCAATACCACTGTATCGCCTATCTTTCCTTTCTTCATCAATTCGTGCGGGAACTGTTTGGTTGGGAAGAGCATCAAGGTGAGTGACGTCGCCTTCTCTTGTTGGGGTCTATCAAGCAGCTGACAAGATTTTTCTGCCTTACAGGAACTTGACTTCTATGTATCAACATCAAGACCATCACTCATATCATCGGGGCTTCCTATGGTTTTTCTGACGCCTGACATGAATGTAATCTCCCCTCAAGAATTGCGAAGCATCCCAGGGACCATTACCCCTCTTCAGTTGACAAAAGTGTATTGGCCTGCCCAAGTGGAGAGGCTTCAGGAAGAGTTTGAAGAAGTCAAGCGATTTGGCGTTGCAGCTACTGAAGAGTGGAAAAAAGGCTTAGAAACTCGAGGCATTGAACAAATTCATGACGCTTCCCGATGGGATAGGTGGCTTCTGTCAGGAGGCGTCCGCCAAATGCGCAGACATTCGACTCAGCCAACTGCTAACAAGCCAGAAATTGCTAAAACTCTACAGAAGCAGCGACAGGATGTTGAGACTACTGTACGAATTCATATCTCCAACCTCGCAGATGAGGTCATAGACCGCTGGGTTAAGGGACGCAGCGTCAAGAAGGGAAACTGCGCAGACTTCGCCGTGGAGGTGTTGGCATACGTCCGCAAACAGTTCTATAAGGACGGAGCGAGGGCCGTTTCCTTGACACGAGGACTGACTCTGGACGATATGCGATGGATATTCGATCATAAGATTGGGCCACATACCAACCATCACGAGAAGGACTTCTTTCGCTGCAGGGAATGCCCAGGTAGTAGGAAACGTTACGGCCTTCAGGCTATCCTGCAACACTATGCTATGAAGCACCGCACAAAGAAGTTGAAGAGCATGACTATGCTTTGGAGGACGGAGTGGCCTGAGGAGCCCCCATTCAGGAGCTCAACATCTGTCAGCTCCAATCCAACAATGCCTGGTGTGCCGGAGGCAAATCACGTGGAAGAACGCCGCGAGCACGCCCCCTATACGATAGAGGCACCGGCTTCGGTCATGGCATCGCAAAGAGAACAAAGCCACGTCAGTGGTTACCAACAACCGATGTCCACGACCTTCTACCAGTCCTACGACATCGTTGACGTGCGGAATTTACCGAATGGCTACTACATTCAATATCCCGTCTTCCACGACTATAGAATTCCCTCTAATTCTAGTTATTCCAGCTATACCATCAGGGAGTCGCACAACAATACTGGAGCCTTATCACAGGTTTATAATGTTTATGAGTCACGAGATCCATTGGCCAATAGAAGATCGGGAGGTTGGGAATGACATGGGCATAGATTAGAGCTTTTATAGGAGCATTCTCTCTTTTATTTTTGTTCTTGTTAAACACTTATGACAACGGCGTTTTAAGGCATCTCACTACTGAGGCAAAGGCTACTTAATTGAAGAGGAAATGGTGGTTTGTACATATCTATATATAATAACTCAATACTTACCTACCTCTTTACCAGACGTTCTTTACCAAAAAGGGGCAAACTTTACAAACAATATTTATTATCAATAGACCCGGTAGATTCAGATATATACTAGAGAAACTAGAGATATCTGAGGAGACTAGAGATATCTAGAGATATTAGAAGATATGAGAGATACTAGAAGATACGAGAGATACTAAAAGATACTATAGATGCTGGAAGATACGAGAGATATATAGTCGTAGAGCAGCTCATACAACACGGCCACACATTAAGCAGTATAGGTGACAAGTATATTTCCTATCATTGGAGACATGACAGAGTCGAGCGGTGTAGTTGTAGAAAATATGAGAAAATCGTTTGCAGCCATGGTCACGGAAATGTATCCTCTTGCCCCTTCTTCCCATTTCCTCCCCCTCCATTGCATCATATACAGGTTGTTTACACTTCAAAATGAACTCTCTCATTTTGACAATCACACACATTCTCCATTTCCCCCTCTGAACAGGCGTGTTTCTCTTCCGTATCTTCTTTTTTCCTCTTCCAGTCATCCATTCCTCCCCCAGCCGTTTGCCTTCGTTAAAAACCCCATGGACGCCTCATTGATCGCCTTTTTTCGTGTTTTGGAAAACCTACCGCTTTTATACAGACATTGAACCTCCCAATTCTTTTTTTCTTTTTCTTTTGATGTCATCTTCTACTTCTTTTTTTCCCTTCTCTTCGTGGTAGATTTCCAGACCATCGTAAAAGCGAGGGGATAGTATTAAAAAAGAACAAGAAGAAGAAAAAGGCATCTTGACAAGCTCCTTCACTCCCTTTTTCTTACAAAACCTCGCCAATAATCTTTGCTGCCTCGCGGTATGTCTGGAGGAGCTTCTCACACTTCTCACGCTCCTTCTTGACACCATCGTCCTCGTAGAGGAGCTCTTCGAAGAGGTTCTCCTTGTAGAGCTCGCTGACGAGGCGGTTCTGGACAACGTCCTTGCAGTGGTTGACGAGGAGGTGCATGATGGCCTTGGGGACCTGGTCGGCGATGGATTCGCGGACGATGTTGAAGTAGGAGGAAATGAGGGCGCGAATGAGCTCTGCTTCCATGGCTTCGCGCTCAGTCATGGCGGGTTCGTTAGATTCGCCCTGTGGGAGAAGAGAGGAGTCAGTCAGGAGGAAAAGAACAAAAGAGCTGTGTTGTTAAGGAGGGAGTCTGTATCAAGACTTACCAGATGTGATGCCAGGCCGTAACTTCGAGATGATGGGTCATACTCATCTGTCACGGAGGGGGGAGCGGTAGAGGTTCGGATTGCCAACTTCTCTTCACGACGGAGACTCTGAGAGAAGGTGGGCTCTGAAGGGTGACTGGTATGCCTGCCGTTGGTGGTGGGAGTAATAGGGGCACTGACTGGCGCCATGCCATCCTTGCCGAAGAAATAGTTCAAGAATGTATCGCGAGCACCGCCAATTCCTTGTCCATTCATGCCCGGAGACGATGGCCGGATTCCATTCATGGATGCGCCAAGGCCAACCAGGGCGTCCTGGTGGACGGCAGGTGACATGCTTCGTGAAGGCTTTGCCGTGGCGAGTTTGCGAAGGTTGGGCTCTGCTCGCGGGGTTCCCTCCGCAACCGGGCTCTCCTCGCCATCTTCTTGCGGCTCCGTGCCGTTGGGCCCGAGCTCCTTGAGCCGCCGCTTCTCCCGGCGCTCACGCTCTTCCAGGATGATCCTCTTGCGTTCCCGCTCCTGTTTGGCGGTGACAACATTGCTCATTGCCGCGGCAGCGCCTAGGAAGTTGGGGTGGTTCGTGTTGATGTATGCGCGCTGAATGGAAATGAGTGACTCGACATAGTTTGAGGCGGGCCCTAACCGCTCTCGCAGAAGATCCGATACCACCTCGATGAGCTTCGCTTGGAGTCTTGGGAATCTGGAAAGTTCTATTGAGCCGCATGTATGGCAAATTTTGATAAGTTCTTCGTAGACAAGCTCGACGCAGCGCTGGCTGGGAATCTCCAAGAGCTTGATTTGGGGCTTCACGAGGAGATCAAAAGCCATCTCGGGCACGAACAAGCTGGGCCGAGGACCAGTGGAGTTGCGAATTGCTGTTCTAATATCCAACGCTGAAAGGTTTGAAGTAGGATCGATGGTATCTAGTGAGCTTCCAAAGACAGAGTTGAAAATGTAGTAGATGCGGGCACCACCGCAAAGCTCCTTGGTCGAGATTTCAGTGGATGTGCCGTCAATGGAGGAGATAAAGGAGGTTGCGAATCGTGTCATGAGCTGCAGAATCAATGAGCCGCGATGCTCCTTTCCGCTAAAGTGCATGTCGCCATAGCCGGCGAGCTCCTGCTGGGTCTGGCCCATCAAAGTGTTGAGGCGCGCCTTGATGTCGGGCAGCCGCTCTCGAATATGAGCCATGAGAGTCGTGTTAAGCGTCTTGGCCAAGAACTGCGTACCGCATCGGCTTGAGATGTTACGGTAAGCCGGGTGGTGCTTGAAGAAGTCCATTTCGGCTTTGAGGGCATCCTCCATGGGCTTGTTGCCCTGAATATCCTGCTGAGAGCGGTTCACGACACCAATGAAGCCAAGCTTCAAAGGGTACACACGGCCAGACAAGATGTCGAGGGCATTAGTACCGTGATCCATCAAGTCGATCTTGGTGAGAACACCGATGGTCCTCCTGCCAAGAGGATCCACATGCCGGGCAAGCTTAAGAGCCTCCGAGTTGACAAGGTCGACATTGGCCGGCGACACCGCCAGAACGATACTGTTGGGCTTGGCAATGTATTCGGATATCAAGTTCCTCGTTTGCTTCTCGATATCAGAGGGTTGATCACCAATGGGCACCTATGCATGATTCGAGCCAAGTTAGCCTAGAAGAGGAGCAGGTGGAAAGAGGTAAAGACGAACCTTGGTTAAACCGGGCAGATCGACCAGGGTCAGGTTGAGGACATGCGGTGAGTAAATTTTGAGGTTTATGGGCTGTCTATTGATGCCTTTGTTGGTACCAGCAACTCTAGACGTCTCATTCTCAATCTCCCGCTTGACATCTATAAAGTCATTGAACCGTCTATTGGGGATGTGGTGGAACTCGGCCCATTCTGAGCGCCGCGCAGCACCGGGCGAGCGGTATGGGTCGTTGAACGGATCTGGCGCCGTCTCATCCTCCGGGATGTTGATGAGCTGCAGGATCAGCGGCCGGCGGGTTACGATGCCGCTGCCTCGGGGCAGAAAGTCTCGGCCGACGATGTTTTCGAGAACGGAAGATTTTCCGGCGGACTGGGATCCCACGACGACCTGGGCGGCGGGGCATTAGCATCAAGCGAGGACAAGGGGAGGCAGATTTGCACCACGCACAATTTGGGGGAGATCGAGGGAATCGCTGCCAATGGTGTTGAACACCAGGTCCTGCAGCTTGTTGACCGTGTTGAGCAGATCTTCGCCGAGGGCCGCCATTGCAGCGATCTTGGGAGCCTTTTTTTTCCCTGTAGATTCTTTTCGTCGCCTCGGCCGGGGTTATCGCAATCGCAGCGGTCAATTAAATGCAATTACCGGGTTGGAAGAGCAGCAGAGACGCCTCCGACAGAAAGATTCAGGCTCGCACAGGCAACGCGACGACTTGCGCTGGGCTTTTCTGGCGATCAAGAAGAGAAGCAAGCCGAAACAATGGCTTCTCGGGCTGTTTGGCAACGAATCGAGTACGTACCGATTCGTTCACGTGTAAAGGGTGGGGCATGTTAATGGCTTGCCTCTCAACGCCACAGGTACCGAATACCGGGTGTTGTGTGCAGAGCCGCGGGATGTTGGCAGTACCAAGAACCTCAGCCTCAGCCTCCCTTTGTTCAACGCCCCCCCATTTCTCCAGATATCTGATGAGATAAACGGTTGAGGGCAAGGCATGGGCAGAAGCCTAACTGGAGACGGCATGTGAGAGATGGGCTGCCATACATGCTGCGGGAATACAATTGCATGTTTAGTTTATTATGTTCATTTTGTTGAGCTCACGGGGCGGTTAGGGCTATTCCGTGAATACCCAGGCTTGTTCTTCACATCTCTATGTACTGAAACTAGATGGATTACGGAGTTCGTCCTCTGGGTGTCATTCCAGCCAAGGCTTTCGGCATACATGAGACGGAACGCTAGATATCTCTCGTCCGTCATGTCGGGTTCGTTATATACGTAGAGCCGGCATCATCCATTTAATAGACAGATACGAACTACTAACCCGCTACAGGTCATAACCAGCTCTAGCGCGCTCCTTGGGAGAGCTATTGATGGTTCACCATGTAGCACAGATTCGGCATGACGACTTTGATTACAGTGTCGAACCATGACCCTTAAATCCTGGATTAGTTTCCGGCTAATGCTTCAACTTCAGCTTGCGTGTGAAAGCCGCCTCTTAAACCAAGACAAGATGTCATACTGCGCACAACGCTGCTCACCTGATTGTGCTACAGTACACAAGAATATTGGTTTCTCTCATTCACACCCGCGGCCCGACAACGGAGTGTCTATTCGCCAACCTGAGGATGCTTTCTGACCCGACACTGCGACAACGGGCTCTTTCGAGTCTGCCAATCGTCGCCTGCTTGAACACTGTCTCTGGTTGGGCGCCTGTGGATACCGCAGTCGACGAAAGAACACGACTGATGCAGCTAGCGGTTGAGTTGGCTTGCAGTGTGTCACAACGCGAATGGTCCGTTCCAAGACCCAGAGGGAGCCCTGCAAGCAATGCAAGGGAGCAGAATCTGCTTCTGGCTGCTCCCACGACAGTCACTGATTGGATTTGACAATTGTCATGAGTCTGCTGCGGAGACATTATTGTGCCATCCCACACCGTGCAAAGCAACGCAAAGCGCCTGATCAGAACTCGTCCATCCACGGCCCAAACCCTCCGTCGCTCGGATGTTGTTCTCCCAATGAGGCCAAGGCAGTATTAAATGCTTGTACTCCGTATGCAGCTATGCAATCTGATTCGCCACAGTTGCTAAAGCGTCAGGGCCAAGTTTAGCTAAGCAATGCGTGCCGCTCTATCGGGGCCCGGCCCCACCGCTTTCGACAACCATCATGCGTGATAGCCGTGCCTTTCAAGTCTCATCTCGAAAAAAAGAAACGAAAAAAGGGATATGCCCCTGGTGCGGCACCTGGAGAAATGAGTACCTTCGGCAGCCCTGGAGCGCTGCCAACAACCAAGCCAACCCCGTACGTGTTCTCTCGCCGTTGATTTGAAGCTCAGGAGTTGGCTGACCCGCCGTCTCCATAGGCCACAGCGAGGGAGCTTCCCCTTGGACCACGATGGTAAGCCCGCTGCAGTGGTTCAGTCCATTTTCCCGCCTCTCCTGGATGGCTCAGTTGTCTAACTGGACTAGGCGAGTGCAAGAAGGCCATGACCAGCTACCTTGCTTGCATGAAGAAAGTCCGTGGTGTCAACGAAGACGAATGTCGCAATTTGGCCAAGGCGTATCTGTCATGCAGAATGGATAGGTAAAGAAAAAAGAGAGAGAGCAGAGCAGTAAGACATTGCCATGGGCTAACGTATCGGCAAAATCAAGAAATCTGATGGCTCGGGACGAGTTCAAGAATCTCGGCTTCGCAGACCCTGCGCTGGCAAAAGCCCCAGCAGAGCCAGAAAAGGGCGTCAAAGGCGAACTCCGGTGGTAGTAAGGCGAGTGGGCATCCCCATAGTCGGACAGGCGTCCCTAGTCGCCAGGCACAAGCACAGGCACGGAGGTGCAAAGGGGGGGGAGGAAGCTTGAAGCTATTGGCCGTTCCCATGGTGACATTGCCCAACCCGTATCAGTTCCTTGTACATAGTATTTCTGGCAGCGATCTGGAACTTTCCATGACCGCTGTACTGTACCATAGCGTCCCCCCTGTTAACAAATCTCTTCACTCCCTTTACCACTGATGGCTTGACAAGGTTGCGCCTTAGTCAAGTCGTGCTGTTTTATGCTTTATGCTCACATAACCATCATTTAAAGGATGGATGCCAACGCAGAACTTGGGTGGCGCTATATTAGCAGCTGAGCTGTGCCGGCTAGCGGTGCAGATTACAGGCACACAGCGCTACTGGCCAGCGCTACGCACCGCTACGGCAAAGGCAATAGGCGCCTAGTTCTGGGGTGTCTCGGAACATGCCAAGGGGTTGCCCCGTCAACCCCCACCCCCAATGATGACTTGCACAACTCCATTGACACAGTACCGAGCACATACCTGTAAGGTTTGCATACAAAACGTCACGCCTCGCATGCGACCTCTCTAATTAGCTTCCCGTCACCGCCAACAGCCTCCGGTACCTCAGAACAGGTCGACGGCACACATAAAGCCCTCGTACCTCCCTTCTGAGACCGGCCGTTTGCCTTCATTTCGTTACGATCCGCGTCCAACGAAACGAACATGAGGCAATCCGGCGAGGTCAGGTCACGGAGGGCGACGCCGCCGTCGCCATCATACATGACAAAGGACGAATTCGGTACGACATACAGGATACAGGGAGGGTGGATTGACCGATGGTTCAGGCTGGTCGCTAACCTTCGTGAGCAGCAAACTATCTCGCAAACCTTCGAAGCAAGCCCGTGGTGAGACCCGGTGGTGCCAGGCCACCGCCTCCCAGCAACCGTCCGCAGGTAAATCGAAACAGTCTCAGTAACATTAGCTACGATGCATCGACGACGTCACAAGATACGGCTCATCAGCTGGGCCACCAGCGATCTCAGTCGCACACGCCCAGCCTCATTGCCGGGAGCATGGCGTCAACTCGCTTGTCCACCATCAGCTCCCGAAGCCGCGATTACTATCCCACCAGCCCAACGCCACCTCCAATCAAGCCCGATACAGTTGTGCCCACGGCTAGCTATATGGAGAGGGGCCGCCGATGGATGGAAAGAGAGGAGGCGTCGTCTCTGCGAGATGCCATGGAAGAAATGGATTTCCGAGAGAGCAGAAAGGGTTCTCCTGATAACGATCCTGCTGTCGAGGACGACGAGACCCGTATCTACAACGCTGCCCTCAACGAAGCCGCTGAGCTCGTATGGGAACATCAGCATGGGGTCAAACCCCGGCCACCCGAAGGTGCATACCGGTACCGACCGCATCTTAGAAAGGACAGCTACGCACATGCCCGGGCAGCTGCTGTGGGGCAGGGAGAAGAGCCGTCCGGCACGAACAAAGTGAACAGGAACTCATACTCGACGACTTCATCGGAAGAAGAAAACGGCTCTCGACAAAACGGATCCCCCGAAGCAAAAACGCAAGCACGTACCGACGAGTCTCCAACCAAGGCAAAATCATATGGAAATGTCGGAGGGCGGTTCACAGGCGGCCGGCGCAGCAGCATGAAGAGGAATATCAGTGGAGAAGTCGAACGACCTTTCTCCGGCGATCAGATATGGGAAGAGCCCGAAGCCCAGTCAGTCGATGGACCCACGACAACTACCCCTCCAAGCGGTGATTCGCCCGTTTCGCTGAATCCTAAGCCGTCCAATACAATCGGACGGGTTCCCTTCCCGCGCAATCAAGGAGAGACAAGCCCGACCAAGCGACTGGATCGCATAGAAATCCACAGGAACCCCCCAACTCGATCCCGCAACGCCCAATATCAAGTCAACACTCCCGTTGTCAACGGTCAGAAGCCCTCCGATGGACAGCATCTGAATGGAGTCGAGATTCGCAGTCAGGATATCCGCGAAGCTACTAGCATGAGGCTGAAGGACCGCAGTTCTAGACTCCCGGAACCTACTGCAGTCAGCGACAGCCCTGGAAGGCCCATTGTAAGCTTCGATACGAACTGGAAAGCCCCGGAGGAGTCCTCGTCCACTGATGCCAGTTCAGACCGACCAGACCCGACAACGCCAGCATCAAACCGCTTCCGGTCCCAGTCCCAGTCTCAGTCCCAAGCTCAATCCCAGCCCCAAACGCCATCACGGCCTATGGAGATCCCTAGCATTGTTGTGGCGGAAGACCCTTCGCCGAGGCCACGGGCGCAGACGAGCGCGAGTGTGCCATCCATCTCGATAGAGGAACCGGACGAGGCCCCAAAGCGGCCGATACCCGCAATCAACGTCCCGTCCATTTCAGTTGATGAAGCGCCGGGTCGCCGTAGCATCCCCAGCATTTCAACGCCGAGGGATTCCCCTGTGAGAGGCTCGGTGAGAGGTGCACGTCCTCTCCCAACACCAGGGGCTCGTGGGCCTCAAGGCACGCGCGACCTACCGCAGCCTCGAGGCCACTGGTCACCAGCATCAGGTCCCATTAGGCCAGCGGGAACCGTCTGCAACCAATGCCAGCGCCCCATTGAGGGCAAGTTTGTGGCACTGGCTGGGTCTCCTGAGCGCTTCCACCCTCACTGTTTCCGCTGCTACACCTGTAACACCAGACTTGAAGCCATGGAGATCAGTCCAGAGCCTGAGGCATCGCGGGCTGAGCGTGTGGAGAGGATTCAGCGTCGCGCGGCGGGTGAGATATTGGATGAGAAGCCTGGCATGACCATGGCGGAAGACGGAGACGAACGACTCCGCTTCTATTGCCATCTCGACTGGCACGAACTCTTCGCTCCACGCTGCAAGCACTGCACGACTCCCATTCTTGGGGAGCATATTGTGGCGCTTGGGGCGCATTGGCATTATGGACATTTCTTCTGTGCCGAGTGCGGCGACCCGTTTGAGCATGGCATGACGCACATTGAGAAGGACGGCTACGCATGGTGCATCAATTGCCAGACAAAACGGACAGAACGCCGTGCGCCCAAGTGCAAGATGTGCAAGACAGCGGTCATCGGCCAGTATATCAAGGCGCTGGGAGGCGAGTGGCACGAGCATTGCTTCCGCTGCCATGAGTGTAAGGGAGGATTCGACGATGGGCAGATATTCCCCAAGGAGACTGCAACAGGCGCCATTATACTCTGCACCAATTGCCGGTCCAGGGAACTCAAATTCTAAAGACGATGCGACGATGCCACTAACACATTTTGCGTATTTCATTTTGAACAAGGCGTTTGTTTTTTCTTTTCAAGTTAAAGGGAGGACAGCACTGGGATGGGTAGCAAAGCATTTGGGATAATGGTGAACTAGGTAAAACCGGCTTACGGCTGTAATTGCACTTTGACCTCGTGTAAAAAAGAACCATTTTCCACCTTTCCGAACCGATGCGCCGCTGCCGTATTATGGAAGAGAGAAAGGAAAACAAGAAAGGACGAAAGGGCGTAAAGAAAGAGCCGTTTTGGCCCTTGGATCGACGTCGTAGAATAGCGGGTTCCCTCTCTGACTCTGACTGTCTCTCTCTCTCTGCTCTGCTCTAATGTATTACACAAACCACGGTAGATAGTGTGGGGGATAGAATGCGACCCAAATTACCCAGCTCTGACGCGCATGTCCATCTGTCCTCTATCTTCTGCTTCTCTCCTCTCCGACTCGGTATCATCAACTCCCGTCCGCCCTTGGTCTTTTGTAGCGTCATCCTCGCAAGCGTCCTCCGACCTGTTCTTGATGCACTTCGAGAGTGTCGCCGTCTGCCATCTCGAGCTAACGCGTGCAGACAAACAAATACCCATGTTAGCAACAGTGTACAAAAGCGAATAGAGAAGAGAAAAAAGACTAGAGGGGGAGTAGGAGGGGGGAAACAAGGCATACCGCGTCCGGGGTATCCGTCGGCTGCACTCGCGTGCCGTCGAACAGGAACCGCACCGAGTTGAGGGACTTGCCCTGGCGCTCGCAAAAGGCCGTCATGAGCTTCTCGAGCTTGGTGCTGCGCTTGATCTTGAAGAAGACCTCGTTGTTGTTGTCGGTGACCTTGATGTTGAGGTGCTCGGTGTTGGGGGGAGGGTCCTGGCGATCGCCTGGGGACTGGTTGTTGTCGTTTTCGGACATGTTTGCTGTGTGGGTTTTATGTGCGCGCGCGTGCGTATCTATTTAAAGATGCGGTTTCGGGAGGTTGGTTATTTCGATTCCTTTGCTTTGGTATGTGAGAGTGTTATGTGGAAGAAGTAAAAAGGAAGAAGATTAGGCTGGGCGAAAAGTGATGCGATGGCAAGGCGAATGAGGCGGCCTGATGTTTTAGCAGTGCATCGAGGCAAGAAGTGGGGAGCGAGGCATCTGATTGGGCGGCTGAGGCTCGGAAAAGGTACAGCGCGGCAGGTACAGTATCTTGCACTGGTGGGCTTGAGTGATTGTGTGCACGCTGGAGCGCTGAGGTTATAGCGCTGTTTAGGTGCCCGTGTGACTGCTTGCTGGGGGTTTGCTGTACTTTGGGCGCTAAAAAGTTCACGGCTACGGATGACATCAGTGACGAGGAACTTGGCCTCGAAACTCGCTTGGGATGGATGATTGATTCGAGACTTGGGCTTCTTTTTACATCAATCGGAGACTGGCGATATTTTATTCTGCCATTGAGAACTCATCATTCTGGAGTAGCCTTATTTGGAGAACTTGTTGGCTTGTTAGGTCCTATCCAGTAATGGTTCGTTGTCAGAATCCTACCGCTTTGGCGTCATTAATCGCCAGCATGTATCATTTCAACAACTAATCACAGACATTGGTGTTGCAGCCATCACCCAAAGACGACGTGGAGGCACGCCCGCCGTGTCATCCTCGAGCAGTGAGTTTTGGCAAACAGGTGTTACTTTGAACATTCAGGCGCTGACAAGATGCGTTTTCCTCGCATTCCAGTGTGCCATCCAGGGTAGGCAAACATACCACACAATTTGGATATATACTCGCCCAAGAAGAACTTGAGAGCTGAAATGACCACAGATTGCCTTTCCAAAAACAATTACAATGAGGCTCGGTGCCAGAATGCCGTCAAGGCGCTGTACGAATGCTGTGACGCCTTCTACCAGCGTTACGGCGACGACGCTACCTCTCCAAGCTGTCCAAAGCCGAAATTGCTTCGTTTGAAGATCCAGCAGCAGAAGGAAGGGAAATGAGGACGCAGCAGGGCAAAAGCACGCAGGCTTTGCGACCACAGAGTGCTTCTACGACGCATTTAGACACGCGTGACATCTTACGAGATACCTAGATAGAAATGTATCATGTACCGTATAAAGGCAGGAGAGGCGAGAGGAAGATATGTACGCTCATCGTATGGTGTGTCAACCAGTGTAGAGAATTTCAGGCAACTTAATGAGGAGCGATTTTTCTAGGCGATCGTTGAGCACGCAAGAGATCCTTATAGGACCTGAACAAGCATTGAACGCTTATTCCGAGACTCTAATACGAATGCCGATGACATTATGATGAAGAAGAAAAGAGAAAAAGGAAAAAAAAAAGAGCGTGATGAAAATTTGCAGTAGTAGTCGGATTCACCAGCGCACGGAACCCCGTTTTGTTACATATCGCAATATACCGAAAAAGTTCCACCTTTTGGTCGCTGCTTGTGATTTTCAAGTGGCTAGTACTGAGTACTTCCTTCTAGGCGTCTGAGAAGCTTGAGCGGCATGTACATTCGACCAAGGACCTATCAGAGTCTAGCGCCGCCTTTAGCGTCCAGAAGCCGTTCGTGTGCAAGCTCAAGCGCGCCTTGAAGCAACAAAATATTGAAGGTGCTGAATTTCTGCGCTGGCAAACCCACGATCTCGCCTGGCATCATAGCGAACTCCTTCAGCGGACGAGAGACCTCCTGATCACTGTTACGACACCGGATTCCTCCTGGGCCACCAATTGTGACTCACATTTGGGTTATGCGGCCAAGGTCAACGCCCTGAAAGTTCCGGCACTTGGACGCCAGCCAGACTCTATTGGGTTCGTCTGGTTGGACCTTTCGACGGCGAGATCGATAAATCGCAAAGCCCTGGACGTGTATTTCCCCTTATCCATCCTGCCTAGCAACACATAGGCACTCTACGTGCGCGACACGGAAATCAACATGGAACAAGCGCTTGTGTTCGACCTCAATGTCGGCCCCGAGGTGGAAGAATTTGCCAACGCCCTTGACAACTGTCTCTCGCCATTCCTATCGCAGGAAGACAAACGAGCCCGAATCCTCGATCTCCCTCGGAAGTACTACGAAAATGCGGTCCGACGACTGCAACAGGCGCGGCCGAAGCGAGCTCGCAGCGGCTACGAAGATGTAGATATGGATGCTGACGAGATCGAGACGGCCGATGGGGATGGTCTCTCTGGGGAGGCTGATGAGGTTAAGCAGCTGGAAAAAGAAGTGCAGACCTGGGACCTTATCCGACGACTGCTCCCCCTACGCTACGCAACCCCAGAAGCAAAGACAGACGACCGGCCATCAATAGAAATGGACACAGGCTCGACGCAGTCCGATTTGCTGCTCGAGTTTCTGAATTCGGATCCCTTGGCTCGAGAGCGCCATGCGGTGCTGCAGTGGCTTCAGAGCAACGCGGCCGATGGTCCGGATATTGACGACTTGGCCCGGGATCTTCTGAAACAGGCCGACCGAGGGGATATCATTGCACATGGCTGGCTTCACACGCGAGCAACGATTAAGCTGCGGAAGAATTTGACGGCATGGAACGGGCTGCTGGATCGCCAACAGCCCAGAGTCATGGAGTCTCATGTCAACAAGGATGGCGCTCCCCTGATTACGCAACTGGACCCCGATGCCATCACCCGCCAGGGACGAAAGCTCGAGCCTGCCGACGAGTACTTTGAGCGTGCGATTTGGCTTGGCTGTTTCGAACACCTTCGCCGTGGTAGCAGCCTCGAGGAACTGCGCGAGTGGTGTCAGGAGCGAACGGAGATGTGGCGCGCCGTTTCCATGTCCGCCATGCTTCTCTCCACTGAGGACCAGACTGTCCCTGTTGATGACCTGAAGCCCGAGTCTCTGGCTCTCTGGAGACGTATGTGCTTTGCCTTGGCTCGACAGGGGGGCTCGGACGATTACGAACGTGCGGTGTATGGTTTACTCTCTGGCGATATCATCAGTGTTGAAAAGATTGCCCGGAGATGGGACGACTTTCTCTTTGCCAACTACAACGCACTTTTACGAACCCAGTTTGACACCTATGTGCTCGGCCGATGTCCGCCAAATGTGACCTCGACATTGACTCAGAACTTCCCCTCCTTCGACGCCGTTCAATTCTTGGGAAAGCCGCAGGGAGTTGAAAAGCGCCTTGTTCGTTCGCTAGAGTCTCAGCCAAGGACGCATGACGAGGCGACGGAGCCTAGTAAAGCTCTGCAAGCCGCGTTTATTGCCAGGGATGTCGAGCGCCACCTGTACGAACAAGGACTTGTTATGATTGCGGACGCCAACTCAAATGGCAAATCTATTCTTCTGCCTTCAACTGAGCCCATCAACTCTGGTGTTGTGAAGAAGAAGTACTTTAGCCTAGATCAGGATGATGGGCTTCGCATTGTGTCACATGTCTATGTGCTCACAGCCCTGATGAAAAAGTTTGGCGGTGCCCAGAAAAAGGTCTCCAACTTTTCACCACCACCTCAATTGACATTTTCTCAAGAGAGTATCTTGGCGGGGTATACGGATTACTTGCGTCGTGCCGGTCTCCCAGAGCTTATCCCCCTGTACTGCTCAATACTGGAGGCACCTAGGCAATACGACGTTCTGAGCTGGAATTTGATCCATGAGGAGGATCCCGAACAGCGCTTATTGCAGTTGAAGTTGATAAAGAAGGCCGGCATCGACGTCTTGAAGTTTGTGGACAGGCAAGTGGTGCTCTTTTACGAGGCATTGGGCGACAAGGCTCCTCAGCAAGCTGCCTTTAGCATCATCAGCGATGGACCCTCAACATCACAGTTTGGGAAGCTGATAAAGGCAGACTTCTTTGGCTATGAGGAGGGTGTCGTGTCCAGCGGCGATGACCATGTTATCCGTTCCTTGGAGTGGCTGTTGATGGTGGATGGAAAGTGGGCCGACGTCTTTTCCATGGGAACAAAGGTTTACAAGTTCTTCTTGCGTATGTTAACTCACTGGCTCTAGTTGTGATACTATTTAGGGGTTATGTGACTGACAGTTTGACAGGTTCCGGACGCCTGGGAGCTGCCCGACGGCTCTACGAGAGGATTTCATTTGAAAAGATTATTCAGGGAATATCGGGTCAGGAAGAGCCTGAAGACATTTGGTATGAGGATGCCGACTTTTGGGCTAAGCTGCTGGAGCGCAGCGAGGTCTCCAACATGAGCCCCGAGCAGGTGCAGGCGGAGGCACGAATTTTCCGCGGACTTGAAGCTCTTGTCAAGGCTCTAGATGGCCTAGAGACAATCGCTTCTTTGATGCTCATCTCTACTGAGTATGTGACTGCCCATTCCTAAGGATATGAGGCTGGATTCACTGACAAATTCTGGTGTAGGCTGTCACATGGAGACCGGGACTTTTGGGGTCCGGCGGGTGAATCAATCAAGAACGTCAAGGATTATATGCGACCCTTGCTGAAGGGATGGCTGATGCCAGCAGTTAAAGGTGTGTATTTGGCTTTGATGTTATAAATTTGCATATATCTGTCATACATGATTGCTAACTAATTTTCTCTTACAGCTGGTGATGCCGAGCTGCAGGAAATTCGAGCTGCCTACCTGCCAGAGACCATCTTGGCATACATCAGCGCTCTTCATTTCGCCGGCACTGGATTATCACGGGAGAACCTATTGGAATGCATGGAGCTCGCCGCCTTGGTAGCCGAACGCGAGTCAGACCTCAAGGACGTCTTCGTCGACGCTAAGCGCATGACGGAGCTCGTCGAGGCCTTTGCTGCCTGCAGCAAGGCGCTGGCCATTGCCACCGGAGAGAAGAGGCCGTCTGGATCTGGCAGCAAGAAGCAGCGGGAGATGGGATGGTCACGAGATTTGTGGTCGGTCAAGACTGGAACCGGGGACGCGAGCGTCATTGGGCCTGCGTAGTGTATAGCATGTATGGGATTTTTCTTTTTTGGCCAGCTGGGATGAAATTAAGGATTATGGGATTTCTTATTTTTTTTTTCTTGTCCTTGATGTGGTTCTAGGTGTTGCACGGCATTTTAATAGGTGAGGGCTCTATTGGAAAAGGGGGGAGGGAGGAGAGAAGAGGAGAGATTGTGTGTGGGAAGATGTTGTGGACGGCTTATACACACAGGTTACATACCCACGCAGATAATAGAAGCAACGTGTAAGGCTGAAATTGTCGTGTCTTGATGCCGTTGGCTACTCGTGTTGGCTTGAAGGTAGTATTTGATTTTGCTGCGGCACGAACATCACGTGCAGGGCGTCTTGATGCTATCTCCTTATGACGTTTTGTACGTGGCTCATGATTCTTTCCATCTTGAATTCTTTCACATATCTGAGCAATGGGCCAGTTTTCTTTCGTGCATCTTCAGGCGTACGCCTCCGCCTCTACCGCCGCCTCTACCACCGCTTCTACCGCTGCTTCTAAACCTGCCACCCGAGATCCTGTTACTGATTGCGTCCCAGCTGTCTTCATCCCCTGAATCCCTCGTTGCCCTCTCGCTAACTTGCAAACCTCTATTTTACTTCATTGACAGGGACGCATTGAAACTCTGCGATCAGTCGCAGAAACATCTTTTGCTATTGCTTGAGAAAGATCTCGGCGACAGGTTCTTCTATTGCCCATTCTGTCAAAAACTCCACCGCTTCTCGCAGCCATGGGATAACGTAAATCTATTCCGTTACAGCTGCCAGCGCTACCAATACCGCAATACTTTTAAGCCGAATAACGCTTCCTCCTATGAACTGTAGGTATCCCTTCAATTGGCATCCCCGAACTCAGTTGCCTGATATACAACAACAGGAGCTATTTCCATGCGCGCCTCGTCATGAACCGTCACTTCTATGGTCCAACAAAAGGGCTACCTCTGGAAGGCATCGTCTTTTCCGCCACAGCTAATAATGAGCCGGGTGAGCCATTCTGGCAGGAAACCCCATCCGCAAGGATTATTGACGATGAGCTTTTCCTCTGTATCACGCATACGCTTGAGGGGAGAGGAACTACATTACGGGATATCATTGATAGTGGATGGTCTGGTATTTGCAAGCACTTGACCCGTGATCGTTTCCGCAGCATGCCAGAGCTGTTGGAGCCGGGGGAATATGAGTCAAACGAGTTGTTGCTTTTCGAGGATTGCCACAATGGGCCGGGATCCTGCAATGTGTGCTTGACTGACTACACTACCACGGTTGAGCGCGGCGAGGTGCATGAAAAGATACGGGATCGTTTTGGACAGGTAAGTATCGCTGGCACCATATGTATCATAAGGAATTAACTAATTTGGAAAACAGGTTTCTTTGGGGCCGTTAATCGACGGATGGTCTATCACGATCACGGCCTACCATCAGGTGGGACAGTGCCGAGACCCAGAGGATTGGAAGTGGGCGAGATTTATAGAATTTTATAGGATACTCTGTCAAGGCCCATTCAAAGAACGATATATGGCTCTTCATCCCCTTGGTGCGATAAAGGAAAGGTGGGAGACAGAGGGGGTTGTCAGTTTGACCAAAGAGTACTAGATGATGGAAGAATCTATGAAAGTATATCAAGAGGGGGATACGCCACACCGTGAAGTTGATACGCCTGTAAATTCTATTAGATTTATGTATTTCTACTTTGGTGCCGCCAAAGGTAAACTTTATTCTCTATTTGGCAGCAATATATTCAGGCATTTTGAACAGTTGTATAGCTGTCTATCCGAGAATATCCAACAACAACATGGACCTGCCCACGTTGCCAGAGTCTCCAGACGGAGAAAATGAGTCTGCAGTGCCAGTCGTCCGGTTCATCAGCGGGCAGCAACTATTCCGAGCTATTGACTCTATTGAATTCAGATCCCATGAAATGAACTCTAGAGGAGAAGTAGATGCACTGCTTGTAACGAGTGTGTTTAAAATCAAATCCTCCGCAACGGTCCTCTGAATACTAACCTGGCCTTTTTTCTCCTCTTCTCACCATCTAGACGTGTCTCCTGATAACTTTGGTATGTTAGAACGGAAACGAGAAGCTCGTGGACGCAAGTTCCGCTTCAACTGGTACGACGAAGATTCTCAGCGGCTTCTAGTATGTCTGAACACGGGAGCCCACGTGCAGCTTCATATGTGGATATACATGGAGATCATATACAATCTGTTCGTAATGGGCCTTCGTGACGCATGGAAAAACACGGGAGCCACGAGTTTCTACCACGGCGGCCTCTCCTCTGGTGAAGAGCTTGGAAATACCAGCGTCGGCCACGGTGATAAAGGCGGAGGGAGCAGCGGAGAGCCAGATTCGTCGGGAGGACCGCGGCCAGAACGGCGTGGACGCGGTGCATTTCCTACTCTTGTAGTTGAAGCAGGGTGTACTCGATCTTTGGCGATTATGCAGGCCAAGGCGAAGTGGTGGTTTAAAATCTCCAACCACGATGTAAAGATTGTGCTGTTGGCAAAGTTTTATTCAGGACGACAGATGGCAGTTATTGAAAAGTGGGAAGAAAGACCACGGGGGATTCGTGAAGGGGCGGCAACAACTCGATGGGGGTCTGAAGGAGTGCCGTCCTGTCAGCAGGTGGTTACGATTACGAAGACTAGCGACGAACCGATAGTGTATCAGATATCTGGTGACTTGGTGCTGAGTTTTCGGCTGTTGTTTTTAAGGGATCCGGGCGAGGGAGAGAGGGATGTGGTGATTTCCGCCGACCGCTTGCAAGACTATGCGGAGATGGTTTGGGAAGAGGCTCTTTAGGATTAGAGGCAGACAGTACTCAGGAGAGTGATTTATCAGACCAATTTCCCCGGAGATGGTGTCCAGGAAGTATATGAGGACTTGAAAAGATGGTTGTACTGGGATATAGAGAAGTCTGCTCTACATACATATCTCTACTATAAATGAGTAGCAGTACTATACATAGATATCTCTACTAGATACGAGTAGCCATACTAACGACATATCAACATAGCCATAGCTACTCCGAGGAGTCCATAAGTCATCTCGATACAGCATGTCGCCCTAGCGCATATTCAAACACTCGTTCAGCATAGAGTTGAAAATCGTCTATAGTCACAGCAGCGTATTCCTCCTCCTGGAGCGAACTGTCCAGAAGCAGCAGTTTGAGATTCAACATCAAATCACCACCTGTCACTTGATAAACTGGTGGCTTCGAACCAGTATCAGAAATGGTAATAGTCTGTTGACAAGCCGCCACCCATTCCACCTCTCCATCACCAGCTCGCTCCTGCTGTCTCTCCTCCCACCTCTCCAGGAAGATGGTAAGCCGACTCTCGTCGAGCTTTGCCAAAAGAACCGTCTTGACAGTGTGATTCGAGACCTGAAACCACCATTTGGCCTTTGCCCGCATGCTGGCCAAAGACCAGGAGCATCCAGCTTCAATCATGAGTGTAGGGAAACCTATATATTGCCCCTTTCTAAACGGCATCATCGACGAGTCTGCGGATCCTGCGCTACCGTTGCCACCACCGGAACGAAACCCCTGGCTGTAACAGGTTACTGCCCCTGTGAGACCCCAGTCGTTATCCAGGCCTATCTGATGGAGTCGAATGATAATCGCGCTCTCTAGCCCCAGGTGAAGCACTTCGTGGGCAGTTGTGGGGATGGACACCAGCATACAATGGGAGGACTCGACATACTGAGATATGCGGATCTTGTTCCACTCGTACTCTTCGTCTATCTGGTTGAAATCCGCGAGAGATACGTCTGCCAAATAAGTAAGAAAAGGGAGAGAAGAGATATAGCCTATGAGCAGATGTACTTGTTAGGCGCAATGCATCTCCTTGCTGGGAATGCTTTTCTCTGACCAAGTCTTCGATATTCATAAATCGAACTGTCGGCACTGAATCATCTGTTGCTTCGTTCTGATTCATCGCAGAAAGTATATTGTATAGTCAAGATGAATTTGGTATTTATCATCGAAATATGGATATTCCACTTGGATACTTTGCCCAGGGTGTTTTAGGGTGTCATATGCGTCTTGGGGTTTATTAAGAGATGAGACCTTTAATGGAATCTTACATCACCTATTGACTGGTACCTAGTATGATCTATTCCAGTAGTAGATACAAGTAAGTATGACGGCATGCCGTAGATGAGAAAGTAACTTGCATTGGTTGGTACTATTACCTCTTTGCTAGATTGGTCTTGGTCCAGGTACCCGGATCTAGGTAATAATTAAGCTTTTGTCCCTTCCAATTGTCTCGGGAAGATGGAAATACATCAAAAGTCTATATCAGTGTATTGATACATCTCGAAAGGGGAATAGACAACTTGGAATTGTTGCTATTAACGGATTGCATGGATAATCCCATCCTCATCACGGCAATTATAGAGAGATACGATGCACCCTGCTGAATTTTGCGTGTCATAACATATATGTAGATGAATTTGAATTATATACAGTTAATAATATACCGCCCCAAGCCGGATACCCTCCCAGCTTCTCTTAAGCCATACCTGTTTTAATCACTGTACACTAATGATAATACGTGAAAAATAGAAAAAACCCTGCCCAATAAAAGAAAAAGCCATCCTAGACTTAAAATAGTGTGCAAGCGGTGGCGTTGAGCTGAGTGCAGTAGGTCATCTGGATGGGGAACGCGCTGACACCACGAGCAAGCAAGCGTTCTCGGAACTCGTTCAGACGAGGAACAACGTCCAGCTGGCTGCGCTGTTGGCCAGAGGCATCGGTATTGCCGGACCACCAAACCTCACCGGCGGCGCTGCCACGAGGCCAAATGATGTTGTCCAGGTTGCTGGCGTCAATCATCTCGCTCCATATGGCAAGCTCTCCTCCCAGGACGTTCTTGGCAGCCGAAGCGGACACGTTGGCTGCAGGGTCGTGAGAGTAGATGAGTCTCCAGTTCTTGGTGGGCTGGCACCAGTCGTTGAATGGGTAGTAGGTGTTGTAGGAGTCTCCTGGAGGGAAGTTGACCCATTGACCACGGCCGCAGTCCAAGTACTATACAGGCGTATCTCGTTAGTTATCCTTCAAATTACATCTCGATTTTAAAAATATAAACTTACGTAGAAGTTGTAGTCGGTGTCAATGACCTTGTGGCCGCTCTCAGCCAGGTTCTTGACGGCATCACCACCCAGCCACGACTGGACAACAGTGTCGCTGCCAAGAGTCAGGTTCCAGGTGGTGACCATCTCCTCCCAGACAAATGGCGACAAGCCCGCGGCACGGACCTTGGAGTGGGCAAAGTTGATAAACTTTTGCAGCAGGGGTTGCAGAACGGAGGTTTCGTTGCTCTTGATGTGGGAGTCGAGCATGGAGTCGTTAGCGTTGAGCTCGTCACCACCGGTGTGGAAGTATGCGCTGTAAGGAGCGACGCGAGGCAAAAGGTCGTCGAACAGGGTGTCGAGGAAGCTGTACACCTTGGTGTTGTTGATGGAAAAGGCACCGCAAGGTGGCTCGGCGCAGTAGTACTGGTAAGGCATCTCTTCGTAGGCAACAATGAGATCGCTGTAAGCGAGCTCGATCACACCAATGTGGCCAGGCATATCAATTTCCGTAATGACCTCAACACCGCGGTTAATGCCATACTGGAAAATGCCAGCAAGGTCTGCAGGAGTGTAGACGAGGCTGGGGTGGTAGGCACCGGCCTGGGACAGCTTAGGCAGCGAGGGGATCACCAGCGGCCACGACTGAGAGTCGGTGATGTGCAAGTGCAGGCGGTTAAGCTTGTTCCACGACATGGCGTCAATGGTCCTCTTGATGTCATCAATGGTTTGATAGTTTCGGGCAAGGTCAAGCATGATGCCACGGTGGGGGTATTTGGGTGCGTCTGTGATGGACACGGGTGCCTGAGTCGTATAGTAGAAAGGTCCAGCAGAGTGCTTGTAGAAAAGCTGCGAGAAGGTCTCGAGGGCGTGCAGCACACCAGTAGAGGACTTGGCACTGATGTTGACCTGTCCATTCTTGGAAATGGTCAGAGAGTACGACTCATCAACGTCGCCGGCGCGCGGCTTGAACGTCTTGGAAGTATCCTTTCCAGTCTGCTGAATTGAGATGGACTGGATTCGGTTCTGAGGGGCCACCTTCGGCTCAAAGTTGCTGTTACGCGGGTGAAGCTTCCATGGCACATAGTTGGTGTTGAAGATGGATTGAAAAGTGCGCGAGACAGCGCCCTGGACGATTTGCCTGCTGTCGAAATTGGAGCTGGACGGCGGGTTATAGCCGATAGGGATGATCTATTACAAAAATGTTAGTCTCTAAGGTCTATGCATGTATACATCAAGCACCATCATCTCCTTCTTCATCGACATACCGGCACTCCATTGTAAGTCACCCTAACAGCCTGGTCAATAAAGAGCACGCTGTCTCCGGTCGAGATCTTCTGAGGAATGGGCCACAGCGCATTTGCTGGGCTGAAAGCCAATGCGGCAATCGCGATGATCGCCTTGGGAAGCATGATGAGCGATGGCAATAACACTACTACGAGTAAGATTGGAATGCTCCGTATGCCAGCAATGAGTCGACTCTATGGTGGAGATGTCGTCCTGCCAGCACTGCTACAGCTCTCGGACACGGGGGGCCAACCGAATATTTAAATAGCTGGCCAGCAACACGGTTCCTTGAAGGGATGTGCGGATCTCTAAAATGGGCATGCCTCCCCCAAAAGACGTTATGCGCTAGGATGGACCATGACCCTTGACACGCGACTGGCAAGACAAATTCAACGATCCAGAGGCCAATGCTACATGGCACGCGTGTAAAGAGGCAGCTGATGCCTGTCCATTCCCAGATCCCAGCGGCTCGGCAGGTCGGCAGCAGGGAGACTGGCTGCTGGGCAGAAGCTGAGGCTGAGCATGTGCTCCAGACATGGACGAGACTTCCCTGTTGATGGTGAAGCTGTGGCGTTCTGCCGGGGGCCGAGTTGACTTGGGTAACTTGTGAGGGCAACGTTACTTTAAGTCAACCTTTTTTTGGTGGTGTTAATTGGACGCACTCCCCACGCCTAGCAACCAACAGCACGCATCTCCTTCGCTAAGACTGTTTTTGCTTGCAGAAAACAATGCTTGGCAAGAGACGCCAATGGCAAAAAGAAAGAAAAAGAAGGCGACGATCAAGGCGAATGCTGGACAGTTCGAGTCGGGCCAGGTGCGAGCATCCCACAGCGACTCCCTGTGAGTCCTCGTACATGCCCGTCCATCATTCCATCATTCAGGCAAAGGGTGCCTGCTGAGATTGGCAAGTCGGACAAATTAGCTGCTGTAGAAGCACCCCTGCAAGTACGATATACTCCGTGGTCCGAATACCGCTGGCAACTTGAAACACAGACAATGATATTTTGACAGGGGTGGGATCTGACGAGAGATCTGGGCAATGGGACTGGCTACTCCATGCTCCAGCATCAGTAGAGCGCCGACAAAGAGCCACACGGTTAATCAGCCAGCTTCATCTTGCACCGATGGACCGATCGAGGCCAAGAGCTGAAGCTGCAGTGCTGTTGCATCCAGAGGTCACTCGATCCATTTTGTCCCAGACATTGACCGTGTCGCCATCGACTGAGCGGCCACAGAGGCCAAAGCCGCTCTTTTTCGCCGGCCGGGAAATCAACTAGTGGCGCTGGATGCCGCAACGGCCCCGGGACTTTGTTTCTGTGGTCGCTAAAGCAGCTGCTAGGGCCGTGTCTCGTTCTTTTGTGTGGTTGTAACGGCACATGGTTGGAGAATCCCTGATTGCGATCATCATGCGGGGACGCCTCTCCACGGCCCGTTATCGCGAGCCAATCAGTGGCGGATAAGCCTTAGTCCGGGGGGCTGCCCTTTTGATGAGGCGTTAGTCTGCATCAGGCATCTGTCAATGGCCAGTTCGGTGGTTTGCCGGGTTATTTTGCGGGGCCTTGGCCGTGGGCGGAAATTGAAGTCGAGTCGACAGCGCTGTTTGCCTGTGTGAAGCTGACAGATGGGTGTTGCATTGCTAGCGATAATTTGGAGCTTCATCGGTGCTGTCTTTATCGCCGCCGTGCCTGGGATCGAGTTAAATTACCATTGCGCATGGTGCTTACTGCAAGTACGAGTGCTCTACAGTCATCCTCTGTATGCTTGCTCAGAGGTATGGACCCCCTGATAGATACCAAGATAAGTTCTAAATACAGCACATCACTCACAATGATGACCCTGAGCAATCTGCTGGACTGTATGTACGAGAATGGATCAGTTGATTCACCACGACCCAGCAGCAGCACTTGCGGAGCAGAGTTGCCCCGTACTTACACCACAGTACTACGTGTAATCGCAGCTATCACGGCCCCTGTCTAGAGCGACGTTGAACAAAGGGTCCAGTCCATATCGTCGGATCCATAGGTAGAGATTTGATATCAACCCGTCCCTCTACTTACACAAGGGCGCAACAATTAGAGAGATACATCAGAGTGGTAGTACGACTGGCCTATTGTGCTGAACTGTTACTACGGCCGACCCCTGTATTACGTACCTATTTGCAAACAGCACTACTCCGTTCTCGCATTTTAGTACATAGACTATCTCGTTACTTTCAAAAGCACGGTATAACAGGCCGTACCCTCGGCACGATTGTAACCTCACCTCTCCAGGCCCCTCCTGTGGCGTGTAGTACAGTACCTAGTATGCGGGACATGCCGCTAGACTTGGGAGGCTAGACTGCTGCTGAACCGACGATGCTTGATTTGCAAGTCTCCATCTCAACCCTTTGACCATCTCGCTAGGTTACACTCCATAGCGCTGCTCAGACATGGGCATCTCCGGCGAAGCGGCATGTAACACTGGCTCGTGGTATCGCGTCAAGTCTGGATGGTTCTCAGGTCCAATCTTTTGCTAGACTATCGAGAAAGCTGGACGCGATGATACATAATGCAAGCCAGCCTGATATGGATGCTTGCTTCCACGACCAATCTTATCTGGAGACATCGCCAGGGTTTCCTTGCAGCTACTATATCTCATTACCAAGCGTATACTCATTTCGAATCATCTCTCGCCTGGAAGGCTATCCGAACGCATGCATTTACCCCACTATGCAGAGAAACTAAACAGCTGAGCTTGGAGTCTTGAGGCTTGATGTCTAGTACGGCATACCTATTATTAATGCATGGTAGAGAGTCCTGTGTTCTGCAGTTGGGATGTCTTGCGAGAAGAGAGATGCCAAGTACTAGCTGGCGTTTCATTTATAACCTAATGCCCGCCTCTGTGACACAAACCAGCAAGCTATCGATAAAGCACAGCTGTATGGCTCTTTGTTCCAAGGACTCTGATGTGTCTAGCCGCAGTCTGGTAGTATATTGCTCTAGATTACCGTATTCATAGGGTCCTGTTCCGAACCTGGTTCCGACTAACGTATACAAGAATCCGTGTACGTTGGTGAAATTGAGCAGCCGTTGCAATCTCTGGCGCGAGTGGTATCTACCCAAGCTACCTTAGCTGTAAGACATCTACATATAGTAGGTAGATCGTGATGAGGACTGGAACATTGTGGGGGAGTCCGTAACCCCAGATTGCCGAATTGGAAGGGGCCAAATCCTAATACGAGGTACCCAGTACTTGGCTTTGCTGGCTCCGCAGAGACAACCTTGAGGTCCAATCTTCAAAGCTGTCTAACAAAGGCACTGACGATCTTCAGTCAATCACCTATTTATAAAAAAACTCAGAGAGAACAAAGAGCTAAATATAGACAAGGTCTCTTCTCTTGGAAGAATGTCTCAAAGAGCACTCGATTCATTGTCGTGGCTGTTTATTTGTCGTCCTTTGAAGATTGCACTCCCAAAACAGATCCTTCACGTTGATAAAAATTTTGGAAGTGAATGCACAGACTTGAACAGTGCTTCATGCCGTCCGCCAAGTACGAGTACAGACACTGACGATGCTATTAATATAAGAGCGCAGGTACTCACTGCTTGGAGGAGGCCGCAGGATGGCACGTGAGACTCCAACTGCCGCATTAAAGGCTTCCATTTTTGGGAGAAAAGCCAATAAAGTACTGCGTAATACAACGGAAACGGTCACGCACAAAGCCCAATCCTGGTAAAGTTGAACTGTCAGCCACAGGGAACCAGAAAATTCTACTGGATTCACAATGAAATCAAAGCTGCCATGATTACAATTCATCACCAGAGCCAGTAGCTCACATATACTCAGCCACCGGCAAAGCTGATGACAAACCTTTTCGCCACCAGTGATATCGCATCACGTGACACCACTCCGACCCATTCTTTCGAGTTGCCTAGCAGTCAAGAAGAACTTTGTGAACCTCATCTGCTACATGTGAGCCAGAGCAGGCCGATTTTCGCCATTCCAGCATTCAACTCACAATTGCATACGACCTTGCGATATTTCCACGCTTATCCGCCCGTTTCAAGAGGCGCCCCAGAACCGAGAATCTCTCTGCCGCGCGATCATCTCCCGCCGCCTAGATAAACGCGTCTCAGAAGTCGGACACGGGCAAAGAGCCACCGTCGCACTGGTCGTCCAGACACAACGATCCTTACCTCGACACCATGTCTATCGAGATTGGCCTCGGCACGCCGCTGGCGGACGCACTGAATGCTGCGATCCCGCCGAAGCTGGTTGAGGTTGGATGGGGCACGGGCGGTAGCGACGACTCCGCACTCGCCGAGTACATCATTCTCATGCTTGTCAATGGCAAGACGCAAGACCAGATTGCTGCAGAGCTGTCTGGAGACCTCCTAAATCTGCCGCTCGACGACCCTGTCGTTCACGAATTCTCCAAATGGCTATTCGACCAAGTTCACATGCTCAACGCGCATGGCGGACAAGGAAACGGCGGTGACTCCATGGGCGACTTCTCAGGAGACGCCGCAGGTGGAGATATGGACACTGATATGGGCTCTCACGGTGCGCCCGAATTGAACGCGTAAGTACCTTTTCTTCTTGTTTGCATTGACTGAAGCTCTGATGCTTCATCTGTGGTGTTGCTGGAGCTAACTGGAGCTTTTTTGTAGGCCCACCGGTCCCCGCTCAATGCGCAACGGCAACGGCAACTTCAGGGGAGGACGAGACAAGCGAATGTTCGGGCAAATGTCCAAAGCCATGGACCGATCAAATGACAACGTGCTTCATCGAGTTCGTGGGGGCAGTGGAAGAATCGACACACATGGGCGTGCCCCCCCTACTGGCCCACGCGGAGGTCGCGGCGGCATGATGCGGAATCACAACAACAACAACAGAGGCATGCAGGCCGGCGCAATGCCTGGTGTTGCTGGCGGACCTGCGTTCCCACAATGGGGGATGCAAGGCCAACCTACTCAGATCGACGTCATGGCCATGTTAGAACAACAGAGTCAAATGATGTTGGAGCTGTCTCAACAGATGATGAGCAACGGAAACCGGGGGTTTGGCCACCAGCGACGAGGAGGAAAGTCTCTATTTGAGAGGACCCAGGACCCTCGCCACAAGAATAACTTTCGAAGAGGCCAAGGTCAGGGCCAGGCCGACGCCAACGGGGAGGACTCGAACATGGAGACGGGTGCCGAAGGCGAGGATGCTGACATGGGCAAGCGCGAGCCTCCGAACCCAGACGAGACTGTTTGCAAATACAACCTTCACTGCACCAACAAGGACTGCAAATTTGCGCATCAGTCTCCAGCAGCGCCCCCGGGAGTTTCTGTCGATGTCAACGATATTTGTAGCTTTGGCGCCGCCTGCAAGAACCGCAAGTGTGTCGGACGCCATCCCTCACCGGCCGCAAGACTTGCGCATCAGAGCGAGCAGGACTGCAAGTTCTTCCCTAACTGTCAAAACCCTCGATGCCCGTTCAAGCACCCCTCGATGCCTCTCTGCCGCAACGGTGCAGACTGCACTACACCAAACTGCAAGTTTACACATGTCACGACAAAGTGCAAATACACTCCCTGCCTAAACCCCACCTGCCCCTTCGCTCACGAAGAGGGCCAGCAGGGAGGCTTCAAGGACAAGGTCTGGACACCAGGTCAGGGAGAGCATGTCAGCGAGAGAAAATTTGTGGATGAGAATGCTGAAGAGCAAATGATTCAGCCAGAGACGGAGAACAAGGAAGAGATGGCACAGGATCAAGAGATTATTGGTTAAAGGGAGGTCATGGGAGGGTTAAAAAAGCAAAAAAAAACAAAAGAAAGGATGACAAAATTCTCTGAATACCAGGCATCACTCAAAGTGATGCTTTTTTCTGCTTCGGTTGCTATAAAAAGACGGCCACTACAGCCCCCTGTATGACTTTTTGACTTTGGGGCTCGGAGGGGACCTGTACGATTATGCTGGACGTATATGTTTCTTGTCACGTTGGGCAGGGCATGGAAAGGCGTTTTTGGACTGGGAGACACATGGGTTTTTTAACGTGCGTGGAGATTTATCACAAAGTTTTATACACGCCTCTTTGGTTGGCATTCTGAGGTAGCAGCCGGTTTTATTTTCGGCCGTGGGCTCGAAAACCACGAGAGCCTAGCGACAGATAATACCAGATACTTGCTTCTTTCTGTCGTTGTTTAGAATTGATGTTCCAAACCGAATTAATGTGTGCTTACGATTGTGTGATGATGTAGTTGTGTCTCGTGTCAATATATCATAACGAGAGAATTGTGATGTCTAGTTTCGTCAAGTCCCGATCAAGGGATATATGGATATTATATCAGAATGGAAAGGTCCAACCCCATAGTGAAACTTGCAGTAAAGTGAGCAAACCCTTCACCCCTCCCTTCTTGTGGTTGTATAAAAAGTGAAGCTCGTCATCTTGAAGTGGCACAATATTTTCTTCTTCTCTCTACTACAACACAAGGAGATACCTAGTATGGATTACATACGGGAATCAGTCGTCCTCCCTCCCCAACCTTGAATATCCCCTCTCCCTTCCCGCAAGAAGAACTTGTTTGTTTCCCTTTCCGCCCTTCCAAAAACGCCGTACTATATGTAACGCATGCAAGCAAGCAAGCAAGCAGTCCGCAATAATCAAAACACAGACTGGTCATTTTCCCTTGTCTCTCCCCCATCTCCTTTTCTCTATGTCTCTCCTTCCTTTAGCTTTCTTTTGGTTTCAAAATCTAGACCAAAATTGAGAAAAAGATTAAAAAGGGTTCCGTGTGGTTTCGTTTCCTCCTCTAAGCGTCAAGTCGGTTCAGTCGCTCCCTCTCAACCTCGTAGTTGAAGTCGAAGTAGCCCTTGTCAAAGTGGTGGACACGGACGTAACCGTCCTCACCTCCACTAGCGTAGGAGCGGCCAGTAGGGTCAGCGGCAACGGTGTTGAGGGGACCGAAGTGGCCACGGACACGGCCAATCTCGTCTTCGAAGACCTTGTGGTAGAATCGAGCCTCGAATCTACCCTGGCGACTGGAAGTGGTGGTGACTTCCATGGCGGCCTGACCACCTCCAAGGATGACGAAGTCCTTCTTGGGGGTAATGGTGGCGCTGTTAAGGGGAGTGTCTGCCGTGTATGTCTTAAGGGTGGCGAGATCGCGAGCAGAGATGAGCTGGTGCGAAGATACCATGTCAGCATTGAGATTCATGTCAAGGGGAATGTGAAAGAGGTTGTACCTTGGCAGTCTTGTCTCGGCAAGCAGTGATGAAGTAGGTCCTGTCGGGTGACCACTGCAGGTCGACGATGGGCTTGTCGAGCTCGTGGATGGGGACGTTGTCCAGCAGTTCACCGGTCTTGGCGTCGTACTGGCTGACACTGCCGTCCTCGTGGCCGGCGATGATGTACTTGCTAGCCTGGCTCCAGCCAGCAACAGTGGCCTTGCTCTCGTCGCAAACAATGGTCAGGGACTTCTCGTCGGTCTGCTCGGCGGTGATATCCGGGTTGATGTCGATAACGACGATGTTGCTGAGGTAACCCATACGCTTCTCGGTGACGCCCAGCAGCTTGGTGCCATCCTCGTTGAACTCGACGCGCTTGACAGCGGTAGGGAACTCCCAAGTCTTGAGGCACTTGCCGGTCTGGACCTCCCACATGCGGATAGTGTTGTCGGCTGAACCAGAGGCGATGTAGGTGGAGGTCGGGTCGACGTCAACGGTCCAGATGGCACCGACGTGGCCGTGGTAGGTTCCTAGACGCTCGCCATTGTGAGAGAACCAGACACAGATCTGCTGGTCCTTTGCGACAGAGAAGATGAGGTCGCCGTCGAGGTTATATCTGATGCGCAGGAAAATTTGGTTAGCTGAGGCTTCCTATTGGTGGTTGGCAAAAATAAGGGGAGCAGCAGCATCGTGAAGAGGAGGGGCTTGGACAGATGAGAAGAAAAGATGGCGTCGAAATTGCTTCTCTTCTCTAGGTCGCGACGTACTTGATCTGGGTGAGAGCACGCTCGTGCCCGGAAAGAAGGATGGGTCTCATTTTGGCTGGTGATCCTGATGCTGGAAGGCTGAGGAAGTGATCAGGGAAGAGGGGGGGTTATAATATGGGCCAGCACGAGGACGAGGTTGGAGATGGTGGTGCTTTGAAATTTTGGCGATAATTGTGCGTCTTGGTGGGGCTTGAAGTTGTGGCGCGGGGAGTCATTGGTGGCGTGGCCAAAAGGGGAAGATTTGGGGGGTGAGTAAGAGCTCAGCATGTGTGGATGTTAGCTTGATCCTTTTGATTGGCACCCTCCAGGAACTGGGTTACATCTGTGTGTACTCCGTACCGACTACAAGAAACAGGCTCATCAAGGTCTACTGCATTTCATTGGCCTTTAACCCATGTGACAGATGTTTATGATACTCTACTGGCTACTTTCTGTAATACAGATGAGGATGGTGGCTTGCTTCATGATCTGTTTTGGAGGAATTTGCAAGTGAGTCATGCTCTACATTGAGTCATCATCACAGCCAACCACAATCCATCATTTGGAGTCAGACGAAGCAACCCATTGACGTCTCTCTGTTGCCACCATAGGACAAGCAGCCATTATTAATAACTAATTGCAATGAGTTAGCATCCACGGCATCAAGCTGGACAAACCAAAGTCCTTCTTCTATCCGCCCTTTTTTTTCTTCTTTCATCAACTCTCAGGCGAGGCCTGTCAAATGCCGTGCCTGTCGATGACGTGCAGTAAGGCAGCATTGTACTCTTTACATTTCACACGAGATTCAGACAAATTACATCCGGCACTTCACGTCAAGATTGGCAGAGAAGCAAAGGATAGCGGTAAGCGTATTAAGCATATACTCCAGACCTGCTTGAACAGGCAGGCGGCTATTCTTGAATACCTAAACGTACAATGCCAGCAAGCAAGCAACGTATCAATTGGACAACTCATTCCACAGATATCCTTGCATCTTCCACCCGCTGATGATTTGTTTTCCTCCATGGAATTTCACTTAACGCCATCGATACATCCGCCATTGATCTCCATCCGGACCAGATCAGCATGTAAGTAAGATGCTATCCCGATCTAGCCAGACCGCTCTCTCTGATAAGCAGAGCAAACGCAATGTGATTACGAAACTGGAGCTGCCAAGACAGGCCTGTTTGATTGAAAGATTAGAGGCCCGGCATTTGGCCATGGAGAGCAATCTCAGCGTGAATTCGTAGTCCTGGTAGAGATAGATTCAGTCCAGTCCAAGCCTTTTTCGACGGTCTCGGATCCAATCCCCACATGGCGGGATTCGACACATAATTGACCCAGGTTGATGCTCTATAAATTTGTCCAGGTCGTCGCCGTAAGTCGGCGTATTAGCCCAGCCAAGACCAATATTTCCGTCAGCAGTTGTTGAGTCTTTTCTTTTCTTTCTTTTCTCTTGTTACTGTGCTGTGCTTTCTTGACATCTTTAAACAACATAATCCGCCGTTGTGGGCGTGCCCCCCAAATTTCAGCCATTCAGTTGGGGCCCTTAAGCCGTCGACGCAGGGACCAACGCCATAGCGTGCGATCTTCTCGCTACTAGGCGCTATCGGAGAAAAAAACAGAGCGACAAGACAGGACGCAAATGCTGCGCTGACTTCAAAACCAACAACCTGGTCGAATTCTGCAATTGCATCACATTCCGTACCCGGTGATTCTTACGTGCATGCTCACGAGAGCCAAATCCTGGTTGCGCGAGCATTCCTCCCGGCACCGAAAGACTCCGATTATAGGATCTGGCTGCATGTGGTGAGAGACGCACGTACCAACAGCACTTGATATCGAATCACGATCAATGGCGCCTCATCAACGCTTGCGCACGGCAAGGCCTGTTTTCAGAAGCTCACTGCGCTGTATCACAGGCGAGGCTGCGAGTTCAGCGAACATCGCCCGCCACTTGCCGCATATTTCCGGCAGCCCCAGGGCCCCAGGTGCGGCGACTTCGAGCCCCTCAGCGGCTGCACAGTACTTTTGTCCACTAACCCTGGCGTGGTTCCGCAGACACTATCGGCCATTTCTCCCCAGCATCGGTGACTATTCGGTCTTCCTTCTCTTCATTTTCTACCTCTTCGTTTCTGTCCTCGCCTCTCCTTTCCACTGGCAGATTGCCCTCGCAACTTCAGCAGCAGCGATCGTTTGGGACGACAGCCGCCGCCATGGTTGCCACAAAGCTTGACGGCAACAGCATTGCCAAGGCCATTCGCGAACGGCTGGGCGCAGAAATTGCTGAGAAGCAGAAGAAGAACCCCCGCTATCACCCCAGCCTCAGAATCATCCAAGGTACGACCGACAATGCGAAAGAGCGCTCTTTACAGAGGAGAGGCCAGAAAAAGAAGAAAAAAAAAACTCTTCTTTCTTGATTCTCTTTTCCATTTCTTTTGCGTGAAATAGGAGCTAACTGACTTTTTTTTTTCTGTTTCTAGTTGGCGATCGTTCCGATTCCAGTACGTCTGCTCCCCACCAAATCCTTATCGCAACCCATGTCCATGTCGGCTCATCTTCGAACCGCGGCTGACTTTTCTCGCAGCTACCTATGTGCGCATGAAGCTCAAGGCCGCCGAGGAGGTAAGACATAATGAACAATAAAAATCCAAATTTCCAAAAGAAATGTTCATCTAACATGCCGTCTCCAGGCCCGCATCGACTGCAAGTTGCTTCACTTCCCAGAGGACATTACCGAGATCGAGCTCCTCGACCAGATCCGTCGTCTTAACAACGACGATGCTGTCAACGGCATCCTTGTCCAGCTGCCTCTCCCCAAGCACATCTCCGAGGCAAGCATCACCTCTGCTGTCGCTGACGAGAAGGATGTTGACGGCTTTGGAACCAACAACATTGGCGAGCTTGCCAAGCGCGGCGGCCAGCCCATCTTCACTCCCTGCACTCCCAAGGGTGTCATCACCCTGCTGAAGGAAGCTGGCGTTGAGCTTGCTGGTAAGAATGCTGTGGTTATTGGCCGCAGCAACATTGTCGGTGGCCCTGTTACACAGCTCCTGAACCGAGCCAATGCCACCGTCACCATGTGCCACTCCGCGACGAGCGATCTTCCCGCCTACCTCAAGAATGCCGACGTTGTCGTCGTTGCTATTGGAGCTCCCAACTTTGTCAAGGGCGAGTGGTTGAAGCCTGGTGCTGTTGTCATCGATGTAGGAACCAACTACATTCCCGATGCTACACGCAAGTCCGGCCAGCGACTTGTAGGTGATGTCGATTTCGACTCCGCCGTTGAGGTCGCTTCCGTCATTACCCCCGTTCCAGGCGGTGTTGGCCCTATGACCGTTGCCATGCTGTTGGAGAACGTTGTCGAGGCCACAAACAGCTTTTTCGAGAATGAGAAGCTTAGGCAGACTGTGCCCCTCCCGCTTCACCTTCAGTCTCCCGTTCCGTCAGACATTGCCATCTCCCGCGCCCAAGCCCCCAAGCAGATTACCCGTGTCGCATCAGAAATTGGTATTGAGGCCCACGAGCTGGAGCCTTACGGAGCATACAAGGGCAAGGTCGACCTTGGCTTGCTCAAGCGACTTGAGCATCGACGAAACGGCCGCTATGTCGTTGTCACTGGTATCACCCCAACACCTCTTGGTGAGGGCAAGTCCACCACCACCATGGGTCTGGCTCAGGCCCTCGGCGCTCACGTTGGCCGAATTTCTTTCGCCAACGTGCGACAGCCCAGCCAAGGACCGACATTCGGTATCAAGGGTGGTGCTGCTGGTGGAGGTTACAGCCAGGTCATCCCCATGGATGAGTTCAACATGCATCTCACAGGCGACATCCACGCCATCACCGCGGCGAACAACTTGTTGGCCGCCGCCATTGAGACGCGTATGTTCCACGAGAACACTCAGAAGGATGGCCCCCTGTACCGCCGTCTGGTACCTGCCAAGAACGGCGTGAGAAAATTCCTTCCCTCTATGCTGGGTCGTCTCAAGAAGCTGGGTATCGACAAGACCAAACCTGATGAGCTGACTCCTGACGAAATCCGCCGCTTCGTCCGGCTGGATATCGACCCGGAGACAATCACCTGGAGGCGCGTATTGGACGTCAACGATCGCCACCTTCGAGGCATCACTGTTGGCACCGCTCCCACAGAGAAGGGGCACTCTCGTGAGACAGGCTTTGATATTTCTGTTGCCAGTGAGTGTATGGCCATCCTGGCGCTCAGCACTGACCTCGCCGACATGCGCAGCCGCTTGGGCCGCATGGTCATTGGCACCTCTCGCGGCGGCGATCCCGTCACTTGCGACGACATTGGTGCCGGCGGTGCTCTTACCGCTCTGATGAAGGATGCTATCAAGCCCAACCTCATGCAGACCTTGGAGGGTACCCCCGTCTTCGTCCACGCGGGTCCTTTTGCCAACATCAGCATTGGCCAGAGCTCCATTCTTGCCGATAGGCTGGCTTTGAAGCTTGCGGGCACTGAGCCCGATGAGGATCACAACGAAAAGACGGGCTTCGTCGTCACCGAGGCCGGTTTCGACTTCACCATGGGTGGCGAGCGCTTCTTTAACATCAAGTGCCGCACTTCAGGTCTCGTGCCCGACGTTGTCGTCGTCGTCGCTACCATCCGTGCCCTCAAGGTGCACGGTGGCGGCCCCCCCATCGCTCCCGGCGCTGCCCTCGATGCTGTCTACAAGCAGGAGAATGTCGAAATCCTCCGAGCTGGTTGTGTCAACCTCAGGAAGCAGATTGCCAACGCCAAGTCTTTTGGCATCCCCGTTGTCGTTGCCATTAACAAATTCGCTACCGACACCGAGGCCGAGATCGCCGTTCTCCGTGAAGAGGCTATTGCCGCTGGTGCTGAAGATGCCATCCTTGCTGATCACTGGGCCAAGGGCGGTCTGGGTGCTGTTGACCTGGCCAAGGGAGTCATTGCTGCCAGCGAGAAGCCCAAGGAGCTGAAGCTGACTTATGGCCTTGACGGCTCGATCGAGCAGCGCCTCGAGGCCATTGCTCAGAAAATGTACGGTGCTGCCAACGTCGAGTTCAGCGAGCTTGCTCAGAAGAAGATCGACACGTACACCAAGCAGGGCTACGGCAACCTGCCCATCTGCGTCGCCAAGACTCAGTACTCTCTGTCTCATGACCCTGACCTGAAGGGTGCGCCCACTGGCTTCACGGTGCCCATCCGAGACGTTCGCATGGCTGCCGGTGCAGGTTACCTGTAAGTTGATATTGCCCAATAAGATTTTTGAATGATTGTGCTAATTCATTTCCAAGGTATGCTCTGGCTGCGGATATCCAAACCATTCCCGGTCTTCCCACCGCCCCTGGCTACCTCAACGTCGACGTCGATCTTGAGACTGGCGAGATTGACGGTCTTTTCTAAATTCATCGTACACTTCTTTTTTCTTTTTCTCCTTTTCTTTTCTTTTGGCATTCATGGGTTTTCCATGCATTGATTGCCATGTTATCAATGTTGGTGAAAACATATATATATACCCAGAGACTCAACGTGGGGCACGATAAGGATGTATGGAATATGGGATTTTATGACGGCTGGTGCATCTTCAACATATGGCGCAGGCATGCAAGGTACCGGGTTATGATTTGGATGATTGACCCGTTTAGAGTAAACAAGAGATGCTAGAGCATACAATAGAATTGCTTGGATAGCACCTTTTTTTGTTTCTCTCTTGTTCTTTTTAAGTTTTAGCAATGCCCGAGGTGGGCAACTGCAAGGTATATACGAAGTACAACTATGTACATGCCAGCTCACCACGCAGCCCCTGGACTAATAGCCGATGAGATTAAGTAAATATCTGTCCCTGCATTGGTGGATTGGCTAGAATAGATTGCACCCAGATTGCATCACAGACGTCGTATCGATGAACAGGTGGGTAACAAAAAGGCAGCTAGTTGAGATTGAGCCGGTTGGATGAATTGATCCGGATTGGGATTCGGAGGAACTCTCGGCCGAACAGAGGGCAATGCTGTTGGAGGAACACATAAAGAGTCAAATAAGGGGAAATATCGATGCGGGAAAAGGTAATGAAGAAGCGGGATTGCACTGGAATGCTACTGATGAAATCGAGACGATGTTGATGGCTCATGAGGCTGAGACAGGCGGCTACTTGGACGTGGACAGACAGAGTGGTAAGGCTAAATTGGTGGCATGTGGTGTAGGGAATACACGTATTACAAGCTGTAGACGTTGACATGGGTTGCACAAGATGCCAAGATATGGGGTATTGCATCTTATGAACCGTTAGGATAAGAGTTTGAAGGGTATGATAATTAATGCAGGTGATCTAAGGATTCAGGCGGAAGATTTAAACATTGGTTAATGGACATGGCTCCCTTGTATCATGCGGAAAGAACCGCAGTAGCAAGAAACGAATCAAACCGACAGCATATACAACATATGAAACGCATCTCTTTGCTCATGCTGTGGTTCGTCTGATGCTTGAAAATTGGCCCCCTGGCATGGAATTACTCCCTTCGGATGTTTTGCCCTTTGCATCCATGACGGGGCGGCTTCCGCTAGCCCTACGGAATCCCGGCCTCCCACCAGTAGACAGCTTTTGGGGGGGCATGCCTTTCAGCACCTCAGCTTTTTAACACCTTGTTGGCCTGGCTTCATCTCTGTCTGTGCGTGGTTTTTTTGCTCTTTTTGTTGGAAATCGGCGTGCATCCGATTGGCAATGCTTACGAACTTGCAAACCAGAAGACGACGGCCAACGGGGAAGACGGCAAACCCGGAGGAGCTGGAGTCATCCATCGCTTAAGCTAAGAGACAAGTGACTCTTCCTACACCCACTACGGGGGTTCTAATATAGACGCCATGACCTGAAGTTCGGATGCGGGGGGGGCCAGAAACATCGAATATGGAACACTTAAACTGACACGGGGAGAGTTAGTCGGGGCGGGAGAGATTGAGGACCCCGTTTCTGTAACATGTGCGGCTGCGGCCTATCCCACCATGCAGTTAGATCTGACGTTAGTTGCCGTCTATATTTATATATTTATACTACCCTGCCCTGCCCTTTGATGAACTACTAGCTTCTCCTCTCGCCTTGTCTTGTTCATTCCTTTTTCTTTCTTCTTCATCATCTCCCCTTTCCTCGGCCTTGCTCTCTTTTTGCCTTCGCTTCGCTCAGGGGCTCTGCTAGCGGCTTAGATTCAAGCCGGTGGTGAAACTTTCGCCCCCTTCGGGCCAAGGACGCAGTTTTTGGGAATTCCGATTAACCGTTAGTAATCTGTGCTTACAACCTCGAGTTCGTGTGGGGAAATCGTGCGTCGTCGTCGACAGCCATGTCGCTGATTCCCATTGCGGTTGCGGTGCTGGTCGCCTACGGCATCATCAACTGGGCCCTGAACCTGCGATATCACGTTAATGAGGCCAAGAGAAGTGGTCTGCCTTATGTTGTCACTCGTGCGTTTTACCTTATGTAGCCTCGTTTCGTGGAATGTCTAGAACTGTGCTGACTTGGAATCGTTCAATTTGAAGCGTGCTCCCCGTTTTGGCTGCCTTGGCAGGTCTCACATAAGCTATGGGTGCCCATCATCAAGCTATTCCCCAAGTCGTGGTGGGATGGCTGGCTCGAGTACGGCCGAGTTCTCTCTAAATATAGGTCAGCTGAAAAAAAGAGGCTAACATATGTCGTTTTTTCTCAGGATTATGATACCCAACTTTGCGTACCGGACTCGCCACGATTGGTTCGCCAAGCTGGGCGAGTCTTTCCTGGTGGTTTCTCCCAACAGGCTGGTGATGATGACGGACAATGCGGAAACCATCCGTACCATTACGCTCAAGCGGGAGCAGTTCCCCAAGTGGACCGCCGTCTACAACATTCTGCGGATGTTTGGCGAGAATGTGCTGACTACCGAGGGGAGCGTCTGGCGCATGCATCGCAAAGTCACGTCTGCCTCCTTTAACGAGAGGAACGCTGCCTTGGTGTTCCGCGAAGCCATTGCTCAGACGCAGGGCATGTTGCGGATGTGGACGGGCCCTACGGGTACTAGAACGGAGCCGTTGAAATCGCTTCAGCGTGATACCATGAAGTTGGCTTTGAACATCATCAGCTATGTTGGTTTCGGCATGCGTCTGCTGTGGCCTGGCGAGGCGCACCCTGCGGGGACGGAACCCAAGATTGTCAAGTACGGCTCTCACGAGCCTTCAGATGGACACCAGCTGAGCTTCACGGACACTATGGAGATTCTTCTGCATTACCTCTTACTTCTTCTTATTATTCCGCGGTGGATACTGAGTGAGTCTGCTCCCCTGGCCTTGCATATTTGTGCATGCTATGTGTAATATTAACGCAGCGTGACTGTAGGATTGATTCCCTCCAAGAAGGTCAAGAAAGCAGTGTTGTCTTATGATGAGTACGTTAGTTACATGAATGAGCTCTTGGATGAAAAGATTGAAGAAGCTCGCAAGGGAGAGCACGCAGAAGGCATGGATCTCATGGGACAGCTTGCGAAATCGTGCTTTGGAACCGACAACAAGGACGCCACCTTGACGCGCGAGGAAATCATCGGCAACGCCTTCATCATGTTCGTGGCCGGCCACGAGACGACGGCCAACGCCATCCACTTCACCATCATCTATCTCGCAACCCACCCCGAGGCGCAGCGCAGGATGCAAAAGGACATTGACGATATCCTCGGAAACCAGGACCCCAAAGACTGGGACTACGACAGCCTGGTCAACCCGATGACTGCCAGCATGATTGGCGCCGCCATGTACGAGACGTTGCGATTGGTCCCGGCCGTGTCTGAGATTCCCAAGAAGATCTCGCCCGATGCCGACGAGAGCTTTGTCATGGACGGTACTCGATACGTGATTCCCAAGGACACGGGCATCTCGTTGGTGACGGTGTCTACTCATGTGAACCCGCGATACTGGCCAACGCGCCCCAGCAAGATTACGCCCGGCAAATCCAACATCCTCGACTACGACCCTTCGCGCTGGTTCCTGACGAAGGAGAAGCTGAACGGCCAGGGGAGCGAAGTCGTCGCCGGCGCCGATTCCGAAGATTTCGGCGGTTTCCAGGGTTCGGATATCAACGCGCAGCTCTTTAAGCCCGAGCGTGGATCCTACATTCCCTTTAGCGACGGAGCACGGTCATGCTTGGGGCGACGCATCGCCGTCGTCGAGATTATTGCGGCGCTGGCAGTCATTTTCCGAAGCTACAGCATCGAGCTCGCCGTGGATGAGTGGGCGACTCCGGAACAGGTGGACAAGATGAGCCGGGACGAGAGGGCTGAGGTCTACAAGAAGGCTCAGGACAAGAGCCTGTGGACGGTGGGACAGGCGTCGACGAGACTGACGCTTAACCTGCACGACGGCATGCATGTGCCTGTCCGGATTGTGAAGAGGGGAGAGGAGAAGTTTGTGGACTGGGTGGATAAGGAGTGATTTCGCCATCTACGAGAATTTTTTATGCAAAGAAGCGTTTTGGTTATATCTTGTATTATAAGAACTCAGCTTACTACTTACATGCCTTGAGGATGGGCATCCCCTCTCGAAAAGGGACATAATCACACATCAAAAAAAGAGATAAAATCAAAATGATAATACAAAAAGAAAGACAGTCGTATTGACCTGATTCTGCTTTCGCAAGAGGACAACGCAGCACCCCATCATCCCATCCCGTGTGATTGATTACCTTGTCGTTGTGCCGGGCATCAAGTGCGGAGCAACCCTGCAGTGGACATTCTCAACGGCCCCATCCTTGATGGCACTCCTCTGGGCAAGCAACAGGGGTGTCGATACAGGCGAGCATGGTGTTTGCCTTTTGCTCTCGCCCGGATTCCCTCGAAAAAAACTCTCCCGCCGTTTCCAATCGTAATCAATCTCTCACAACAGCATAAAAAGGTAAAACCCGCATCAGCGGCGCAAACGGCCCCATTCGTCGCCATTTGGGCTCAAAACTCGCCCATGCTTCAGCCACGCGCAGCCGAAGCTTGGGTTCGACAAGTACCGCGCTGTTAGTGCAGTACCTCGAGCGGGCAGCACGTAGCCGCCTGCCAGCGTGGCACCTCGCAAACGCAGCAACAAGCTCAGGCGACTTTGCCCCGCCTGCCCCGTTGAGCGTTTAGCCACACCACAGCAAGAGAACATCGGGGCTAGTCCTGAATGGGACAACATAAACAAGACAAATAGCTCGCCTTGGTCCCCGCGCGAATCTACTTTTGTGAGGGACCACCCCCCAGCAACGCAAGAAGAAAGAAGGGCACGAGAGAGAAAACATTCGACATCCCGCTTTTTATTTTCTTTGCAATCGCCTCGGATAGCCAATGAGGCCTACTAGCCCTACGTTATCTTAAAAACACAGCAAGCAAACAAAAGCGAAAAGAGAAAAGAAGCTGCAGAAGAAAAAAAGCGTGATTACTACGGAGACAGAAAAGCAACGGGAAAGCTTTGATCACACCCAACCAATCACTTAATTTAGTTTTTTTTTTCTTTTGGAACGCAACACACACACCGCAAGAATATCATTGGGCATCGAATCATTTCTCATCCTTCTTGATTCGACAACCTCTTTTTTTTTTTCTATTTTTTATTATTATTTTATAGCTCGATCTTATCTCCCGTCTTTGTTAGGGCCGCCTTTTATTTATTTTGGCGACGGATATCATCGCTATCGCGCATCGCATTGCATCGCATCGCTATCGCGACATTCTCATTCTCAACACAAACAAAACAAAGGCGACCATGTCAACCGGGCCTGCGAATAGCTGGCTGCGCGCTCAGCGCAAGAGCGACCTGGTGGAATTGGCGGACCAAGTCGGCTTCAAGAAGTATGTGTTTTTGCCGTTCTATTTCTTTCTTCACTCTCGATGAGCTTATCGCGACGCAATTTATTTGCTTGGCTGCATTATGTCGCATTGCTCTCCCTTGCGTCATTGATGATTTGTCCTCTTTTCTTCCCTCTTTCCTTCTCATTGTGTGCACTTGCCGCCTTTCGTGGGCGGTGGCGCGCCGCGCATTTCACTGCTGCGGCAGGCGCGGACAGAAAGAAGTCGCGACTTCCAAGAGCACGCTCAATCTTCATTCTGCCATTTCTCTGTCTCTCTTCATCTTCATCTTCTTTATTTCACTTCATTTTGTTCGATTCCACCGCTGCCCGCTTCTCTCTGGCGCGTCGCCGCATTACCCACCTCGCATCTGTGCTCCAACAAACAAAACAAAACAAAACAAAAACCAGGCTAACATGCGCTCGCCCCGGCAACTAGCTACGATGGTCTCAAAAAGACGGAGCTCGAGTCCGCTCTCGACGACTTCATTGCGGGGAACAGCGGCCGCCTTTCCTCCCGATCTGAGCTGTCTGGTTACTTCGCCAGCCGAACCAAGGCCCTGGGCTCTCCCGTCAAGCGCGAGTCCAAGGAGCCCAAGGAATCCAAAGAGCCCAAGGAGACCAAGGAGCCCATCAAGGAGGAGCTGGAGAAGGGCGTCAAGGCCGCCAAGCGGAGGGTCACCAAGACTGCCGAGGACCTGATTTCTGCGTACGTATTCTCGCCAACGTTCTCCGCCTCTGGATCTTGAGAGGCGTTGCGTCCCAAAGTGTTTTCTCGTTTGTCTGACCCGCTCTCTAGAGATAGCGAAGATGTCCGCGCCGCCTCTACTGCCCTCATCCAGACTCCCGCTCGCAGCCTGTCCCGCGTCGCCTCGCGCATTCCTCTTCCCGCCACGCCGGCCGACGTCGCTCAAGCTGTCGACCGCTCCACCCTGGCCGTGCGCCGCCACGTCTCGTCCTTTTACCAAGAGAGCGGCATTGGCGAGGCTTCCAATGCCACCCGCGAAACTCTCAGCAATGTGAACAGCATTCTCCTCGTTGTCTCTGCTTTCGAACTTTGGTATATCCGGCCGGAGATCCTGGCTAACCGCTATGCCTTTACTATCCCTGCTCTTGGCTTCCTCGGCACTTCCGACCACCCTGTCTACTTGCCTGACATGTTCCTCCTGCTCACTGCGAGCTTCTGGTCTCCCGCTCTGACCTGGGCCTTCACCAGCTTCATCCTGCCCAGCCTGCTTGGTTATTTCTTCAATCTTAGCGCCACAAACACCTCCAGCGGACCCAAGACTCGCTCTCGCGCTCAGGCTCCCGAGACTGTTGTCGATCCCTTGACCTTCAGCATCGTCAAGGCACTCGTCTCGTTTGTTGTCTATGGCCAGGGCGTCACTTTTGGTGGCCTCCTTTCCGAAGCAGCCATCGAACGGCTCAATGAAGCTGTCTACGGAGGCTACAAGGGCATGCTGACCGGAACCGCCATTACTGGCTTGCTTAGCATTTACGATGCGGTGCTGAAGAAATAATTGAGCATTTACGATGCGGTGCTGAAGAAATAATTGAGCAAAGAGGGAATTTTTTGTTGTTGAGGAATGAGAACTTCCGAAACTTGACCAATATCTTCCTATTATTCTCATCCGCATTACAAAACTTGCTATGACTGCCACTACAACTACAGTTTAGTGTGGCAAAGGAACGGAGGGAAAGCGGCGTTTAGGTGTCGATGGCGTCAAAGCGCGGCTCTCCATTGTCGTCTTTTTCTCTCGTCTTGACTGTTCTTGGTTCCGATTTTGCGTTGATTTTCTTCGATACCATGCCCTTTTTTTCGGTCTTGAAATATTACCAGTTCGAAATGCCAATAAGCATAATTGGGTATGAAGGTGACCTCTTGTCTCTTGGATGAGATGAAGGCTGCCTCTTTGCCGTCTTCTTTTATCGGGTTTGGTTCCTTATCTTTTGTTTTTCTCACGTCTTCTTGGAGGAAGGATATCTCGTAGCTCTAGAGATTGGGTGTTCATTGGGTAGCACCGTCTTTTAGGGTTGCTGAGGGTCGTTTCGTTTCACTCCCAGGAGTGGAGTGAATGAATCGGCATCTAATATTCATCATTCGGAAGGGGCAATTCAAACAACAAGTGTTCAGTTTGCTCGTCTAGCGCTCTCGTCGCGGCGTATTTAACGGGGTTTGAAAATTGCGTTGGGTGCAGAGAAGGTGCAATCAAATATCGTGGGGTTTTTGCAAGGGAGACGGGAAAGTTTTGGGGGATCTATTTTATGCTTTGGGTCGGTTTGGCAGCTTTTATGCTGATGGGAAGGAAATAGCATTAGTACGGCGAGAGATGAGCTAGGCTATGAGTGAAATGAATTGCCTTTTTTTTTTTTTTTTTTAACTGAGATGATGCTGTTCGAATGTCATGTATTACCCATTCATAACAAATAAGTTCATGTGTTGTGTTTCCATCAAGCAATATGTATCAAGAGAAGGCGTATCAAGAGAAGATGTGATTGAATCATATCATATCCAAAATTGCTATAATCCCCTATGTTCTATGACTCCCCAATGTTTGTACATGATTGATTCCCTTCATGTCGGCTAAATTTCATACTTCTAATTCTTCCAACACACCACTTTGTCGGGGCGATTTTCTAGTAAAGCCAACTTTGATCCATCTCTTCTCGCACAGCGGGTGTAGAAGCCAACGCTGTGGAGAAAACCCCTCGACATTTTCGGGTTATAATTATTGTCCAAAGACATGTCTATGTATGTATATAAAAAAGAGAGACAGACACCCCCAAGTATAAAAAAAAAAAGAAGAAGAAAGAAAAGAAGCAAAAACGCCGTTCCTGTATGCATCCGTTGGTTCGAAAATGAGCGCGCCAAAGACCTCTTTTTGTGACCCATTTTATCATGGGAATCTCTCTCATAATTTCTTTTCATCAGGGGCTTCAAATTTGATTGGGTGCACGAGGAAGCTCCTCAGACACATGCGCCCGCTGCTCTCCTCGCTTTCCTCTGCTCGTTTCCCGCCGAGGATCTTGCCTCCGCCTTTACGGTGGCCATCCTTTCCTCTAGTGTCACGCTGAGCGTATCCTAGCCATCGCCGCCACAGAAGTCCGGCGAATTCGCTGTTGAAGTACCACGTTGCGCCTTTGTGGTTGTGCTCGTTGCGCAGGTCGAATGGGCTTCCCACGGCCGAGGTCGAGTGGTCGCGTCCGCCGTTGAAGACCTTGTCGACTGCACTGCCTAGGGGATCCCAGGCACGGTCCAGGTAGACGGGGTGAGGCGCATATACGGCCTTGAAGCCATGGTGAAACGCGACACTGGGAGGGAACATTTCAGAAAACATGGTGTGGTGGTGGCGCCACACCTCTTCGTGCATCGCCAGTAAAAGACGACGGCTCAGTCGCGATGCCGTGATGATGGCGCATCGTCTTGGCGGAGTCTTGCCATAGGCCGTCGCGTCGTTTGCGAAAACCCAAGCAGAGCCATGCACGTCGAAAATTGGGTTCAGGGTGATGAGATCCGCTGCCTCGCCGACACCGCATTCCGGGTTCTCTGGATCGTCGACACAAGAGCTAGGCATGACAGACTCTCCTTGCTGCTCGAAGCGTAGCTGCTTTCCTTCGTCAAATTTGACAGGGCCAAAGACACCAGGTTTGCCAGAGTCTTTCGTATATTGCTCGACGGCTTCTGTGAAATTTTCCCAAGTGCCGTGATGCGACGGGATGTAGTAGCGCTCGTTTCGTTCCCAGAGCAGTTTACGCGGCTGCTTGTCCGCCCAGCTGCCCAAGCGATCAAATAATTCGTACCAGTTGCCCAAATACCGCATATCCATCTCCCAGTTCCAGAAATGCTCATACTCTGGGTGCTGCAGGGCAAACACTTGAAGGGGCAGATGAGCACTGCGGAATACACCGTGAACGCCTCTCATGGCGGGGTTGTTAATGGGAGGCTTGCCGATAGGGTCTTCGAATTTGCCGGGATAGAAGAGTTCCATTTGTGCTTCGCTCCACAACGTCACCAGGCCGTGGAACTCGGGAGGTACGTTGGAGTCGAGCAGCTGCTGGACCGATACGTCGTCGGACCAAATGGGTAAGTTGTTGTCCTTGACGTGCAGCAGAAAGTGGACGTGGTATTCTCCTCCAGATTTGAGAACCAGCTCGTTGATCATGGCCCGGAAGTTCAAGACCACCAGTTGCGTCCACGGAAAGCCGGTGTACAAGCGGATGACGATAGCGATCCGACCCTTCTTACCGTCAACGAGCTTGAGCATGTCGGTGTCCGGGTCCGGCTCTGCGAATCGGTGTTTGTTGGCGGTAGCACATCGGTCCTGCACCTCGGCCCAGTCAATTTGGCCGTAGTTGATTTGTCCAGTCTTTTCCCAGACAACTTCGCTGCCTGAGCTCTCTGTATCAACTCCAACGTCCGAACCACCATCAACCAATTTGTAACCCAAGCCATAGGGCCCATAACGGCCAAATCGATCAAAGCATACATCATCCCGAATGCCAAAAATGGAGTGGGAACCAATGGACGGGTCGGGCATGTATTGCGGGACTCCCTCATAGGCGTATAGACTGGGGGCCGGAATAGTGTTGTTCTTATCAAGGTAGCAAATCTCGGCGTTCGAGTCGGGGGAGTAAGGATTGTATAGCTTGGGTGTCGGGACATCTTGATTCAGAGGAGGCTCGCCGAGAGGAGCTTGGTGAGCAGGGTTGGGATACTCGGGAGTATGCTCGGATTTGGCCACCAGAGCCTTGAGACCATGGAAGTAGCCATTCAAACTAGAAGAAAGGCCATGTCAGCAGCCTGAACTTGGAGTATGAAAAATCAGAGACTTACGGTGGGAATTTGAGCCAGGGCATCTTTTTCAGGTCCTCGTCCCACTTCTTCTGTGCCTCTGCGTCCTCTTCGGCGCTCAGTTCATCTTTGTCGTCGACGGGTACCTGCTTCTGCTGGCCGTCTTTCCCTTTGTCTTGTTCCGCTGTCTTCTCGCCGTCCTTGTTGTCACCCTCTTCGGGTTTCTTCTCTTCGTCTGCTGGTTTCTTGTCTTGACTAGATTCTGTCTTTTCTCCCTCTTTCTTCTCCTCGGGTTTCGCATCACCCTTTTCCTTAGCCTCCTTTTCCTTTGCCTCCTTCTCCTTGGCTTCCTTCTCCTTGGCCTCCTTCTCCTTATCCACAATCACCAAGACAGGACCGCCATCCTCGTTACCGATTATTGTAGGTTGCGCCGGAGCAGCCTTCCCTGTTGAGGGTGTTGTGCTAGGTTGTGTGAATCGCGAACCCGCATCCGCTACAATGCCATCGCCGGTTTTGAATAGGGCAAACGACACGATGATCATGCTGATGACGGTCCATATCAGGATTCTCCGATATAAACCCCGTCCAAAGACTGATTGTCCCCGAGCTGCTTTCTTCTCCAAAAGGCTTTCCGCGTATGGTAGTAAGGGGTCATTTCGATTCGTTGAGGCATCAGAGCTGGAGCGGCTGCTGAAGCTCAGAAGGGAAGCCGTACGCTCCATGGCGGCTGGAGCGTGGCAGGGTGACGAACACCCTCGACTGTGGATTTCGTAGGCGGCGCAATCGCGAGGAAGATGTTATTGCCGTTGGCCTCGTACTTCGGCTTGCTCTTTTCTTCTTCCCACAAGAGAGTAATTGGATTGTCGCAATGAATGAGAAGCAAGATTGATTTTTTTTTTTGGAAATGCGAGGCGAAGCTGAGTAAAGTGCCCCTCCTGTAAGAAAATGGTGGCGATTACCTTTGTCTCGGGTTGAGATGGAAGCAAGAGGGCGAGATATGGAAGAGAGGAAATCGGTGGAGAGCCGGCAAGCGAAGAGAAAAGTAACCTGGAGATTATGAATGGGGGAAATGAGGCCGGAATAAGACAGATAAGAGAGGGGAGGGCTTTGTGCAAGAAGCAAGGCGCAACAATGCCCAGAGTTTGGGTTGAGAGTTTATGTTGTAATAACCATAAACCTTGTACAGGAGCCTACAAGGTAGTTAGAACAACGACGTCCAAGGGTCCCCCAAAAGGGACACGCCAAGTGGGAACTGACAGGAGCCTCTGGACTCAGCTGGGCAGCCCATGCGCGCGCAAAGAGCGATCGACAGGCAGCGGATGAGACAAGGGCAGGTAGATAAAAGATGACTGGCAAAGAGAAGTCTTTGAAATCCTTTGAACAGTTGAGTTGAGGCTTCAGGGCGATGGATGCGCTGCGCAGAACTTTTTTGCTGGGCCGCTAGCGATTAGGCCTACTGTACGCAGTCGAGTCCACTAAATCTCAGGTACCCAAACACTAAAAGGCTGAACACTAAACCGCTGCGCTGTGATCAATGGATGAACCCAGCCAGTGGAGGCTTCCAATCTTCTCTCTTTCATTGCTCTCCAGTTTCATCACCCACAAGCACTGACAGCGCAAACCCTATTTTGGGATCAGACACACATTCATTGATCCTTGCACTCAAAGAAACTAAATGCGGGCAATCCTCCTTACTGGCGAATCGCCGCGTGAGTGTGTATGTGAGACGATGGAGCTGCAGCCATGATACGACGAGCCGCATCCCCCCATACAGGATACAGACGCGCGCATCCGCACTGACGACGCACACACACACTCGCTCTCTCGCTCTCTCTCAGCATCAACGAGGCAGCTGTACCTACTCGTGCTAATGCTCACCACATGAGAGACTACTGGGAATAATCCAATGTATGCGAGTGCCGCTAGCAGTATTACGGAGCAAGACCACGCATCGCCTACAGCCGCCTCCCGGGGCCTTTACAAGGCTTGATTCGCCTTATCAGCCAGGCCCCGTCCAACGGTGAATGAACTGAGACCCCCCAGCAAGACACCCGCACGGGATTGGATCAGCCACAGGTCATGGCCCTTGCGAGTTGTTGTTATACCGCCGAGTTGCTCTTTGAAGGACCGAATAAAGAAGCTGTACAAAGAGAGTTTGAGAGTTTCAACCACCGTGGTGTTGTTCTCACACGGCAAAAGGGCACGACGCAAGCAGCGCCAAGGGCCGTGATAGCCTCCATCACAGCGGCATGGCGCATTTCTTCGAAGCCACCCAACTTAGGGCCTCCCTAGCCCATCCCAATAACCTCATTAGCGCTGTTTACCTGTCTTGGGCCAATCAGCGCTGCACGAGCCTCAGCCGGAATCCCGTACGGCTGCCCCGACTGTGCCGCCCAAGGAATCCCTGTGCTGCGACTGTGAGCTTCAACTGTTGGCATTTGGCCTGTTGATCGACCATTGCGTCATCTTGATGCCGCAGGAGACGTCTACTGTAACAGCCAAGACGACGGACGAACAAAGAGAGCCATTCGGGATTACGCCAAGAGACTTGAACTGTCAACTACGAGTTACTCTGGGGAGAGATTCAACTCTGCTGAGCAAGTCCATTGCTCTTACGCCTCGCTCATGGTCGGCAAGATCGGCCTTTTTCGCAGCTAATGGTGGAATCTCCTCTGTCGCTAGAAGAGAAAAAAAAAAAAGCAGCAGACGCAGTGGCGTGGGCCCTTGCCGTCCAACCATCCCGCCGAACAACATGAAACACGCGTCGACGACAGGGGTAGAATAGGGCGGTGCACATTCTCGAGGCTCCCGAAATCCGGTTCCGTTTCGTCGTGGCCTATCAATCACCAGATAGGCTGGGGAGGGCTTGCGTGATATCGCCATCGAATGGAGGATTTTGAAATCCAACACGCACACGCACATCTTCCATCCCAAACTCCTCTTCAATGGTTTCGTGATACTTGACTGTCCTAGGGGTTCAAGGCATCGGTTCAGCCGTGAGCTTCTCCTTTTCCAGAGCCGGGGTTCACAATATTTCATCAAAATATTACCGAGCAGCAGAATTACCATTCCACTATTGACTTGTGGTGGAGCTCCGATGTCCATTGTCATCTCGTTCGCTCAAGCCCCCGTGGAGGGATTCTTGGCCTAAGTCATAAAAGTGGCCCGTCTGCAGCATAGGGTGACAAGAATCGGCCGCCAAGACTCGACTACGGATTGAATACCCGTCCAGCAATCTGCCAACGGTCGCCAGTGTCTTTGCTAAGCCCCCCTTCCAAGCTTCCAAGCCAGCTGCCTACAGTAGACGTGAGGCGTCTTCTTGATGCCGCTTAGACAAGGCCACACACCACCATGTATGTCTTGGACACAATGGGATGGTCGCAACCAACTCAGCCGCTGCCGAGTACGACTCGCTACATCTGTCGCCGATATCTGAGACACCCACATGCCAAGGCCCGGCGCGCATCAGACAAGTAAGACATCCCATATGAGGTGGATTACAGTAATGACAAAAGAAAGAAGGCGCTTGCTCAGGTTAAAAATAGACCTGCACTCGGGGAATTTACGGAGCAACATGCAAAATGCTCCTCGTCAGATATACGAGGTGTGCTTTGAGCTTGTTCTACGGAGTACACGAAAGCGTGTAAACTCTGTCTCTTGCATGGAGTGGAGGCTCTGCTACGAGTATAGTATTCCGTATTCCCAGCAACAACGACGTTGCTCAAACCTACGAACCACAGCAGGTCGCAACACCGATGCTACATGGTTGATGCAAAGTGGCATTGGGCAGCAAGATCTTCCTCTCCTTTGGTCTTAGTGAATCGCCTTTACCATATGAGAGGATTGATTTATTAAATCAAATAAATCGTGAACTCTATTCGTTACCATGACTATATAGCCTATTTTTCAGCCTCGAGGGTATCGCCGCTCTCTCTATTACACGCGAGCATCATATCCAAGCTCACCTCATCGCACTGCCCCTTACATTGGGAATAAATGTTGCTGTATCCTGACACTCATCGCTCATCCCTCAGTATCTAAAGATCTATGCTCTAAACGCCATCGCCATCATATCTCATCAAACAGTTTCTTTTGGCTTCTCACCATCGACGACCTTCTCCTCTTGTTGTTGACTGTCGTCCACGTCCGTCACTTCGTCGGACTCATCGCTGGCTGTGCCTTTTTTCTTTGCATCGATGTTTTCCCTCCACTCCTTGCCCCATCGAATGGTGGCCAAGACTCCGATGGTCGAGAGAATCACCAACCCAGTTGATATGGTCTCAAACCAACCAACGCCAATGTTCTCCACGGCTGGAAGGACAACGGCTGTAGCCACGCACCCTGCCAGGTACCTAACAAAGTAGTTTGCTGCTGTCACCTCTGCGCCACGACCGGGCATCACGTCCAAGCAGTACGTATTGAGAGAAGGGAAGCAAAAGAGCTGGCCGACGCCTTGCAGGAAGAGCATGATAACCGGAACCGGAATGCCACCCACAGCTCTGTCAACTGCCCATCCGTACACTAGGATACAGCTTGGCATGAGAATTGCCATGAACGGCACTGCGGACCGTAGACGATCTTCTGGGATACGTACGCCGTTGCGTTTCTTGATCCATAGCTTTACCGTTCTGTCTGCCCATCTCCCCCCGAAGAATGTCCCCAAGAGGTAGCCGCTTCCAGGGGCTAGATAGAAGAGTCCCGACACCAACGGCGACTCCAAGTGAAATCGAGGGTTCAATACGTACGGAATCGGCGTGAGCAAGCTGTACATATTCCATACGAGTGCTGAGCTGGCAAATGCCACCAACACCTGGTTCCAGTATCTGAACAGGCGCATCACTCGAATTGGGTTCGTCATGTGAAGTATAGCTATGACCTTTTCTTTCCTGGAGCGGTCTTGCAAGTCGTCGATTGCTTTGCGGTGGATGGTTTCTGGCACAAGAAAAAAGACACCCAGAGCTCCTGTGCCAGCCAATGCCGTCTGTAGCCAGAATATGGACCTCCACGACGTGTAAGTCACCAAGATGCCACCTATACAGGGGCCGACGGCAGGGCCGATCAGTGTTCCGGACATGAACCACCCGAGAGCTGTTGCTCGCTCCGTAGGACGATATATGTCGCTACCACGCAAGTTAGCCATCGTCAGCCGTTACCGCAAATGTTGATATGCTAGTTAACTTACCCAATGCAAGCTGCTCCCAGCAAAATAAAGGCTGTTCCTTCAAAAGCAGAGAGAGCTCTGAAGATGAAGAATGATGCCAGATTTGGAGCAAGAGCAGTAGCTATGCTCAGCAAGAAGAACAACACCGTGGTTAACTGTGTCATCTATATAAAATCAGCATGCGAACTACGCTACCCCCTGTCGTTCCCCAACGGACAACGAGATACGCGACTAAGAGGCGACCTCCATCCAAAGGGGAAAAAAGAAATAGCCAAACATACTGGTCTCCTGCCAAACACCTGGCTCATGGGTCCCCATACCACCGGCGATATACCCATCAGCGCCATATACGCGGCATTGCTCACGTTGATGATGGACCCAGTCGTGTGATATGTCTCTGCCACCTGGGGGACAGCAGCGAGGACACTCGTGCTTGACAGCGGCGCTAGAAAAGCGCAAAACGAAAGGATGGTCACAATGACATGCTTGCGGTGTGGCGACACGCGGTCGTAGATTTCATCTCCTGCTTCTTCGTGGGGTCCAGAATTAGACGGCGGTGTCGGCGGCCGTATTGAAGATGGCCCTAGTACGTCTGGACCAGACACGTGAGATGGTGATCGATACACGACGTCCAATGGTTTTGTCGGTTCAGTTATCCTCTCGAATGGTTGCTTATAAGTCAATAGCGGCTGTGGCGGCTCTAAGATGCCGTTACTCTCGGGAGAGTTCGTCGGTATGTGTTGTTTCTCTTCGGTGGCCGACATGGTTGCGGATCGGGATGTATTCGATTCGCAATAACACCAAGACCGAGGACTCGCCCGTCAAATAAATTTCATCAAGGACAGTCTTCTCTATCGAGAAACCAACGATAAGTCTTTTAGCACAACGAGGCAAAGAAGTAGCGTGCCAAAACGTCACAAGTTGCCATCAGAACGCAAAGAAGTTTTTTAGGTAAAAGTCGTTGATTTTGCACCTAAACAAAAACAAATGATTTCTTCATACAACAAGGCAGAGTTTTCATCATAGAATGGAAGTATCATATCTCGATATACGGAATCCAGACTAAAAAACCGAACTTCCAATAATTGGAGGGGGCAATGGGTAGAATATATCAATTCACACATCACGATATTTCGTGTGTGCCTCCCACAGCAAATCTAGTAACCGAAGCAAGAAGCCTATATGCGGCTTCTCCACCAAAATAGCCCCCGTCCGGTGCTTCGTTATCGGACGAAGCTCCCCCGGGAAGCGGAGCCGCGCCCGGGCTATGGAACAGAAGCCTCGGCAGAAAGCAGAGCTTTTGCAGGCTTTTCTCGAAAGCCGCCATCGGGCCCGCCTTTAGGCCCTCGAAAAAAAAAGCCTTCGATGTCACACCCCTTTTCTAGTGCAGCGGCCGATGATAAACATGCAAGTTAGGTATGCAGTCAGTCTGCTGCGAGAACCGGATTGCGGTGGGAAGCGTAATGGTTACTTGATACTAATAGATATCAATGGATAGCTATCCTCCGGCAACGGCCGGGTATAGCACGGCCGTGACTCGGGGCTGGGGGCCGAATGGCTTTCAATGGAAGCTATGAATCATCTAACAGGCCAGGAGCTCACATTGTTGTGGCTAGAAATGCAAGGGGCCTTCTTCAGGATCCGGTGATTTTCGTAGAAGCTGCGGGAACTAATCCAATCCGAAATCTTTTCCTATCAACAAAGTGGTTCCATCCACGATAACAAAAGGCTCTAGGTCTCCAATTGCAGTGCAGAGCAAAAAGCCGTTATGTTGTGCCGTAGCATCGGCCAAGATCCGTAGGCAAAATCTCCTTTTACATGCATTGCCGTATCTTCTCTACATATCTTACACGCTAGGAGTGGTAGAGTTCCCGTCACCGCATTAGCCACTTGAATGAAACAACAAATCACCAGTTTCTTTACACTATCAAAGTGTCTAGTATACATCTAAACCTCTTCTTGAACCATTGTTTTATGCAAAAACTCCATACTCCAACGCATGCATTGTCTTGTACATCAGAAGCTCCCGTAGACCATCTCTTGCCGTGATGTAAATATATAACAGTACCAACAAAACGCAGCGCAATGCAATGTTGAAAACAATCGAAAATGCTTCAAAGCTTTCCTCGATATAAGAATACAAAAGCCTCCCCTCTATGTTTGGAGTATCCAGGTATTATTGGTTGAAGTGTGACGCAAAAGGATGAAGTTCGCCCCATCATGCCAGCAGCTTCTGTACTCGCTCCTCGATGACTCGATCAACAGGCTGGGAGGCCCTCTGAATGACAACGTTCTCCCTGCCGCCAATGGTAACAACCTTGAGCCACTCGGGTGCAATCTCGGTGGCAATCAACCGCACACAAATCATTCCCTCCTCCTTTGAAACAGGAACCCGCAGGGAGTCCTTGAGCTTGTCCGAAACGAGTCCCATCGTAAAGGCTTGCCTTGGTAGAGACGCAGGAGTCGACAAGCTGAGCATGGAAATAGTAGCAGCTACGTCAATGACTCGGTTCAAAGCAGCTCGGCGCTGAAGCTCGGGTCCTGTTGGGGGAAGAGGTTCGTTGGCCTTGGCGAGCTGCTTGAGTCGTAGACGATCCAAAAGGCTCATCTTGGAGCCGTCGGGGTTTAGCATTGCGGCAGTAGCCTGCTGCTTGATTTCCTTATCTTGCTGTTTCGCAAGCATCCCTCCCTTGAGTGCAGAGAGAGCATCGTGTCCCTTGGCCAGGATGGGGTTGGCCTTGATACCATGGTCCATGTTTTTGATTTCAGCACGGGGAAGCTCGTCCAGAGATAGGCTGGCGAGAGGCACGTCCACATCGGCCATGTCCTCATGGGCTCGGTTCGCGCAAAGAGTTCGAAGGTTCTCCTCAAATTGTCTGCAGAGCCTCTCTTCGTTGATGGCCACTGAACCATTGTCATGGTCAGGGTGTAGCTCTATACAAATCTTGCCACGGCCATAGTCGGACACAATAAAGGGAGAGACGACATTGGAATCCCGGGTGGATGTCTGGATGGCAACGCATCTTCGGATGTCGTCGACTGTGACCTGTCGCTTGCCCCAGGTACGGGTGATGTGTGGCGCAATGGACGAGATATCGATTGGTACAATGGTTCCGTTGTGCGCAATTTGGAGGGTGACGGTTTTAAGAAACGCCTTGTGCAGACAGATCAGGTCGACGAGCTCGGGGCCAAACTCGGCCTCAATGCCTTGAGCTGGAGTCTTTTTCTGGCCGGCCAGGCGGAAGGCGTCGAGCTTTGTCTGCACAGTCTTGGCCTTGCCGTCCTGCTTCGACTTTGCGATGATGGTCGACTCGCTGGGCTTGTGGGCAGCGGCAGCTCGCGAAGGCGTTGACTTTGCAACTTTTTTCCCCTTGACCGGGGCCTTTGACGCAGGCTTTGCAGCTGGAGGCGCCACTGCGATTGTTACCGTCACGGCATCATCGATTGTCGAGTCTCTTCGACAGGCACGCTTCGATGGTGCTGCTTGCGGCTCCTCGTCGCTGCTTGGGGCGAACGAGACGGTCCTTCTGGTGGCTCGGGGGTGGTTGCTCTCGGCATTGTCGACTGCAGCTTTCCTCTTCCTCGTCGGTTCAGCGCTGGAGACGACGGCCTTTTTGGTTGCTTCAGGGAAAGCTTGGCTCTTGGAGACGCGAGTGAAGCTGCTGATGGGCTGTGCAGAAGGAGCTTCGGCTTTGCGGCTTCTCGTGGTTCGCGCCATGGCTCTTGCTGTTGCTATTCCTTGTTTGCTTGCTTCTCTTGTTCCTTCTTCCTTCCCGTGCAATGTGCCTAACCTAACCTGTAGTCGAGACAAGGGAAAAACTTTAATTGGCAGGAATGATGCGTGCAGGCTTGAGTAAGAATCACGGTTGCAGAATAACAGCAAGGAAAGAGCGAGTGCTTGCAGACGTGATGAAAATGAAGAATGGGAAAGCAGAACACAGAGCAAAGAGTTAAATTGACAAGCGTTGCAAAGTCAGAAAAGAAGAGAAGGAACGGGGAGCCAAATTGCCTCGACAACGAACTTGCTAGGGTTGGAAAGTCCAAGCGCTGGTTTTTCTCGAAAAGGCTTCATGCCTGTCGTGTCGACGCGACCCGCAGACGCGGCAACGACGCGGTTTCGGAACCCTCAGACACGACCCCGCGAAGACCCACTTTTGCCGAGACGGACGGCTACAGCACTTGTAATCTACAATTCTCATCGCTGAATGGAAGTTTTGATGAGATTCTACTCTTCAAATTAGGCGGTATGAGAGAATCTCTGTTTTCATTATGTTTGCATCGAAGAGTAGCTTACACTTAAAGATTCTTACACACAATCACATGAAAAAAACAGCATTCGGCATCTCTGCTCCTTAGGCGTTTATATTTTCTTGAAGCGCTATTCGCATCAAGACTGCAGGATCCCAAAGAGCCATCAATTCCGGTATATACATGTAAAAACGATTGAAGCTGAGTAAACTGTGAATACAGTCCCTTGATAGTGATATCCTTCATGCCTAGCAGGCTATCTATTCTTCTTTCCATAATAACCTTTTAGAAACGTTAGTCCGATGACACTTTCGAGGGGCCGAGTATAAGTCGGTCGGTGGTACTTCTCTAAACCTTGAACTTACCAGTGTCTAACATAACCCGACTATACCACAGATACGCAAGAAGCGGTTGTATTTTAGGTAGCAGCGACACTGAGTGCAAGATTGCCGCACTGAATCACGGAGGGGAACTCCCAGTGGCTATTGTTGACATATTTCTGATAGTAGTCGAGAGTCTCCTCGAGGCTCTCGCAGTAGTCAAGGTCGCCGAGAACGCAAAAGCGCCCAAGGTTTTGCTGGCATCCTCCAACGCCGCCCTGTTTGCAAATGGTTTGAAGCGTCACCGTGGGAGGCGTAGTAGGGGCTCCCGTCGGAATCCACCAGGCGGTGTTTTTGTTGATATAGCAGTCGGCAGCGGGGGCTCTGGGCTGCAGAGGACTGGCCAGAGCCGAGGCGGCGAGCATGGAGAAGGCCACAAGCTGGGAGAGTTGCTGCATATTGTCGGTGTCTTTGTATATTTGAGGTCAAATCGAGGTAAGAAACCGGTGGGATAACTGAAGGCGAAGGGAGTAGAGAGATGCTGTGTTGTCTGTTTGTCTGTGATTGAAGCTGTTCATGATTCCGACTCAAGACGTCGGCTACCTACTTATACTTTTCTTCCATCCGCCCAGAAAGATGGTTTCTGCCAAGACTTTGCTCACATTTCCTTCTTTTTGTTAATATCTGCTGATCAAAAGTTCTTCGTTGAGCTGAACTTTTACAACACTGCGCAAATGGTGTGAGACCTCTTCTTCAGCAAAAACCCGTCTCCATACCAACAGCTCAGCTTCCCATGACTAAAATGTTGTCTCGGGATGTCCGATTCATCGTGAAAAAGTAGGGTTCTAGGTAGCAATAATGAAGCCTCATGTCTTGGATCTCTTGGCCTTGATTGAGTCGTGATGAGCATTTCCTGGTGTTGAGAACAAAATAGGCAGGCTATCTATACGAACTAAGGGAATTCATCTATATAGCAAGACTATCCTCAGCGAGATGCCACTGATACAATCTTTAATGAGAGAAGGTAGGATATAACAACTGGATCATTGTAGAGGTGGCTCATAATGAGTGCTTCAAGGCTGTTGCGACTATATCCATCAAGGTAGCAATAAGAGGAACAATAGATGCGTTTCCCAATAAGGAAATTACCTCGGCATCTGAGTAGAGGAGATCACAATACCTTATCAAAACGACACCAAGTACGTATATCGCAGCTCATAGCAGTTGACTGAATTAATCTTGTATAAGTTGGCCTTGTCCCATCTCAAGCTGAATCGGGCCTACTACTCAATGTACCTCATTGCGACAAGAATCTGGCTCGTGTCTAGACACCTACATTCCGCTGTGCTACCTCTCGTAAACGGCCGCATCTGGCGCATCATTCGTCTGCGCGCACACATACAGCTCATTTATATATTTATACCGTCTCCGGCTAAATATGTTCTGCTTGTGCTTCTGCGCTGCCAATTGCCACCCTGCTCGGCCTCATCGCTAATGGCAATAGCGGCAAGCTTCGTTTCTGTGGCCATCTCGTGTAAGCCAATGATGGTGGCAAAGCAGCAACTGATTGGGCGCATGCATAATTGTAGTTACATCCTTCTTGCGAAGAAGGTGGCATAATATCCAATGGCTGACATATTCTGACCGCTCTTATGAGTCAATCCCCTCCGACTGTCTTGTATCACTTCAAGGCTGAGCATTGCTAGTTCCTTTCTGGTACGCATCGCGAAATTTGCATTCTGCCGTGCTAGTCTTGTTTTTGCGCAACAGCGAGACATTCAGCTTCTAACATGATGTAGTGCAGCATCAACAAAAAAGTTTGATTACAGGAGGAGAATGACTCGACCCAAAGATGATTGAACTGAACAAGCAGACAAAGACTCCTACCCCGTAAAACCATTAATCCGCCGCCACTTGTACCGTGCTCTCTGCCAAGTGCTTGGCCTGGGCAAATGCAGGCAATCCACAGGGCTGTTTTTTGTTTGTATTTCCACCCTTTGCCCATTTGCCATTCCTAAACACCCCAACTCCAAAAAAAAACCTCTTTCATATCTCAAGAGGGAACAAAGGCAAGCAACGCAACGCAAAACAATACAAAGGCCGTCCATCTAAACCCTAATTGAACAACGAACGAAACGAAGGATGAATGTTGCCGGTGCTAGCCCGGCGACACTGTGCATTCAGCTGTAATGTAAGCTGGACCCTTTAGACTCCGAGGAACAAGGCTGAAGGTAGTGTAACAGCTTCTCGGCCCCTTTAGTGACAAGCTGGCGCGGGCCAGCGGTCGGCCCTGAAACTAACAGGGCTAGGCGGAGGTGGCGCTGGAACGGTGTAGTCATCCTCAAGGATGCGATGAGTAGGAGTTGAGGAGCCGTCGCCTTGCTTGGTATCAAAAGGAATAGCTGATTGCTGATGTCCTTTTAGCGGGCTGAGACAGCTGCTCAGCGTGGAGTAAAGGTCCTGAGCCGTTGCCAGCCGGATGTTAGCCCGCTGGGAAGGCTTGATAGCAAAAGGCGCAGCAATTTGACCGCTTGACATGTTGTCGGTATTGACTGGGTATGTATAGTGTGTATTTGAGTCGACGAACAGATGCTGATGAAATTGGATGATGCGAAAGCGAGACTGAGATCTTTGAGTTAGAATAAATGTTGACTTTTCGCGCGGAGAGAGACATATGAATACGAACAATTTCTTGGGCTCGCAAAGTGGTATCAAAAGTAGTATGCAGCGATGCCAATCTGCAGAATGATAATGCAAGATTATGAGGGTCAAGAGAATCTTGGTCAAGTTCGACTAGATGCTGGTAGTGATGGAAGATATTTGCCGATGAAGAGCACGGGCTAAGGGAGGTCCGCCGGTGCCAGGAAGAAAAGAGAGAAAAGTGGTGAGTTTGGTCAAGTTGATATCACAACAGAGATGCACAGGCAATAACAAATTGATGTGGGAGTAAAGGGGCCTAGGAAAGCAAAGGCCAGCTTTAGGCGGGAGATTGGAGAGGGAAAAGGGATCGTGGCCCGAGTTTGCTTTTTGCAGCAGGAGGAGAGACTGAATTATAAAAGCGAGAGGGCAGGTCGGTCGGGGATCGAGGCCCTAGCTGTAGACCACTGCACGGGCAAAACAAAAGAAGAAACCTGGAAACGAAGAAAAAGAAACAACAAGGCATAGCCGGGGGCCGGAAGGGCGGCTGCCCAGGACGAGGAGGGCGTGTGAGAACAGACTGTGCGTTTGAAGGGGAGAAAGGGGGCGTGCGGCTACGAATAGGTAACCCGGAAGCTTTCATATGAAGCTGGTACCTGTACCTGTACCTCGGCAGTCGTCAAACCGCCCTTTTATGCAGCCGCAAAAGCATAGGCGGTACCTGGACGGCGCTGGGCAGAGAGTTTTGGGGGTGTACGACTCACGTTCGGGGGGGCTGAATTCGCCATTTGGGACGCACGAGAGGCGCTCCGGGGAAACTCGTGAGAATCCGGGGATGCTGTGGCAAGCTGCATAACATGGGAGCTTGGGGGGTGTGCGACGTTAGTAAGCACCAATGGCTTTGTACCTTGTTTACCGCGGTAGATGTACATGGTTTCACATGGGAGGTACGTTTGACAAGAAACTTTCCATCTGGTAGCGATGATACAAGGTACTAGGTAGAGACAGGGTAACGGAAGTAACGAAAAAGTATTTTCCTGCATTGAAGTTTCTACAGTTGCTTTGGTGGACCAGGCAGCATTGGCAGCAGGCGGGAAAAAGGGGCGTGCAGCAGCGCTGGGGAAGTCGGAGGCAAACAACCGAAGCCTTTGAACAACAGACAGGCTCACTGTGAAAGAATAAAACCGAAAATGCCATGTACAGCACATGTATAACACCGACCCTGTGAAAGTTGGGTCGAGTACGCAGGACTGAGGGTGAGAGAACCTTCCCCGTTACCTTGTGCTGTGTCCTTCCGTATCTGTGTTTTATGCCTTGTACCCAAGGCGCAAAGTATTTGTACTTGAGGTCCTCCTAACCTTCCATGGTAGCACATTGCGCAACTTGTCCCGTTATTTCAACGCTTCAAACCGACTGATTCATGCTTGAACACGTCGCCAATGCCGCTAATCAAAATGACACACGACCGCCTTGCAAAACAAAGCGTTGGGCAAACCAAACCCGGCATGGGCCAGGGATCTTCTGGGCCACGCAAAAGCTACAGCAGCCCCGACGTCCCGATTAATTGGGAGATTTGGGGTATTGTGGGGACCAAACAGCTTGCAGGGTTGCTGGTCGACAAGGGGGTTGAGATGATGGAGAGCAGCAGTTGAAGCTTACTGCTAGTGTTGCTGTAGTGCTCATGCTCGTACGAGCTGCTCACGTTCGGCGGCTTTCCTTGGGAGTCTTGCTGGGGGCGGGTTGTTGTGTTTGGGCAGATGTCAAACCGCGGAACATGGCTCTCCGTATGTTGCAACATCTCCATCTCTATCCAGGTGCCTTGGCTGACTCGACGGACTCCTACTTACCTGGCTGCTAGCATGGCGGACGTGGGCAAACAAATTGCGACTCCAAACGTTGCCCTGCTGTTGGTACCGGGAATGCGACTGCAGCGCTCCGTACGGACGAGTACAAGTACTTGGTGCGAGCAGGCAATACGAGAAACTCCCAACCGTGTCTTAACTGGATTTTGAGGCGGACAAGCAGGCATCCATTCTCGTGGCCCCAACAACCTCAACAGGTACTCTGTACTGTACGATTGGTAACAACATGAACAACCCCCCGGATAGCAAACGCGCCCCGATAGGGCAGCCATCCATACGCCCGAGGGCATTAATGCGTCTGCCGCCTAGAGATACTTCACTCACCCCGACTGCTGCCGCCAGCCTGTTTGCCTCCAAAGTTACTTTTTTTTCCACAGAGGGAACATCCCAGGTCCAGGTTCCCACCGGCTGGCGATGCTGCCCAGCAGAACCTTGGCCTGACGTGGCAGGTCGACAGATGAAAGATGGCCGAATCCGCCGGGCAAGTCTTCCATTACACGCATCCCACTCGTTACGGAGCCATGAGCGTGCATGCGTGTAATAGCATCAGAAAAAAGGTCGTCAGAGCCTTACGTCCCGTCGGACGAGCTCTATGGCGTGGCTCCACCAGCTCCAGGACCCCCCCTTACCCCGGTTTGCCTGAAATAGGGAGAAGAAGTGACCAGGGGGTGCTCCCACGGCTTCCCCGATGCTGGCCTTTTTTCGAGAATGCCTGTGGAAGCTTCATATGCGGACCGTGTTTGTAGCTCTACACGCGAGTAATGGCCGTCGACCGCCGTCTTCTATATTGCATACATGCTACACCTGTAACGGCACCAGGCAGCTTGGCGGGAGGATTCTCATGTTGGATTCCCTGGCAACTTGTGCGTACTCGTACAGGCCATCTTTCCTGGTCGTACCTCCTTTCTAGAAGATTACGACAGTCATGAAGGCCAGGGTCGTCGACTCGCGAATCGATTCATCTGCCAACTAATGTCGCCTGGTGGTTAATTACTACTGCCAAGTTATGAGTACTAGTATTACTGTACTAGCTCAACCGATGCGGCTCTGCAAGACAGAATATCCAGATCGACTGCCTCCCTGCGTGCTGAGGCATCTCATCGAAAGTCCAATTTCTGTACGCCAATGCTGCGCAGGCCACCCTCGCAAGCTTCTTCGTTCGGAAAGGTACATTTTGGGGTGCTGGCCAACAGAAGCTAGCTGCTAATGTCATTGCTCAAAATGGCCTTTCTTCCCTGTCTCTATTTCTACGGAGTACGGCCTGTTAGATTCCGAGATCCTTGCGAATGGTGAGCTGGTGTCCAAGACAGCTACCAGTTTTGGTCACCCAGGCTCGTCAGCAAGCAGGCTGAGCCGACACAGAATGAGACCTTTGCGTGTCGTACTCGGGTACTCATTCCCTCCGATATTAGCACGTCAATAAGAGGATGAAAAGCATCGCTGTCCTGAAGAGTAGCTGACGGGCCAAATAAGATTGGTGCAACAACGAGGGTTGCTGATATGAGAATGATTGGAGTAGCTCCTCCGGCTTTACATTGCCGCCAAGATTTCCAACAGCAAGCAGCAGCACGATCCGTGGAGCATCACGCAAACTACCGCCGATTATTGGATGGCTTGTCTCACTGTCTCACTTGCTTTCGAGCAAGAGAGTTGCTTGAGCTCTTATTGGGTTTGAGAATTGGACTATCAGCGATGCTAGCAATTAGCTTCTCAAATGGCCCCTTACATGTGCTCAGTCTTTTGGTTACATGAGAGGTTGATTGGGAGTTGCTGAATATTGCTGTAGTAGCCTAGTTACCCCATGTCTTACCAAGCTTCCCTGCGGATGAGCTATCATCCAAGGAGGCATATAAGCTAGGTGATACAAGCTCATTGGCCGTTGTAGATGAGCTGGCTCAGCTTGGAATGCTATGCGTCCATGTCCTCGTCATCATTTTATGGCTGGATCGAGAAGCTACGAGCAGCATCAGGCTCCAGTTTCCCCTTCTCCCTTCTTTGCCTTCTCCCTGCCGTGATACCGGGCCAACAACACTTTCTAAGCGTTTCATATGCACCTTCATGCACGCCATGGGCATGGCATGGCGATCTAACATGCAGGTGCCATGTCACTGCAGGGCTTCAACGCATCTCGCACGGGCAGATCGTTCAGAAAGCCCCAATATCTTGCACGAGGCACGGGGGTTTTATCGTGCATAGGCATCTAAGACACGGAGCAGCCAGGGGTCAAGCACGTCAAGTGATCGACGATGGAAGCGAGACTGCGTAAAGGATGTTTTCCTGGATGTAGGCAGAGCTTGGCAGAGATAAGGTACTCTTTATTCCAGCTACCTGCTGTGCTCAACATGTCTTGTAATGAGCGTACCTTTACCCAAAGCTGGCGTTTGTCGAATGTCTCACTGTTGCACCGAGTTGAGAGACGAAGGAGTCTCATTAAATTATTCAAATGTATCATATAACATCATGTCATGCCATCGTCACACCTTGCACCAAGAGTATCAAAAGTTGTTGAGCGCTACATAGACCTTTCCCCCCTTTCCCTTTCATAGACGTGGTAGTGTCTCTGGACATCCATCTCCCACCAGCTTATTCAAGCCTTCAGGCCTTGGACGCATTCAACGTCGAGGCCGAAGTAGACGGGGCCGTCGCCGACGTTGCCGCCGAGACAATGGAAGCCGTCTTGCCCCTCTTCCTAAGAGGCGCGTACACGTCGTTGAAGTTCATGGCCACACCCAGGAACCTCATGTCCACGTCGGGCTGGTACGCCAAATCGCCCAGCAGGACCTGCAGCCTGTTGCGGAACTTGTCGCCGAGGTGCCGCAGGCGTTCCTGCAGGGCAGGGAACTCCGAGGGCACGTTGTCCAAGGTCGAGAAGCCGCCGTCGTTGTCGTCGCGGCGCGTCATGTTGCGCAGCTCGACCTCCTGCCGCCGAGTGTACTCGGAGCTGGTCCACCCGTAGAGCCCGACGATGGTGTCACGGTAGCTGAGCATGGACCGCAATATCTCGCTGAGCTGGTCGAGATACGTCATCTGTTCCCTGTTGTTATCGGACGGATGATGGCGAAGCTTCGGCCCCAGCAGACCCTTGTGCGTGATGTCCTCGAGGTATCTCCTGTGCGCCTCGATGACATCGTCCAGCGTGCAGTCTTCCTTGCGGATGCGCTTCTGGAGCTCGCCCCACGAAGACTCAATGACTTCGAAGAGGATGTAGTACTGCAGCTGCCCCACAAAGTGAATCATCTCGGCGAGCGTGCCCCGCGTTGACTTCCACGTCTGCACCACCGCCTGGTTAGGGCTTTGTAGCACTCTTCTAGATCCCGTCATGCACTCCCGCCACGTTGAGAGGAGCACAAACTCGACTCGCTTGATTCGCCATAGGAAATTGAAAACCTTGAGATATTGGCGGTTGCCCCATTCAGTAACAACCACATCCATGGGGGCGTCGATCTTGTATTCCAAGGTGAAGCAATCCCAGCCAATGTCGCCGTGAGATAGCTGAAGCATTCGGGCATCTAATCGCCGCAGCACCTCGGGAGAGTCGTACTGGGCGTTTGAACCACGGATTGCATGTTCTAGCTGAGCTGTAAGAGTGTGCCGGTATTGTGCGCCAGATGGGCGATCCAAGTTTGCGGCAAGGGATTCCATGAGCAAGGCAATAAAATCGCCCTTTCCCAGCAGGATGTAATCCTTTAGAGCCTGGAGGTGGGCAAAGAGACGGAACTTGGTCTCCATCAAGTCCATTAATCGCTTCATTGTTGTCTTGTACGCCTCATCGATCCATACCTCCACTGTTGCCGTATCACCATATCTCAGCTCCTTCGAAGCGGCCTTGGAGTAATCTTCAACCCACAGAGAGTCTCCGCAGCTGTGTCGGATGAAATTCAACGATTTGCCAATCAGGAATATCTTTTGCGCAAATTCTTGCGAAATAATGGTCGGTATCATGTCCTGGGCTATCTCGTATTGATCTTCCCACACATTGCCCCTAACTCGCATAGACTCCTGCGAATCTGTCTGCTCCCGTACAAAGAACTCGAGGGATGGGTCTGACAGCTCTCCATCATAAATCCAGT